TTCAGGATAGCCTAAGTTTACATTAATTAAGGTGTGTTGTGGGCGCAGTAATTACGATGTTGGCCTGTTCACATATCGCGTGTTTACAAAAAATATAATTACACAGACGTGTAAATCTCAGTATCGCGCCCATTTCTCCTGAGTATGACTCCATATCGTATCGGATATGGCACTCTTTATCGCATCATATCCGCACATCCTTTCCACTATTGTCTTCACATATGTTAAATATGAATCACTGCCATATGTAATTTTAACACTAGCTGTGGCTTCGACCGGCTGGAATTTTTATTTCTTTGCATTGAGTAGGACTGTCTCTAGGTTTTGATCAATCAACCCAAAATATATTCGACCAAAGTATGGGTGATTTCTTTATATCCCTAAACTAGAGAAAATATCTAATGTTCGACAGAAGGTCCTCTTCCTGCGTACAAAATTAGTTCCGCGGCTTAGGCGTGAAAACGTATTACAAGTAATACATTTTCGTATTTAATATTTATTAGGTATGTATAGATGTCGAGAGTCGACTATGGTCGATGGTCGGTAATTGTGCAAATAATGTGCTATATTGATAACTGCGAGGGCCCTCGTGACGTAGTTACGCCAAGTGACATTTCCGTCCGATAAGTCGATGGCACCCGTTCATTGAAGTGGCCCCACACAAATAGCTGAAAACAACAATTTTATTAATCAGTCGTCTTCTTCATGTTAAGGAAAGGAAAAGCTTTTTTTTTAATTAAAAAAAAACAATGGACTATGGTTAGTGTGTATATTAAACGAAGATAGATAAAAGAAGAAATCGAGCTAGATAAGTAATGAATGAAGGATTTTGGATTTCAGGATAAAAATATATTTATTAATTACATTATGTTATTTTACAATATGTTTTCATATATGTGAGTATGTTTTATATTTAAGTATATAAGTCAGAAAAACAGTCATTTCGTAGGAGAGCGATCGACACATGGGCCAGACTCGACCGGAGTTATACTACGGCCTTGCAAAATAACCGGTGTTAAGCAGTCTCGTTACTCATTACGTTACCGAGTGTGTGTACTTACCGGATTCCAAACCCACCCCTCGCCTCGATTCTGGGGAAGGGACTGAAAGAAGAGCAATGCACGGATGGCATAGTGGTTTAAGCGGTCGCCACGCCACTAAACTGAGTGTTGTAGGTCCGATCCCCACTTTGTGTGATTCACAAATTATTATTGTTCCGAGTCTGGGTTTTCTTTGTGTCCGTTTCATGTATATTTGTAAAATCAGCGATACAGGATATATTCATAATGCGGGAGTTGTCTTTAAAAAAAAAAGACATGCGGTTATGAGTTGCATGTGCATGGGCGGCGGTAGTCACTTACCATGAGGTGACCCGTCTGCTCGTTTGCCCCGCCCTATATAACTTATATCTAATCGGTTAACAACGGTTATGATTAATTTAGGCAAAAAAGATAATATACTTACTACCCACTGAAATTTGAAGGCTTTAATACAATCGTTATTTTCTTGAGAGCTGTTGTTTCTTCCTCAGCAATACTTTTACAAATTGGAGCACGCTCTTGAAATTAAATTTGTCTGCCTTCCTAAATGTTGTTGTACACCATTTTGTAAAGTAAATAATTTCGTAGCAAATTTTGTTCGTTTGACCTTTGTAATTTTACTATATTCAATTATGATCTGTAAAATATAGACTGTTTATAAGAGAAATATAATGTTTTTTGTAAGAAACTCATAACATGTATTTACTAAAACTGAAATTACGTTTTTTAGGATTCCATACCTCAAAAGGTAAGAAAGGAACCCTTATAAGATCACTTTCTTGTCCGTCTGTCCGTGTGTCACCACCGATTTTCTGAGGAACGGGGAACGGTGAGCAAGTTGAAATTTATACCAGATACTGAGGGTCTATGGTCCCTATTAGGTGTATAAAAATCAAGGTCCTGAGTCAACACGATAAAAAAGGTATGGGCAAATTTCGATTTTCGCGAAAACTTGTAAGTACCAAAATTTACCTTAATTTAAGACCTTGCTTATAACCAAAATTACAATTCTAGGTCAACCGGAAGTACCCTATAGGTTTTGGGTCGAAAACCTATATGGCAGTTCCCGTTGACCTAGAATAACGAAATTTGGCAAAAAGAAACTTCTTACAGCACAAATAAGGGAATAATTCCAAAAAAATAAAAAAGTTGAAAATTAAGATAAATTTTGGTACTTACAAATCTTCGCTAAAATCTGGGTATGTACGGAACCCTCGGCGCACGAGTTCGACTCGTGCCTGACCGGTTTTGTTTATTTTTCACTAACATACGTAAGTTTCCAATCTTCATCAGCTACGTTTATTGAGATATACGGTGCGTAATAATAGCTGTCATCAGTCGATTATAGGATAAAATCGTCCTGAGAAAGTCCCCGAGGGTATAGAGGGCGAGGAGATCGATGTAAATTGATACAAGTTTTTGGGGGGCTATGTTCAAAGACTAACAATAAAACCATTTCGATAAACAGCTGCTTTCGAGAATTTCTAATAAGTAGTCTCGCCATCTATTGCAAAAATTTGATTAAACAATAAGTCGTAATATATACTGATTTGATTGTGTAACGGACTACTACGCCAAAGGTCGCGGGTTCGATTCCCACTCAAATTAAACATTTATGTGCATAAACATTTAATGTTTGATTAAGTCCGGGTGATTCTATATATAATATGTATGTACTTACAAAACAAAAATATACATGTGTATTCACATCAGTTTTATAGTACCCATAGTACAAGTTCTTCTTAGTTTGAAACTAGATGGCGTTGTGTGAATGGGGTAGAATATTAAATGATATTATTATAGTGTAAGTTTTTAATGTCACTTTAATTTCAGTTACACCGTCCACTGTAAGGAAGGCTGGCATATAAGTAATAACTACTGGAGCAGTACCTACCTTCTTCATAAAATAAACATTTTATACTTATAGACTAAGCTTATTGTTACGTTAGAAACTAATCAAAATATCCACCGAATTTTTAATTTATTTGCCTGGTTAGCCAGATTTTATTTGTCGGGTAAGTTAATTCTCGTAAAAAGTTTTTTAGTTAGTGTCCGTTAAAGTTTTTGTACGTCAAAAGGCAAGGCAAAATATCGCTCGATGTCAGAATAGTCACTCATAGCATCGCATCGGCTTTGAGATAACATTCCTTGGAAAGGGCGTGTGATTTGCCGACTTTATTATGTGAGGAAGTGATGCTCCCTCAAATACGTCGAAATGAGAACAGAAGAAGCTTAGTTAGTACTCTACCATCCCAAAAAAGATGCAACAGGCACCGAACTCTGAAAGCGCTGGCCTGGAGGTAAGCTACCCAAAACAGCGGTCTGAAAGCTGAAACATGTGAAGAAACATGTAAATCATTAAATTAATCGAAAAAAACAAATAAAATAGTAATAATATAATATACCTAACACATTTCACACACGACCGTCTGATCCCAAACTAGGCAGAGCCTGTGCTATGGTAACCAAACTGCTGATAAACACACATATATTTTTAAATATGTATTCATATTATAGACAATAATCCAAACAGTTTTTAAACTGTTACGCCACGGCATATTTATACCAATATTATGAAGATGAAATAATGGTCCGTTTGTAGTCGATAAATTCTGACATTACTGTACCATTTGCAATTATAATTATTTAATCGTTAGAAAACTACCCGTCTACAAGCATCATTAATTTATTTTCATTGTGACATCATTGTTTTATTTTTCAGTAGCAGATATATATAAATACAGGTCGTTATGGGCAGTTCCAGTAGGTTATGCCTACACTTTCGATATAAAAAAATCTACAGTTGCATTGCCTTTATTTTTGCATTATCTTTATCAGATGAATAAACAAATAGAAGAGCATATCTAATTTTTTCTTATGTTGCATTCTGATGTCGAAAATTACTGGTGTGATAACTAGAATGAGAGGGTTGCCACTCTATAAAAATGTTAAGTGGCGAATACTTACAGTTAAGTGCTCGCACTTTGCGGTTCATGCAATATTTATATTAGGTACAATTATACTACATCCATTTCTGTCGGCCATGGAAGTCCTTGTGCTATGATCGAATAATCATAGAAATATCTATTCTATTCTTTATGATGAATATTTATAACGTCAAAGCTAATGGTTAGTGTGGAATTGGGGAGTTCTTTCAATGTAGCAATCAAGTATTTGGGCACTTGAACGATGACACCACACCATATTTTTTAAATAAGTATTATTTCAAATAAATTTGATAACATGTGAATGTGATGCTCACATATTGCTATCGGGACAAAAGCTGAATTTTGAACTGTTCGTGCGTAGGTACTTTTATATTATTGGTTACCTTTTAGGTCTGTTAATTTAGGGCTATAGGTTTTTAGTGTCTGTTTTTTATAAAGATATTTATATCTATTTCAGAAAACATCGATAACAATCGAACTTTTCTTGGAGTTCATTATTCCATTAGTATACTTCTTCATGAGTAAGCACATGCTCATACACTAAAAACCAACACAGAGACAGTCATTCGACTGAAGTTATTTTTTGATACTGTAAAAAATGTCATAGTTGACTTTTTGGAGACAAATAACCGCTCATGATTAGCTAAAGAACCATTAAAAGTTTCAAAAATTCCCGCGCTCGGTGCTTCGTCGTATGAATAAGTAAAGTTTCATTACGTTTCACGGTAAAACTTTACCTCGGACTTGGTTTCTAGACCATTATTGACGTACATGTTGCAAGTTATCTTCTAGTCAGACATCCTTCTATACTATTAAACTAGCCGTGTTGACATAAAATCATGAAATATCTTTTGCCATTTCTGTCTTTTCTTGGTCACAACCATGAACAGATAAATTCTTACTTTCAAAATTAATTCTTAGGCGTTTTTAGTTTCTTCTCGTTATTGTCGTTCGATATACAAGATAACTAAGAATACTATAAATAAAATCAAATTGCTTCTCTTTGTTTCAGACACGATGGAGGAGCGGGAGAACGACGTGGACCTTGGGGTCCCGGATATGACAATGATGCCGCAAATCACAGAACAGGCCATCAACGACAACCTCAAGAAGCGATACATACACGACTTAGTTTACGTATCCTTTAAGAAATAGTTATTCATTCAATCCTCTCAAAATTCTTTCTGAATTTTTGAGTTACGTTAAACGTATTTATATGCTATCTAATTATAGTAACTAAATGCCCTTTCTGTACATTTTACCTATATATCTAGCTGAGCACATTGACGTTAATGAAATGAACTTTCATCAAAAGCCGGAATCTCACAAAGCGAAACTATTAGTTGAGTATTTATAAATAAATCTAATAAAATCTTATCAAAGTTTTCATATAATCAAAGTCTTCGTCAAACTTTGTGCCATTTTTTAAAATATGGTACTGTGTGTATAGTTCAGACATTTTTTTCTTAACAATAGATGTACAGACATACACAGGATCCATTCTAGTCGCAGTTAATCCTTACAAGGAGTTAGGATGCTACACAACGGTAAGTTCTTAAGAATCTTTCTCCTTTTTTTCCGTGCGGAAATCCCCTCAGATACCATCTATCGGTGGCATGTCGGACTCGAACCGACTAAAACCGCACGCAGTCTCGGGTACTAAGAATCTTTCTCCTGCCATTTTCAAGTTACATTATGTATTTACGTCGTTCTAATTATAAGCCATTCAAATCCATTGATTAACACATTCTCAGCTAAGCATTACTCTCATAGAACTAACTATCAATAAATCAAAGACAAAAGAACAAAGAATTTTTTTTGCTAATCATACTCTCATAGAAATACATAATTCTTTACAATAGCATCAGTTTACAGAGATTGAGGAAATTATACATTATTCATTAACATTTATTATCTTTTATGTATGAAAGCATATTATGTGTGCAAACCTGTCTAATATTCGCCAATTAAACGGAAAATGTAACAAGAAAGTTGAACACGGCAATTTTATAATTTAATGAGTGTCGTATAATTTCTCTCATAGTTATGTCATTGTTATGGCAAACTTGAACAGTGATATAAAAGACGCTAGAGCATTCTGAGTACATAATTTATTACTCTTAGTGGATAACATTCAAGATAAAACGATTATGATTATGATTTGGGATTTTTCAAATAGGTACCTATTGAAAATGTAATGTGAGATTTCACCTGTTTTTCTTCCCTTTTAATCAATTTTTGTGGCCTTATTTAAGTTTCTTTGTACTAATAATCGTAATAACATAGTACATAACAAAATAGGGTTGTAATACAAAACAAAACTTGGACGATTTCGCTTAATTGGCAACCAATTTTGAAAAATAAAGATTGATTTTCAGTTTCAATACAACAGTATGTCCTTATTATAGGTAAAATTGAATTATATTTACAGGAACACATGAAAGAGTATAGAGGCAAAGCCTTCGGAACAATGGCACCACATGTGTTTGCGCTGGCTGAATCAGCGTACAGCTCACTTCAGGTACGGATGGCTGAAACATTACATCATATTCTTATTATCAATATACCGTGTAAAATGTATAAATATCACTCAGATTCGACGTAGTCTCTTTGGGAGGTGGCGTTTTCTATAAGATACTTAAAGACAATGATAGGTACTCTGGGTTCTACGCACTAACTGAGAATTAAAATAACTCGAAAATTTATTTTCAAAAATCCACGAAAACTTCGATTTATAAACACGTTATTTTTTGTTTTGACCTAAAGTAGAGTATATTTTTTAAGCAATATTCGACTATTGTTTCGAAGCTTCTCGCAAAAAGCTGCGAGTGAGGCAGAGAAACAAGAGTAGAATAAATGTGCTTTACCCTTTTTGTGCTTAAGAATAAAGTACCGAAAAGCTGGATATCGATTTTTTCATTTCATACTTCTATAAAGTTACTCAACTTAAAACCTAAAGGTACTCTTAAAATCAAAGCAAATACGAACCATTCCGACTAATTCCATAAACACTAACAGGAATACTATATATATAATTAAAGATTAAGTCGAACGGATCAGTCGTGACAAAAATCGAGATGTTTCGAAAGCAACAAGTGGATATTTTTTAAATTCCGTGTATATTTGAAGGTCGTTTCTAAATATAGAAACAAAAATCCCTTCGGATCTCCTGCTCCTCGGGAACTCAGGAGCTAGGAGTATGTGGTGATTCCACTAAAAACTACCCCGACGGCCGGCCTCAGGTGCCCTAGATGATGTTTCTCTGGGAGGACCTGGACCATGTTATTTCAGGTCCTCCCCGAGAAACATCAGACCTAAAGTCGGCAGTTGATATCCTTGACAGGGGTCACAATTTTCGGTTATTTGATTAAATATAATTTTTTGGCATCATCACAATCAAACGCTAAATTTTTATCGGTTAGCTTGTTATTGACAGGTCAGTTTGTTATTTAGTAAACGAAGCTCAGAAACCTGTAAACACCTCATAACGTTTTAATAATTTAATCTGTAGAATGGTGAAAGGAACCAGTCTGTGGTGATATCTGGAGAGAGTGGTGCCGGCAAAACTGAGACTACAAAGCTTATTCTGCAGTATTTGTGTGCTGCGGGCGGGCAGGCCTCCTGGGCTGAGCAACAGATATTAGAGGCCAACACAGTACTAGAAGCGTTCGGTAAGAATATAAACTAAAGACAATCATTATCATCATCAGCCTATCGCAGTCGTCTGGTGGACATAGGCCTCTAAAGATAATAACCATAGAATTATTTTTTTCGCGATATATAGGACAAAGGAGCAGACGATGCTAACTATAACCTAACTATGTGACTTTGTAACGAAGTCTAAAAAAATCTTCCGAATTACAAGATTTAAATTAATATTGTCATTTTTTTTTTTACATCTTGTGAGAAAAAAAAAATAGCTTCATGCATCCTCCATTCCATGGTTCTACGGGAAACGCCAATACAAAGTACTTTTGGCTTGGAAAGTATGAAACATCAACCTACCTCTTAGATTAGATGGACTATACTGCCACCAATGGACATCAGCAACTAAAACTACTTTGCCGCCCTTTCAAGTCCGGTAACTCCACTCACGTGGTGAAATGCAACAATATTACATTTGAGCCGATGTACGAGTATGGCTCTCCCACGGTTGACTTTTTGCGATAGATACATGGAACTAATCTAGACCCTTACTAGTTGTTTTCGCATAATTTTGGATATTTTCGTACAATAACCGAGACCGGGATAGTTGGCAATCCTTGGGAAAACGTCTCCACTAAACGCTGATATGTGTAAACGTATATGAACGTCCCGCTTAACATTATTTTATGTAGGGTTATTGTTGATAATCAATAATAATAAATTTAAATCTAAACATCGCAGTGACTCATTTGTTTATATCATTTTAATGCCAAAACTTTCATAAATATTACATTTGCATCTTTTATTATTAATATAAGCGCACAGTTGGGACACGGTCACACGATATGACCACCCGAGCGTGACGAATAATACCGCCTGTTATCTTAATAGCTACAGAATTACAGATATAAAGCATGAGCATAATTTGTGGCTATTATGACTCTAATCAAATCCATAAAGTTGTTGCATCTGTCTTCACCTCTTTACTAAATAAATCATAACTCTTAACGGGTTAAGGTGATATTCAATAAAACCCAATCATTCCCCCCTCCCTCCCCTGTTATATTGTTATCAAGTTATCACACCCATAAATATCAACCCCTCATTTAATGTCAAATGCAAGGGGAACGCTTAAGTCACTACTACGCCTTGCTCGGTGCTAAAATCAAATAATGATTCGAATCTGTTTGTCATCAACTTTAATACGCTTTACGTGATTATTGCCCGCAGGCGCAGAAAATACCGACTGCTATGTAATGGTACAGTTACCCAAATAATGTATTGTACTTTCTTGTCTATAAGTTCGATGAAATTTGGCTTGCTCTTGTCTATTCTTTTTACTTATTGACATTCGTCGAAAGCCAAAACTTGACAATTTTTTTTTGTTTTATATACTACAAGTTTTACATGCTCTTCATGAGATTGTTTTGACTTGTAAATGAACTTGTGAAACATACACACTAACTCTGTAAATTTTAAATACTATTTATATACTAGTCAATTCTCTTTTGCAGCAATAAAAATCTTAAGCACACTTCAATACTGTATGCAACAAGAACAGCAATTGACGAAAGTAATATTCTAACACAAATAGCCAAAATTAAGTAAAATGAATAAGTGCTGCACGCAATATTGTTTTTTGCAAGTGTTTGTGATTAACCCACAAGCCGTATTAAACTATTGAAAATAATTAACATTTTTATGTTTTTTTCGTATATTTTAATACTATTATAAACATTGTTTAAAGGTAACGCTAAAACTGTCCGCAATGACAATTCATCCCGCTTCGGCAAATTCGTCGAAGTTCGGTTGGATCACCGCGGTGGCATCAAAGGCGCCGTGCTCAGAGATTTCTTACTGGAGAGAGCGAGGATCACGGGACCAGCACCAAAGGAAACTAATTACCATGTATTTTATCAACTCGTAGAGGGTGCTAAGGTCAGCTATTTAAAATTTACTCAAAACGTTTTACTATATAAGCAATTACATATAATTGTACAATATATAAACAGCTCAACAAATTGTTTTTTTTTTTCTCATTACAGCACAATGCAGAACTTCGCACATCACTGCGTCTTCGCGAAGGCGTGCAATACAAATACCTTCGTCCTGAAGACGAAGAGGCTCACAGGGGTCGTGGCGGTGAACAAGGCAAGCTAGAAGCGTTGCAGCTAGCTCTCACTGTATTACAAGTCCCGCCTCACATGTGCGAAGGGCTATTCAAAGTGCTTGCAGCCATTCTTTGGCTTGGAAATATACATTTTGAGGTACGTACATTATTATACCAACCTATTTTGGCGCAATAACTCTTAATAATCTCGTAAGCTTTTAACAGTTTTCTTTGTTACCATTCAATGCTTTAAGAAGTCAATACATCCAATAAAATAAATTCGAAATTTGAAAGTTTTTTGTATGAATTAGTCATTTAAAACAGGTTCTTTTTCGTGAGAAACAGAAATATTAATCTTGGTAATTATTGGTTTGGCTTGGTTCGACATGTTAATTATACATGTCGAAATCATAAATCACAACTATTATTTTTTTGTAATTGTAGGATGTGGATGGTGAACGCACTACTCTAGCCGCTGAAGACTCGGAAGCGGTGGACGCAGTAGCCAACTTATTGGGACTACCGTTGCCAACCGCACGTAGAGTACTGTTGGAGAGACAGATCAACGTGCGCGGCAATGTCACTGACATTCCACTACGACTGCCCGAGGTAAGTGAAGCGATCGGCAGAAAACAAAAACCTTTTAAAAAATGGTTTATTTTTATTCTACAGCAAGTTGTCCCTTGCAAATAAAATAAAACAAAAAAAAATCATGACTGACATGCATTTTCAATAAATTTGTTAATTCGTTTACATTCCGTACTGAGTATTGTAAAACATTTTTAATTTTAAAGACAAATCGAAAACCGTTAACGACTTCGATGATAGAAGTCCGTTTACAATCATGGATAAAAAAAAAGAAAACCGACAATGACCATGTACTTATTTATTTATTTTCGTTTATTGCACCTCGTCAACAATTTAAATAATTTAATTTAAACAATTTTATTGTGTGCAGGCCCGCGAGAACCGTCACGCGATGGCGCGTGCGCTGTACGCGCGCACATTCGCGTGGCTCGTGCGGCACGTCAACAGCTGTTCGGCGCCGGGCCGCGCGGCTCGGGCTCTGGGCGTGCTCGACATATTCGGCTTCGAGAACTTCGGCACCAACTCGCTCGAGCAACTCTGCATCAACTACGCCAACGAGAAACTACACATGTTCTTCAACAACTACGTGTTTGCGCTCGAACAGGAGATTGTGAGCTATTTGTAACATCGTACTCTCTAACAATAGGCAATATAGTAAATTTATTTCCATAAATATCTCACAGCACGAGTATGCTACAACAAGTGTCATCTAAATGTAAAATTACAAAACATTAATTTGAATTTTAAATCCAAGTATAAACACAAATTAAGTAAAGTAAAATAAGTTATTGCATCTTGTTGCGTATTATAAATTTTGGACGATAAAAATACACCTAGGTGTAAATAAACTAAAACTAAAATAAACTAATTTAAAACACCTATGGCGTACGATATTCGGTAGATTTATTTTAAAATTGTCTTAGAACGACACCTGTCGTTGTTTTTCTTTTTGCGACATGATCATTAACATGAAGAAATGTTGTTTCAGTATCGTCAAGAGGGTATCGTCTACAATCAAATTCCATTTACGGACAACGGGGCATGTCTCGAGTTACTGGAAAAGCCACCACGAAGCTTACTCAAACTGCTTAGTGAACAGTGCCACATGCCTAAGGTGATTATAGACGATTTTTTCAGCTAAGATTGTGAGATTGTGAGACCCCCAGATCAGGGTATTGCTGTATTAATGCACTTTTCTTTTATTGTTTCGGTTCTATGTTTAAAATACAAATATAATTAACTAATAATATCAAAAAGGTCCCACAAGTGTGACTTGCGACAAAGTTGGAAGGCATACTTATTACATCATTTTATTTCTACCAATTCATTTTAGGGCTCAGACAGCGCCTATCTAACAAACATCAAAGGAGAATTCGGCGAACACCAGAGCTTCGTGAAAGGCGACCGGAGAAAATGGGAAGAAGAATTCGGGGTACAGCACTACGCCGGCAACGTCAGTTACAGCGTGAAAGGCTTCGTCGACAAGAACAGGGATACGCAACAAGACGCGTTCATAGACCATCTGTCTCGTTCTACCAACCCATTTGTGAGAGAGCTAGCTGACTATGTTCACGATCTGGCACCGCCTGGACAGGTCTGTTTATTATTTTAATGGATTACAGCGAATAAACATATCCTAAATGTAACATTATAACTACATTCTGAATTGTCCTCCATTTTTCTTAAAAGAAATGACAACTCCCGCACTAGGAACACATCCTAAACAACAACAGAAACAACTCAGAACAACAATTTGTGGATTACACAGTGTTATCCCATATGGGGATCGAACCCACAATACTTAGCGCAGTAGTCATCTCGCGCCATCCGTGCAGTCAATTATCAAATTCAGTCAATTGTCAATTTACTATTGTTTTTATATCTGCAAATCAAAGTTAAATATAAATTATTTAAAAATAGCTTTCATGGCGTCGCGCCATAGTATTTCATACAAACATACATGTATCGCCTATCGTTTTGACGTTTAACCTCTCACGTGCCGCTGCGCTGATGAACGCTCACCGGTGAAAGCATTTTACAGTGTAGCGGCATGTTACGAGAGGTTATTAAACAGATACTGATTTGAGTTGACAGTCATTTTCTCCCAACATATAACAAGGTTTCTACACCACCCAAAAGTTGGCTGGTAGGGAATGCCCAGGGCATTAAGTCCGCCGATACACATAGTGCATAAAGTTGTAAATAAAAATAAATAACAAGGTCATTAAGTAATAATTTCCTGTTTTTCTAAATGTAAACATTACATCTGTATATATTAATTTATAAGTGATTTCTTTAGGACACGTCACTATCGAGTCCAAACTCAACGGGCACGACACAGCGTGGCACATCCAAAGGGCGTCCCACGGTCGTGGACACATTCAGGGCTCAATTGCAATCCCTTGTCGATATGCTACAAGCTACTGATGTATGGTTAGTATCACGTTTTCTTGCAATATCGGCATAGTCTTAAAAAAGATTTACTCGGGAACAGTGTTTTTTTTTTCAGGATGAAATATTACTCCTGAAATATGTCAAAAAAATGCAATAAAAAATAACAAGTAACATGTTTTTATCTTAGGTATGTTCGGTGCATAAAGCCGAACAAGAACAAGGACGCCGGCAAGTACGATGATCAACTCGTAATGGAACAGCTTCAGTACCTTGGCATGAACGAGATTGTCCGGATACGCAGGGATGGTTACCCGATACACCTGCCCACGCCGCACTTCCAAGCTAGATACAGATGTCTGCTGTCGCACCCCAGACCTAAGAATCCGGAAATAAGGTGTGTAGTGAGTCAAACAGTTACATTTTAAAGTGTTATTAGAATATAGTTTTAGTAACACAATTTTTGTTAACGATAGTGTATGGTCTCAAAAATGTACTTCCTGTAATTTAAGTGACTCATCTTTACAAACCATAGTTTTTTAATTTCGATTAGATGAAAGTTATAAATGGAATAAAATACTGTAACAATTTCTGTGCGGAGTGCGGTAATAATACCGTAAATGAAAGTTTAAAAATAATTAAAAATGTATACCTATGTTAAGTAAATTTTAAACACTTTCCCACGCTCACTGATTAAAGTAGTGTTTAAACATTATAATATAATTTTTATAAAATAAGATACTTACTTTTTGCATCCTCAGCGCAATAACAGCGATAGTGAATGCTCCGAAGAACGACTGGCAGATCGGTCACACGAAGATATTTATGAGGTCGTCAGTACATGCGCCACTCGAGGCGAAGCGGAGTGCGCTCTTGCAGTCCTCTGCTCTGCGTATACAGAAGGTACACACAAAACATTTATATATTGTATATACATTTGAGAATCTAACTTATTTTATACTTTATATTTGTTTCGAACTTAAACTATGACTTGACCAATAGGATATCGACTTCTTTCACTGTCGGTTGGTATTTTGTCCTTCGTGCAATTCTTCAGTTAGAAGAATCCATGCTTACAATCTAAAATGTGATGAAACAAGGGAAGGTTACGTGAATATTAGTGTTACTTTTTCATAAATACTCTTTTTATTCGTAAAAAATATTTTTTTAATAACTTTATCAATTATTAACTTAACGAAGAAAAGGTGGATGGACTGCGTGAGGGATATGGCTAGGAAGGGAGTAAACAGTGAGATGACGCATGACAGAGTAGAATGGAAAAATCATACATACTGCGCCGACCCCAAATAAAATTGGGAAAAGGGTAGGCAGATGATGATGATCAATTATTAACTTAGTAAGTAGTCATTAAGTAGTTACCTGTAGTATTAAATTGAAATATAAATTGAAATACAAAGAGTAAAGGGAAGGAAAATTTAAATTTTTACCGAGTAAGTTATAATGTGGTGTGTTACGGTCGCGGTGCAGTGGTACAAGGGGTGCGTGGCTCGCGCGCAGTACGTGGTGTGGCGGCGCGCGGCGGTGGTGCTGCAGGCGGCGTGGCGCGGCTGGAAGGAGCGCGCCGCCTTCCTGCGCATGCGCCGCGCCGCGCTCACGCTGCAGCGCCATCTGCGCGGGGCCTTCGCGCGGGAGGTGGCCGCCGCGCTGCGCGAGATGAAGCGCGTCAACCAGGAGATCAAGCTCCGGGAGGAGAGGAACAGGTACCCGACCGCCTCATCCGTTCACTCTGATTTTGTAAAATGCATTGTTCTCAGATTTAAATTATACCATTCGATTTGTTTCATTGGCACTAATAGCTTGTTTTTAATTTTGTTTACTTGATTTTTTTTATTTTCCAGTCTTCAAGAAAAGGTGAACTTAGAACGTGCCGAGCTGGAAAACATGGCCGACCAACTTCGAGGGTTGTCTTGCCCGACGAGCACCCGAGCGGAGTCCGTGAACTTGGACAATTTGTTCGACTTCTTAGCAGACGTACCGACACAGCGCGGAGCGCCCGACGGGGAACCTGACGCTCACCAGCCTACTATAGCAGAAATAGGAGATTCGATGGAACGACTCGCAGATGATCTTCATCAAGAGGTTCGTACTTCTTGTAGAATTAGAAAAATATATGGTGACCACATAATGCCTTGAAATCTATCGAGCCGACCTATTTGTGACGGCGCCTGGCTGTCCCTCCGCGAAATGAATACATTAATAATTAATTACATACAAATATTGTTTTAGCTGGAGCATGTTTTAGCCGCCGAGATGAATGAACTAAGCAAGTCTCATACGGAGGCTCAGCGCAAGCCGGACGGAGCGCCGTCGGATGCCATCCCTCCGCCCCCGCCGAGCTCGCTCCCCATTCAGCCCATCATGCCCCCAGCCCCACCGCCACCGCCTCCAGATATGACCTCATCTATGAATGGTGCGTTATATTATAAATTATCTACCTTATTTAAAATATTGAAACGAGCGTATGAATTAAATATGACGTTTCATCAATCTGTTTTGCTCCGTTAGTTGGTTAGTGAAAAGAGTAAAATATGCATGACAAGTTAAAAAAAACGGTAAATGTAGCAAAAATAAGAATGAATCACCATATTAGCTGCCGTTTGCGATACTCAGAAATGTATATTTTAGCAGGTGAAAAGCGATCAGTAGACTATCGACTACCCCACCTACCACATCGGACCAAGTCGGACAGGTCTGATTATGTCAGAAACAAACTGTGCACTACCTTTAACTAGAAACTTCTGAATATCTGATTAAACATTCAGTAAACAAAATATATTATGACTAACAGGTGTAATGTCGACATCTTTGACCAATGGTATGTCGCCGATGTCGAACGGCGACGCAATGACGTCATCGTTGATAATGCCCCCGCCGCCGCCCAACGAGCCCATGACGGAGGATTCCCCGGTGTTCCCGCCACCGCCCGTCACGTGCTCCCTCCCAGAACCGGCTGGACCACCGCCACCACCACCTTCAGCCATCAAAGGTATTTTGCTTCCTAGAAACAAAAAAAAGTAATTAGTTGTTGCACATTTTTTGTGATCCACACATTGTCGTTTTGAGTCTGGGTGCTCTTTGTATCCGTTTCATGTATGTTTGTAAAGTGCCCCGCGACACAGGATACCTAGTGCGGGAGTTTTTTTTATTCTATCGAGGATAATAACATTTGTAATTTATCATTCCAGCTATAACACCGCCAGAACTTACAAACGGGGTGATTCCTAACGGAAAACTGCCGGTTGTGAAGGGCAAAGAGCCTATCTACGAGGCAGTAATACCGCGGCCTGGAACTGACAACACTGCCCCAGTACCACCTCCTCCGCCAACTGACAATGGGTAATGACTTTATCTAGTAAAAAAAATGAGTTAGAGAATGTTGTTTGTTGTTTTTGATTTGGAGCAATTTGAAAAAAAGATCATTAAATTGCATGTATGAAGAGCCTAGTGACTGAATGATTTGAACAAAACCCGGTCTTTTTGAAAAATCCTCATAGTTTGTTTATTTTATCTTTTAAACAGATTTGTCATCCAAAAAACAAAAGAGCTTGAATCAGAAACGGAACCTTCAGATGCCCCACTCCCGCCGCTACCGGTAGCCGAGACCCCCGCATCGCCACCCCCAGTACCCATGGACACTTGTATCAGTCCACCTCCTGCCATGAATGGAGAGGCCACAGTAAGTTTTAGCCACGTTTATTTATCACAAACTTTTTATGCAACAATGAAATAATACAATAAACGAAAAACTGTCATTAATCGATTCTTGATTTACCAAAAATAATTTTATTTAAACAAAATTTATATGTCTACAAAATTTGATCACAATCGTAACAGCCGTTACTGAGATACACGAATCTATATCTATATACGAAACCTAACCTATATATAATAGTTGTAAAGCACTTCTTGAGAGATTGCACGATGCCTCAGACACCACAACATCGATATAAATTACTCTTTGCAGGGCTATGACCGCAACGCACGCCGTAAGGAACGCGTAGAGCGTCGACTTCACCAACTGGAGGCACCTCCCCCCACCACCCCACCTGCTACAGACCCTCCTAACGATATCACAGAGTTCGCTAAACTATACTTCAATGACCATCCGAGGTCACCCGAAGGTAACCGAACCTTTCCGAACATGTATATTTTCAACGGCACAGAAGATTTTTTATTAAATTTGATGTTAAATGGCTAATAATTTTTCAGGTACAATAATAGCGACTTTGACACGTAAGAGCAAATCTATGGAGTTACTGACCAAAGAGGAGATGATCACATACCACAAAGGCAATAACATTCCCACCTCACACATACAACTGCACGATCCTGACAGTGTCACCGCTGCCGTAAATATATTTAGAGTAAGTAAAATATCGAAAGTTTTATTTATTTAAGAATCATATCGTTATGTAAAAAATGATATTAATGTTTCGTGTCTTTCAGGATCTGTGTCGGTATATGCGAGGCGAATTGACAGCAGACAAAGAAACACAAGTCATACAGTCCATTATAGGCAAAGGTATAGAGCGTGAAGAGCTGAGAGATGAGATTTTGGTGCAGTGCGTTAGACAGGTAAACATTCATTGCCTGAAATATATATCGATGTGATTTGACAGATATATGAAAAACATGAAAAGCTTGTCCTTCTGGGTTCATGTTACATTTTATAGATTTTGTCAATAGTGATGCTCCTTTGTTTTTCAAACGAGAGATTAGGTTTTAAAATTAGATAAGATTTTCATTTTTTCTGGAACTTGGGTATGGTGACTCCTAAACATGGATTTTAGGAGTGAACAGAACGGTATGTGTGTCGGCAGATAACGGAGTGTCCGACGGAGGAGTGGGCGGAGCGCGTGTGGCTGGTGCTGTGCCTGTGCGCGGTGGCGTGGCAGCCGTCGCGCGGCCTGGCGCGCTACTACAGCGCGTGGCTGCGAGCGCGCGCTCGCCCGCCGCCGGGCTCGGGCGGCGCCAGCCCGCAGGCGGCCGCCGCTCCCGCCGCGCGCGCCGCGCACTGCGCGCAGTGGTGCCTCGACAACTGCCGCGGCGCCGCGCCGCGCCACCTGCCTCCCAGCACCGTCGAGATCGCTGTGAGTACACCACTGTCACTGACTCTTCAAACGATCGTTTTTATCGACCTGATTTTGTTGACTAATGAAATGCTTTTGCACTGAGATCTTTATTAACTACTTTCAAAATTTCGTTTTACTTACTGAGTGCCAGTTAAGTATAGTCCAAGTAGTAAATAGTGGAGTGACGATTTGTGCAAGACGGCTGGCAGGAGCTGGATGCGAGAAGCCCAAAATCTAAGTAGCGTGCAATGGGAGAGGCCTATGTCCAGCAGTGGACTGCGATAGGCTGATGATGATGATGAAGTAGTAAATTGCCAAAACTCTATTTACGAGCATATAAATTATATCAACATCTGTTATTAGTAAAAGTCGTTATAGATATATAAATGTATTAAACCAATTTTGATAGTAGACATTTTGTCTTAAAACAGTCCACAAGATTTAATAAACCAACGCTAACAACTCGTGGAGATGATTTACGAAGAAGTCAAAAATTCATTTGGAGTTTCAAACACGAAACTGTTCAAAAACCTATGTATTGTGCAAATGAAGTTGCTTGCTTTAGAAATGAAAGAAAACTGAGCAAGGTACATTCAAATTTGAATGTTCTGTATTTCATAGATTTATTATTCTATTTGTATGTATCTGTCATAACCAACTTGTTTTGTTACTAAGATTGAATAAAGAACAAAAATAGTATTTTGAAGATAATCATAAACTGTCAAAATTACTAGAATATCTTTATCTGGAATCCAAGTGAGTCCTACTTTCTTCTGTGTGTATGTAGCTAAAATTAAATCACTGATGATGTCTTTATTTACTTAGGCAATGCGTCGCCTGGGCACAATAGTTTGCCGATTCTTCTTCTTGGACGGCCGCACGAAAGCTATCGACGTGCACCCAGCGGACACGGCCGCTGCTGCCGCCGCTCGTCTGGCTGACAAGCTGGGCCTTTCGCCGCACTCACGCACGGGCTGGGCCGTGTACCAACAGCGAGCCGGTACTGAGGAACACGTGCGAGCCACACATTACCTGTATGATGTGATAGCTGCTTGGGAAATGTGAGTCAATCTTTAGAAGTAAAAATATTCATATTATAGGTATGTCATGTGCGCTTTGCACCTGCATACATCATTAAACGTATTTGTGTATTATTGTTAATAGAAAATATCAGCACATTTGGCGCGATTTTCTGAAACCATTCTTGTTTTAGCAATTCATATAAATAAAAAAGAACTAACTTTCAAATGAGCTTTGCCTCTGCTATCAACTAAGCGTATTCGCACGTATACGTTGTGTTCGTACTTTACTTTTGAATAGGAAATAAAAGCGCCGTAAATGATTACAAGCTTTACGTATGGATAAACTAAGAACGAAACACATTTATGGATAACATAAAGAAGAAGTCCCTTTTTATCCCAAAACGGCTTTAACAATATATATTTCTAATTACCGCACTGTTTCTAGGCAACAAGGTCCTGGAGGTGGCTCAGCCGACAATCGCTTCGTGTTTAAACGTCGTCTGTTCCGCGGGGGACGTGAGCTGCCACACGATCCTGTTGAAGTGGCGCTCCTCTACGCACAAGCCGTGCACAGCGTGGTCAAGGTAAATAGATAGTAGACACATCTCCCACATCCACATCACACCTTAAAATTTAAAAATAAAACCAAACATGGATTTATAAAAAAAAAACGATTCCGTTTCTTTCACGATGATCTGAATAAATGGCTTTAATACCTTATTCGTTGGTTTTGAGTCACATAAGTAGCCCTGTTGTTACTAATATTCACTGGATTTTCTTTGCGTAATTCTTTCTAAAAATATAAGAATGTAGTTAAAAGAATTATTGGTCAATCTTTGTCACCTTGTTTTGTTCTCAACAGATGGATGAGTTCCCAGTTTCGGAGAAGGTGGCTCTGCAGCTAGCTGGTCTGCAAGCACAGGTGTCTTTGGGCGAACCTCCACCCAGCCCGCCGCCCCCTCACACTCGTGCATACTACGCACAGCCCGAACAATTCCTGCCGCAGAGGATTGCAAGGGCCAGACCAGCTCATCAATGGGTAAGCAAGAATTAATGCAGTAATAATGAAATACATTATAATCAAGTCATGATTAAGCATAGTTTCACAGGGTTGAACCTAAATGGCTGTTAATATGAAAAAGAGTTAGTTTTTTTTTGCTTTAAGTTGTTGCCTAATTGACTCACTGTAACTAATTTGTCTTTAAACTTTTGTCCAGGCGACGATCCTGGCTCAAGCGCACCGTCAGTACGGCGCAGGACGCGCGGAGTTGACTGCCAAAGCACTGTACCTGTCTTGTGTGATGCAGTACCCGCTGTATGGCGTTACTCTATTTCCTGTCACATATAAGGGATATTGGGCTCATGGTGTGTACAACATGTAACTTATTATTATAATGTGTATGTGTGTAGGTACTATATCTATATTATCATTATCTTACAAATGTTTTATTTGATAGGTCCCAACGTGTTGTTGGGTGTGGGATCCGAAGGCGTGGTCTTAGTCAGACCCACGGACAAAGTGGTGCTTGCTGAGTACCCATACTCCAATATTGCGGCTTTGCTTATGGATCCTGTAGATAATGGGCTCACTATCAGCTTGACACACCATGGCCAACATGATGGACACAGGTAAATGTGACTAGAATTAAAGTATTTTCCGAACATAAAATTTGTGTAGCTTTATATAACAGAAAGAGTGTCTCTGAGTGAGAAATGATAAGCATGATTTTGGTTGATTGATTGATTTTAAATTCAGAAAGATATGATGTAAGAAGTGACAGTTTAAATAGGTTGTAAATCAAAGGTTTGAGATATGACATAGACATAGACATATATTTATTGCATAAAAACTATGTACAAATACGAGTGTTTTTACATATTGGTATCAGGCTCAACAGTTACCCAGTTCAGGTGTTGCAATTTATGTATAATCAAATTGAATACATAATTAAATGATACGGCTACACTATTTTAGCATCAAAGAATTCTTTCAGACCATAGAACACATTGTTTGTTAACCACTTTTTTAAACTATTTCTGTTTAACTTTTTTTATGTCTGCCGATGAAACGTTAAGATAATGTAATTTTGATGATACTATTGTATATTTCAATTTATATATATACTAAAAAGGGGATTTAGTGTATGTACTCGTATTTATTGTCACGTATACGTATATGTTCGCATGTGTGCGTAAGCTTAAGCGTTAATTTTTCTAGGTGCATAGTGCTGGAGTCCAGCGCGAAGCACGAAGCTGCGTGGTTGATGGCGGCGTACAGCCCGGTGCTGGGCAACGGGCTGGCGGACGAGCCCCCGCGGCGTGCGGCGCCCGCGTCGGAGCGCTCGCGCCTGGCCGCCGCGCTGCGCAGCGCTCGCCGCGCCATCGTGGACGCCGGCGTGCTACGTCGCCCCGCGGACGCCACGCCCGGCAATTTCCTCAGGAACACGTTACGCAGGTACCTATTTACATCAAATTAATCCTTTAAAAATCTTGTCTTGAACGGCTAAGTCTATTATTTTAAATGTTATAAAGATTGATTGTAAAATGTAAAAAAGGTATTTATGTCTGTATGTAGTGTACGTATGTATTACTGACATCACCCGCCATAGATACGGGATTTGTTTTTTTTTCTAAACATAGTTCCACGTCGAGCTAGTCACTGTTCTCACGAAAGAAGCCGCTTTAGCGGCGCTAAATTGGTCTAAACATAGGTCTGATTCAAAAACATCTAACGTCTTGAAAATATATATTTTTATCAGACAAGCATTAACATAGCCAAGTAACTTTTTTTATAACATAGGGGAGGCAATTTATCCGTAAACCTAGGCTACACCGGCTCATATCTACATAAAACTGATAACAAATAACACGGGCCTTACTAGCTAGTGCGGATCTATTTGTCGGGCGAGGGATAAACCAGTCATTTCCTACTTTACACAAATTTTCAGTAATTGTGTTAATTACAGTAAATATAATATTTCTGTCATACAGTGCTTACAAATAATGTCAACCTATCACACTTGTACGCATTACAAAGACGTAAAAAAATATTTGTGACATTTAACGTATATTTTATATACCTACTATATAATTAGAGCCTTATTAAAAAACCAAGCAGACCCATAGAGTTGAATATCAGCGATATAGATAAGTTTAATTTTATCAAGGATTAACACATTCAAAATTTTATAATAAGGTTCTTATTAGGACATTATTGCTCTCAATATACAGTCGTAGATAATTACTTTACTCATACAACACAATTACCTACAGGTGGATTCGAGATTCCAACAGGAAATGACACCCTGTTATCAAAAGATGTACAATAAGTAACTACTTTTAGCGCTCTCCTTAATAACCTTTAAAATACACGGGTTGGGGTCCCCCACACAGCCACAAGCGCTAACTTCGGTGAATACTAAGTGCATCTGATCTTTGTTGAAGAGAAATGCACTCTCTCATTTTACATCATGGATCAGTTTTCTCTACAAATTCACATTCATACTGCATGCCGTAACCTGTATTCCATAAAAAAAAATACATTCATCACAGGCTAAACGAATTTAATTTATACGTTTAGCAACTCAAAAGAGATTTTCATATAATTATTAATATTTAGAAACCACTATTTCGAACTTTTCAAACGTGATGACGTGCTTTGTTTGGACATTTTGTCTGTTAGTCTAATAATATTTGGACCTTCTGTCTATTGGCATTTTTTTCCAAACATGCGAATAAACATGTTAGGTCCTTTGGACCTAATAAATGTAAATTACACCTAAATAAAATAATCCTCAATTAATCAGACTATAAATTTAACCTTGGTTTTTATTATTTAATTTTAAGTAACAAACATATTAAATGTTTCATTTAACTCAAACATCATTTTTTATTTTCACTTCATGCTTTTAAGTGGGTCTAAAATTGTAGTCTGCTAAATGTGGGCATTTAATATGCTTCTGTCTCTACCCCTTAGGGAGTAAGGCCCGTATTTTAAAAGACGTCTAGTATCGGTTGAACTCTGATTGCTTGAAACTAGTTTTAAGTGCAGATCAAAACTTACGTATAGGTCTTATTATGGAACACGTTTTAAGTTTTACTCAGTTGAAACTAGTTTCAAGTATTGATTTGATCTTAGTCTTTTCTCAATTACGTTTCCGCGTGATTGACATTATTATTCCGTATTACGCAGCTATCTATTTAAAAAAATAATTTTCTTTTACCAACATAATTTATTTGAATTTGTATGTAGTTATACTATTGGCTAGTGTAGCAATTATAACATATTAACTTGTTGTTCGTCCAAAATCAAACGATGTTTTTATTTTTATATTTCAAACATTTATATTACTAAATAATATTATACTTTTAACATAAACCAATAAAATCTTTCGTAAATAAAGTAAAGTAAATCATTCAGAAACAAATGATCGTAAAACACATTCACTTCCCCTAAAATACCGCTTGAGACTAGTTTCAGCTTGTCTCACGTAAGCAAAGATCACAGCTGTCAAAATCTATAAAAAATGTGTAAAGATTTCGTCATAAACATCGTTCTGAAATAAGCTATCACTCGAGTACGGATCGGAGAATCTCGTTTTAAGAGACGTTCAATAATAAAATCTATACTTAAAATTCACGACTGACGCCTTTTAAAATACGGGCCTAAAATATTGTGTTATTGTCAGATGTAAAGTGTTAGATGTCATCATGCTTTTTGTAATAAATGCTGATTTATATGATTTAAAGGTCTCCAAAACATACCATACACAGTTATACCTTAAAATAAATGTTTCACAATAAGCTTTCGGTATACTCCCTCAATAATAGGAAACACTAGTAACAAGTTATTTTAAATTAAAACAACTTGTTACTAACGCCGTATATTTACAAATACACAAATTTAAGATGCACTTATTCATCGATGTAGACGCAAGTGGCTGGTCTTACCCATAAACTGATAGATGTTATATTATTTCATAGATTAAGTAAGCATAGACTAGAAAAGTTACGCCTGGACATGGCGGCGGAGTCTTCTGGAGAGAGTTACAAGAATTTCCCGGCCGGATATTGGTGCTGGTCGCGGACCCTGCCGCATAGCCTCACCAAGCTCAACGAGGCTGAAGAAGTGGCCGCTATGCAAATATTTAAGGTATATATTTAATGATATATATATATAGATATAATTTACTTTCCTTAATGGACCAGACTAGATAAGAAATAGTACATGGCAAAATTTTACGGATTAGTGTAAGCAGTCTTCATTACATTGATGAATAGTTTTTGTTCTATAAGAAATTTAATTTAATATGGTATTAAATTCCTTTTAGATTTTTCAATATTGTCGTTCAAATTGTCGTTGATAATTATACTTACACATAAATAAGTTTAAATAGTGCACTACCTGTTATCAGTTAAAGAAACATCTGGTTATGTTCTAGGGTTGGAAGACAGCAATCTTATTTTAAAACTGAAAAATTGAATCTAATTATTGAACAATATAGTTATCATTCATTCATTTATATTATCTTACATATTCTTGGATATTCGTTTCTTCAAAGATGGGTTGTTCTATGCAGGATATAATGAGCCACGCGGGGCTAAATACGAACGAATCAGGTAGCACAACGAACCTGGCCAACAACAACGTGGCCGCTGTAACTCACGAGGCGGACAGCGACGATCGCACCGCGCTCGCTCAGGCGTTGCTGCAACGATGTCTGCAGAAGGACACGCTCCTGTGTGAACTGTACATGCAACTCATTAAGCAGGTAAGCTTGAGAATCGGTCTGATTTGATGTATGAGTATGTTAAACGGTGATTGAAAAATAAGGACATGAATAATAAGGGCTGATCGGTGCGTTTACACTGAAAGACGTGTACTGCCCAGGGCCTGCTATTTTATGTTAACGCCAAGACACTGTTGACGTGCTATTGAGATGCCATTGACATCGGTCAAAATATCGGGATTCTACTAACGTAAATAGACTTTTGATATAGTAATATAAATCACCAATGGTAAAACTAATAACATTGCCATATCTGGCCATATCTGGCAAAAAATGCGGGAGTTCTTTTTAAAAATAGAAAATAGAATATTAAAATAGCAGAATTGAGGCCCAGATCGGCGTTATACTGAAAAAGGACGGATGGACTTTTTTTTTATTTATATATTCAGTAACAATAAAAATTGTGTTTGAATGCTTTCATGATAACTTAAAGTTTCGACGAATTGATAGTACCCGTAACCTCGTAACCAGAAAGGGCAGATAAAGTGGAAGTGAGCAAAGATGTGTGTCAGGATCTTATGGTAAATGAAATGCAATGTGCAGACGACTGAGCACCCGGACCCTTCGTCGCGCGTGTCGGCGCGGCACTGGGCGCTGCTGTGCGCGGCGGTGGGCGCGGCGCTGCCGCCCGCCAAGCCGCTGCGGCGCCTGCTGCTGGCGCACCTGCGCTACCGCGGCACCGCGCTGCACGCCGGCGAGGAGGGCAAGTTCGCGCGCCGGGCCGAGCAGGTACGAACAATACTTTGAACAAAGGACCACAATTATATATTTTAATAAACGTTTTGTAAATGAACGTTGTCCTGCTAAAAGCATACCAAAAATTAATAATTAAATATAAGGTCACACCCTGCGTCTGTCTTTAACGTTCATTGTTCGAATGAGATTACTTACAATGTATGTATGTAATCCTGTAGGTGGCGCTGAGTATAGCGCAAGTACCCCGCCGTCTGGCAGCACCGTCGCGTGAAGAGATCCTGTGTGCGGCGGCTCGAAGGCCCATGCACGTACGCGTGCTGCTGCTGGACGGCAAACAGCACGGGCTCGTTTTCGGCCCCGCCGCCACCGCCGACCACCTCGTCACCATGCTGCGCGAGAAGATCGGCCTCAGCGACGCCGCCACCGGTTCGTGTACTCACTTTCAAAATTAGAAGAATACTATACTACCTACTTTTAAAAATGAATTTGTGGTATCGTATAAATAATGATTTACAGTGAACCTAATCCCCGTTTTTGAATCTAATGCGTTTTTTCCGTTTCAATCAAAAACGTTGACACATTAATTTTTGACTATTAATTTTATAATTATGATGATGATTTATTTTTTACACTTCGAAATAGATAGCCGTAGGATTCGAGTACACAGCCCACATTCTTAAGTTCGTTATGTGTATTATTCTCAGGCTACGCGCTGTACGAGGTTTGCGCTAATTCGACCCCGGCCGGTGCGGGCGAGCGCGCGTTGAGCGGGACCGAGCGCGTGGGCGACGTGCTCGCGCGGTGGGAGAAGGCCGGAGCCACGGCTGCTGCGTGCAGGTAACCTACAGTCAACCCGTCTTTAAACTGTTTGCCCCCTGTGACGTGACTAACTGTTATTATTAACATTTAATTGTTACTTTGCAGATTGGTGTTTAAAAAGCGTCTATTTTTGGGTGAGCGCCCTCTACAAACAACGTGTGCGGCGGAGATGGAACTTCTTTACTACCAAGTTTTACACTCAGTACGGCATGACCGATTACCCATCGAGACTGATGAAGCCGTAAGTTTTTTTTCTAAACGTTCTTATACTACCAGTAAATATTATTAGATTTAAATTGATAAACAAATTTGACATAGGTAAAATCGTTTCTTAAACGCTATTTTTGCCGTCAGTATTTTCGGAGGTTATCTTTATATGGACTATACTCATGTACATCTTTTCTTCGTTGGGGATTGCGGTGTACAGTAGTGTTTTTACTTAAATGAGACATATTGAGTGAGGCGGTGTGCGCAGGTGATGTTGGCGGCGTTACACGCGCAAGTTGTGAAGGGCGAGTGCGCGGGCGGGGGCGAGGAGTGCGCGGCGGCGGCCAGCGCCGTGCTGCCGGCGCGCCTGGCACAGCCCGCGCTGCCCGCGCCCGCCGTGCGCCTGCACCACCTGGCGCTGCGCGGCACGCCGCCGCCCGCCGCCATGCAGCGCGCGCTCACGCTGGCCTCGTCGTGGCCGCTCACGCGCGCCACCATCTTCGACGTGATGCAGTCGTTCACTTCCAACTGGCCGCGCGCGCTTTGGCTGGCCGTGGACGCCCGCGGCCTCACGCTACTGCGGCGCAATTCGCGCGCTGCGCTCGTGTCACACGACCACGACCAGCTGCTGGCCGTGTCGCCCGCGCCGCGCGCTCTGCTGCTCGTCACGCGGGCCGACAGAAAGCACGCTAAACTCGTGCTTTCCACCGACCAGGTACGTGCCACTCGTAACCTTAATGTGATAATGTTACCTAAACGTTACGTTCTCTTCTCTTTTTTTGTCGTTAGTTTAACATTTTGTGAAAAAATATTATTTATATTATAAAAAATAAAACATTTCATAAAACGTTCTAAATGTTACATAATAATTTGATCCAGGCGTACCAGATCGCGACTCTGATCAAGGACTACATCGAGGCAGTCCGCGGGCCCGTGTCCCCGGCCGTGGCGGGCGTGGCCGGCGCTGGCGGCGCCGAGGCGGGCGCACCGCCGTCGTGACACCCGGCCGCCTAGTGCCAGTGCTTCCACGTCCGGCGCTAACGTGCACGGGCACGCCTAGCGGGCGAGGGTACACGGACGCGATCCGGTTTATACGCCGACAGATTACACGTTACACACGATTTTAAATAGGGGACTAAATAAACCCGTCGAGAAACTCTCGAATTTCCAAATTAAATTAAACGAATAGATATCAGTCTGTCGACTGTACATATAAAAGTTTTTATATTTTTTTCGTTCGAGTCTTCCATTCTAATATGGGGTTTGTCTGAAAAATAAATCGTGTTAACGTTAATCTGCGCTTGTAAAATGCAAGTGCAAGTATGAGTCCGAGTCAGCAACGAGCACTAGATTAATTGGATATAAGAAGTTGCTTACTTGGAGTCCGCCGAGCTCGCTGTCTGAACACAGATGGAAACGCCAGTCACGACGGGAACGTTGATAGTGACAAGTAAATGAAATATGCACTCCCACAATCCTGCGATTAAGTGGATTGTTTGATTTTTATTTTCTATTACAATTAGTTTCACATCGTAGTAACACGTAAAGCATTTACTTCACGAGCAACAGGTCTGAACAAGTGGTGTTTGGTTTCGAGTGTCAGGATGGACGATTTCAGTTGCCAGAAAAGACGGGGAAGCAAAATAATTCATAATTCCATAGTATCTAAAAAAAATTAGCCCACTACTATAAAATAGTTATTATATTCCGAGATATTGAATCCCTTACATAAAGTTAATGTCAGTATTATTGCTGTTAAATTGCGTGTTAGAGTAAATATTTTAATAAGGTTGGCCACACCTGTAGCGTGAATGCGCGCAACGGATCGGTGTCCGCGTACTGTCGCGCCCAAGACGCGGCTGTCGTACAAATTAGCGACCGGTGTGACCAGCCGTAGAGATATTGGACGTTGATATTATATCTGATGGTAGATAGTAATCAATCTTATTCCCCTTTAGTCTTTCTTATATTAAGATCTAGGTGTGTCGATATTTTTAACACTATGTTTTATAAAACAAAATAAGTAAAATGTCGATACCAGCGGCTAGGCCACCCACTGTAAATCATTCTATCACCTCCACTATAACATGATATCTTTATTGTAGAAATACTATATGTAATAGCGACTGTGCAAAGTTACAGTCTACTATTGAAATAAGAATACGTATGAGAAGTGTTATATGCGAAATGTGTGTGGCTTGTTATGAACGATTTGCGATTGCTATCAAATAGTACATCTGAAGGCAATTGAATGCTAAAGAATAAAATGTTAAGGGAAATAATTAATTTTGATTAATATGTACTCCATGTATTCTTATTTCTTCGGGACTGTTACTTCCACATACTTAATTACCTTCTCGATTCCTCTCTTTGTATCCTATATCTATTAGAGTTACTTGTTTCAATATCTTGTAGAGACTTGAAGATATTATGTGATATACATTTCTTTATAATCTGCCTAAAAGCATATTTCATCCTGAACTTATTTTGTGCCTTGTATAAAGCTAAAATAATGTCGCTGAATAGAAGCCTGTCATTGGAATCTCTATTAAATTGCATTTATCAATTAAAATAACGAGTTTTAACTATATAATGGCTATCGGCACATTATTTAGGCGAATTCTGTGAGTGTTTGTGCAAATTTATTGTGACTGCAAAATAATTACTGATTGTTTAAATATATAACTTCTATCATGCATATTACACTATATTGCACAATGTTATGTCTCAATATTTTATTGTAATATGATAGAAATATATTTGATATTGTAGAACTAATTGGAATAAAGAATTTCTCTTTTAAAGTGACGCTAATGAACTTATAGAGGTGCTGTTGTCTAATTCGGGCACCAGTAAGGGGACAACAGCGCCTCTGTCTGCGTTGTAGTCGACGTGCCCGGTGGTTGCGGCCGTAACGTGACCAACGACCCCACGACCCAACTTGACATTCGATCTGATCTTAAGTCTACACAACTAAGTATCTTATCCTGTCAATAACATACCAGTTTGAGATCAGATCGAATATGAATTTGGAGTGTATTGTTCTCTTATTGTTGTATCGTCCACACAATTGTCTGACCTCTTTGGTGCTTTGGTCCCAGAGTTTGCATAGCTTGTTTCTGATCTCATATTGAGTATTATTTATTTAGATGCCATATTTTGATTTACGAGCAATATTTGATTAGGTTTTATTTATTTTTAATGGTGTATTTTGATAACATTGTATATAATTGGTGAACCAAAGACTTGAGACGTCTCTTTGGATAATTTACGTTACTGATTCCAATTAGAGATGTAAATAATTATAGACTTCATAGTTATACTCATTGACGTGAAATTCTCGTAATATCATAGAGGCTGAAAATATATTAAATTATTTAAATGTTTGGCATTCTATATAATGTATTTGTCTTTCATTTTAAGTCGATTACTTATTGCGACTTGTGTTGCCACGACTTAGCAAATTAATATTCGCACGATAATCTACTGAACATGACATTTGTTACATTACTTGTCCGTGTACATACCTTGTACATGCGCCTGTACCACTAACGTTATCTGTATTGATAACATTTCAAAATAGATTGTTTCTGTTAGGAGTAAGTTTAAAACTAATTATATATAACATAGAGTAATGTGTATCAGTGAAGCATCGACCGCACAGTACATGTTGAACTACTAGCCACCGCCACACTGCCCAAATAGACTGAAGGTGTCCAAATATTTTATCAATTTGATGGATTGTTTTGTTACATTGTGTATGGAATTTTACCCAATTATTTGAATGCCAAATAAATAATTACAAAACGATTGTTTCTTTTTTTATTGTATCAAAAATATCTATATACATATATCACTGTGTCACTAATCCTAGGTAGTCGTCCATCAATGTTCCAATAGCAAACTGAAAAGAAAAAGATAATAAGATTAAACGAATCTCTCCACTCTGACATAACTCGCTCACTTAAAACAGTAGAACATTATGAAAAACCCATACCTAGTTTGGGATAAGGCTCTGAGGATGATAATGACGTACTTTTGTTTTTTTTTTAATTATTATAGTAGGGGAGCTCGGACCTCCAAGGGATTTCGGGATTTACTGGAGCGTGTTTCATTAACATGTTACTCTGTCTGTTAACTCCACCCAGTTGAGTACCTCCACCATACATGAGTCCAACATATAGGGGGATCGTGGAGGGCAGCTTATCAGATTAGTTAAACACAAATCGAGCGTGAAAGATTAAGGTAAGTTGAGTCAATTACATGCTAATCTGACGATTTGAGCGTAACAAAGCAGTGGGAGAGTCATAAAGTTCCAAACACATGACCTTGAATTATTATTTTTTGAAGCAAACAATGAAAGCTATGTGTACATAATTTTTCGTACCTTCGTTAATTTGTCACATTTTATAAAAACTCAAAATATTTATAACCATCAGATTTAAAATACCCTGCAAATTTATAGTAGTATGACAGGCACATCAAGCTGAACCGTCTGTATAAAATCTAACATGATCGGATATTTCGAAATGGCGATTTTTCGAATTTGCAGTTTGCATTTTCGATAATTCGCCACCAGCTTGTGTCACTTTAAAATCGTCAGACCTTTCAATATAAGCATTTTTGGTGTCCAAATAACATATCCCCAAAATACCCTAATTTTTTTCTTTGATTTCCTCCCCTTATATTTTTGACAACCTGTAGAAGATTTTCCCACTGCTGAAAGTGGAAACATTATATAACTTTTATTCATTCTATTAACTAATCTTTCAAATGCAACGACGTTGAATAAATCCACATTTAACATCGTGCTCCCCTACTATTATCTTTTAAAGTGATGCCTATCACATCACATATGCAGATATTCATAGAAAACTGAAACACCCTATTTTGCGGCGGAGGGTTTTTCCACGATCGCAAAGGTGGAAACTTTATTTCATTTAAAAATACAAACCGCCACTAAAGACCTATATCGCTTTCCAAGTGAAATACATAACTTACTATGCCGGTGGCGTCGACCCTGGTGCCCACAATCTTCAATCGTATGACATCCTCTTCCTGTATGACGTTATCTTCCTGTCTACTCTTGTAACATGGCGGGTTAACGTTCGGACAAAATTCCATGTCAGCTGGAATGGACTGTAAACATAATTAAATTAATTAATTCTTGTTAGTTGTTGTTGTTGTTAGTGGGCAGTTACCTACACTAACACGAATTAACAAAAAAAATACTTTTTGTTTTCATAACTTTTTTTATTCTGTATCCAGACAGACACCAATATCATTTTATTGGTTTCTGTCTGTTCTTCCCTCCCCCCCCCCCCCCCTTTTTTAGTAAAACATTTAAAATACCATCAAGTAATTAATAACCATCTATCTTCTATATAATAAAAATGAATTGCTGTTCGTTAGTCTTACTAAAAATCGTGAAGCGCTGGATAGATTTGGCTCATTTTGTCTTAAAAATTCGTTTGAGTGAGACTAACAAACAGCAATTCATTTTAATCATATAGAAGATACAATATTTTGCACTAAGTTTCAATCGAGTACTCGTTTAACAGGACAGAGTAAATATATATATACTGTATAACTTACTGTCATAACAACCCAGGATAGGGGTATAGTACAAATGTAATACTCGTAATATACATAACTATAACTTCATTCAAAGCAAATGTATAACAATAAGTGGTGTCACTTATTGTTATACATGTATAACGTAAGAACTGCAAGCTGATTGTAGAGGATTTGCATCGCATCTACATAAGGTCATGGCTATATTTTTCCTTATTTGTGGTTATGGGTGATACACCAAAATTCTTTTCAGGAGGATCCTACCATCTTTGTAGAAGTGTGTCTCTGGGTTGTTTTTTTAGCTGTTTAGTTGAAGTTTTAATAATACTTACATGGTGCGAAATAAAACAACTCAGGGGACCAATTTGTGCAAACATGCCCACCTGAAAAGTAAAGAAATACTAGTTATAATATTGAAAAAATAGCATTTCATTTGAAAGCCACAGTTATTAATTTTGCCTGTGTAATGTAATTCCAGTGTCAATGCATTCTACAATAATTGAACAAGATATCACGAGTCATGTGTCATTGTCAGAGATCGGAATAGGATGTTTACCTAAAGTTCATGAAAGTAAGAGTATGATAATACGTTAGGACGTGCGGCATTCGGGACCGGTACTGTGGTCCTGAATTCTCCATTTGATAGAATAATTTATCTTTGTATAGTATTGGGACCACTAAAAACGGGTCTCGGAAAAGTATGGTTAACAAAAAAATTTAGAAGTCATGCAAATATAATTATTTTTATGGAACAATACTTCTTTATTTTATTTAAAACTAATTTTTTTTTGTTGACCATAGTTTCTCAAGATGTTGTAGTGGTCCCAATAGACTACTACAAAATAATTATTCTATAAAAAGGGGAATTCGGGACTGCAGTCCCAGTTCTTAAAGCTCCATGACCAGAGGTTTCTAGAGGTCCAACTTTACGTTACTTACTTCTACAAACTTTAAGATACTATATTCTTTCCTATTCCGAACTCTGGTCATTGTAGAATGCACTGCCATCTTTGTCTTAAATCTTCAGATATCTTTCTGACTGCTATTTGAAACCAGCAGCCTCTCATTTGCATGCAAAAAATACATCTAATTATTTTGTTTTCCCACATTCTAAAAGTCATATTAAAAGCTTTACTTATTATGATTCTAGTAACATTTTTTTTAGAATATATTTTATTTCAATTTAGGTGCATGATCATGGCTTTATTAACCGACTTCAAAAAAGGAGGAGGTTCTATGTTTCACTGTATGTATTTTTTTTTCAAGTTTATAGTTGTACTAAAATTTTGTAATAACAATTTTGTGAAGTTGTGTGTACTAACACACAAAATTATAGAGTTTTAGATAGCTAACTAAAGGTACAGGATTATTCTAAGAATAAGGGCTTGTGTCAGTGCAGTTTTATCAGCGGCCTACAGAAGCTTACGAAACATAAATCTAAACTTATCTTTGCTGCTGTCACCCCGAAATAAAAGTAATGTCTGTATATCACATGATTTGCATAATTATACTGAGTAGAGTCTAGAATTTTAGAAGAGTATAGAATATTAGCCATAGAATTAAAGAGGAACAGGCATAAAAGGTCTATGATTATGATAAACCTAATGTCCAACTGACCAACAAAATGTTTATTTAGAGATAAACTTTGTAAACATTTCTTACCTTGTTAACTTGGGTGACAATGGCATCTAAAACTTCTCCTTTGAAAGGTCGAAAAACAATCGCCTTATACTTCACTGGATATACTACAAAGCCCTGGCCCGGCTGAATGAGCCCTGCACCTATACTGTCTATTGCTGTTACGGCTATTACAAAACCATACCTAAAACATGAAATCAACCATATTTTTTATGGAATTACAATGAAAATTAGGCATTAAGTCCGTCAATGCACCAAATGTGCATGATGTGTAAATAAATAAAATTAGATAATAGAAAAAGAATTAAGGTTTTTTTTTTAAAGGATGTGATAATATGTGTTATTATGTAAAATGTTTGCATGCGGTCGCCACACGGCTTACTACTACGCTGATCACCAAATGAGACGACACTGATCTCACTGTGACCACTGTGATCAACAAATTGTTGTTCTGAGTCTGGGTGTTCTTTGTGTCCGTATCATATGTGTTTAGTTAAAGACCCCGTGGCACAGGATGTATTCCTAATGTCGTTGTCTTTTTTTTAAATAAATTAGTACTATATATTTCTGTTGTGAGATTGTTGTTTTCAAGAGAGCATTAGATTGGGCAAAATACACTTCAGTAAGAACATAAGATACAGCATAGAGTACTTGTACTACATATTACCAAGACTATATAAATTTCAAATGCATTGTAAAATTACTAGGCTTTATTCAGTTATACAGAGAATATAAAACATAACCTTAAAATATTTTTTTAAATATACTTACTTTCCTGTGCAAGTGCCTTCTACTTCTGTGTATAGCTTCTGTTTGACAATATCAAGCAATTGTGGGCCAAAATATCGCGGGTGCAAAAGAATTTCGTGTTCTAAGGATATCTGAAATGTTTGTTTACAAAACAATGCATCAACTAAGTATACATTTCATACAGGAAACTTACAAAACAATTTACTTACATGATAAAACATATTGGGATTAGACGTTCCTTTGTATAAATATATGCCCTAATTCATTAAAATATAAATTTAATTAATATAATTGTAAGTATTCCTGCCAAAACTGTATTTCTTTTTTCGGCGTTTTGTAGTACTACACTGTGGTACTACAAAAGTACAGAACAGAGTTCAGACAGACGTTGACACTTGACACTGAGACTTTGGCACTGACGGAAGGCAGGGCACCATAGACTAAAGTAATGTTGATGGGAAGTCTCTCTGTCTGTCTAATATAGCAATACTTCTCGATAAAAAATAAGAATATTTCCTAAGCTAGCATAAAACCTCTAAGATTTACGAAGAGAAAGGTAAGAAGGTAAGACAGATATACATTCAAGAGTATGCATAATTGTAAGTTAAAATAAGATCAATTAATGACCTTAAGTTCACAGTGTAAAAATTGACACACATTTTAAAAAAATGTCAAGCTATAGGAAGCTAATATGAATATTGCGTGGAATGAGGTGAAAGTTTAATGTTTTCAGTGCTGGTTAGTGATGGACGAATTAAATATTGATAGATTTTAAGAACATAATATATGATTGTTTCAAAACAGTAGCAACACATCGCAATGGCTGTTTAAAACAAAAGCACGTGATTTAAATTATGTTTACTAGTTTAAATCGTAATAGTCAATGCTGTACATCCAGAATTGCACTTTTCTGCTCTGTTTTACAAATTTAAATAATTTTATTATTTTCTTATAATTTCTTATTCTTTCAATGCTTATTTTAGTACTGAATTTATACAAATGAGTTTATGAAGTAAGCAATACTTTATTTTAAATTGATAAATATACTCAACTGACTGTAATATAGAACCATTAATATTCTGAAAGATAATAAATTTATTTCACGGACAAAGTCCTAAACTAAATAAGGTAAAGTAAAAGTGTAAATTAATTTTAAACCCTTAGGTGAAATCAAGTATGTATTTTTATTTAAAAATACCAAACAAAACAACCATTTCTATCGATTGAAAAATGAGAATCGAGTCATGTGCTTACGTGAGTGTTAACTGTGACATCACTACGATTACTCAAAAATGCCAAATGAATGGCAGACTTATGTGTATCGTAATCAGATTCTTGTAAAAAATGGCAAAAACTTACGATTATTTATTTAAATTACTCTTGATAGGTGATTCTGGTGTTGGTAAAACATCTATATTGTTCAGATTTTCAGAGGATGCTTTCAATATTTCATTTATATCGACTATTGGTGAGTACTTTTATTCAGATCTTTATATCAAAGGTTATTGTCAGATAATTTTTTACATATAAATTGAACAGGATTTTTTGTTTCCTTGTTCATTGTATCTGTTTTTTGTCGTGGTACATATTTATGGTGGATAGGGCGCGGCGCCTTCATAAATGGAACCCTTATCGAATTAAATGCATCGAGAGTTTATGACATCATACACACTAATTAATTAGCTGCCTCCCGAATAAGTAATCTGGTTGTTTCAGGTATTGACTTTAAAATACGAACAATAGATCTTGACGGCAAAAAAGTAAAATTACAGATATGGTAAGTTAATTTTTATTGCCTCTATTTATTTTATCAAATCAAGGTGATCAATTATTAAAAGGGAATATTATAAAGTTATAAAAAGTTTTATTACAATCCTATATTAACTGGATATCTAACTTACTGTGCGTACTTCCTTTCTTTAACCAGTGAACACAATAGACACAAACTCAGTAATTTACATTTGCAGTAGTGCCATGGCCTCAATCAGCTTTGTTGCAAATATAGAAGATATATTTATGCATGAATGAATAGAACCCATGCATATATGGATGCATGGGTTCTATTCATTCATACTTTGTTTAATATTCTGTATAAAATTAAAAAATATTAGTTACTTTTATTAGGTACAATGTGATAAAAAATAATACAACCTGAAACTTTTCAGGGATACTGCAGGCCAAGAACGATTCCGTACAATCACGACAGCATACTACAGAGGTTCAATGGGAATAATGCTTGTTTATGATGTAACAAATGAAAAGAGCTTTGAAAACATAAAAAATTGGATAAGAAATATTGAAGAAAATGCCAGTGCAGATGTGGAAAAGATGATCCTCGGAAACAAGTGTGACTTAGAGGCTAAAAGACAGGTATAGTAAACTCACAAATATATTATTATTATATCTACCAAAGGGATAAACAGAGGTATATTAAATTCCCACATTGTGCCAACTATAATTTGATGCATGTTAACAGATCTTTCCATACCTCACTCAATACACCATTTTAAATATTAATAATACCCATCATCATCCTTTAATACTCTACTGCTACACATAGGCCTCTCCTAAGAAAGGAGGTTTTGGCCTACTATACCAAGTTTTCCTTCTTTTTGCAGTGCTGTTGTACTGCATAGTTTGCCCAACACCCATGGCGTGAATAGGGGTGGTGATACTTCGTATTATTAATATGTCACCACACAGATTGCATCAACACGTAATAATGTATTAGAACATATAATGTTCAAGCAGTAGAATGCATGTAAAAACATAATCGTACATCCTGTCTCTACATTATTATAGTTATATATTGCTTAACCATGATTCATCTGAGATGGTACTAAATGACAAACATAGTTAAACTGATATAACTTTACCTTACAACATAATTTACACATTAATCTGCCAAATCTATACAAATAAATAAAATTGAAGTCTGTTTGAATGTCAAAATAATATGTTTTTTTCATGCTCACATGGTTATTTGCATGATACCTATGCCTAAAAACCAGTTTAAATATTTTTTGTTTGTCTTTCTGTTTGTAATAATATGTTACTACCAGGTAGATGTCTATGTAAGGAGTAACTTAGGCTATTTTTCCACTCAGAAAAACCCTTGCCCAGTCTGCGAATCAAACCCACTAAGGCAGTGATTTTCAAATTCCATGCAAACAAAGTCCCAGGCACCATCTAGTTATTATATATAGACCAAATATACAATAAATAGTAACAAATTATTATTTTTAATTGTTAACAGTAAATTACATCATTATATATAATGTTTTATGTTAGTATTTTCCTACTAAAAGCTATTTAATCATATATGTATGTGAATTGATAAGCACATATATTTTATGATTCATTATTGAACTATACAGTGAATAAAAAATTTAAAAAAGTTTATGATTACTATTAGAATAGTTGTAAACTTCTTGTTTTAAACTTAGTTAATTTTTATATAATCAATCACAAATTTATACCAGTACATATTGCATGCTGCTATTAGACATTAACAACTAAGCAGAACTTGAACTGTGGGATAGAATTTGATAAAAATTTAATGAAATTTCTCAAAATATTAATGTGTTATATACAAAAATATCAAGACCAATGCAAATATGTAGATATATTTATGCATATCAGTATTTGTAATGACTAAAAATTAAAAACATGCAACCTCTGGTGTGGCAGTTGCATGCATACATCCAATAAGATTTATTTAAGAAATGGATCTTCTTTATTACAGGTATCAAAGGAACGAGGTGAACAGTTAGCTGTAGAATACCAGATAAAATTTATAGAAACATCAGCAAAAGACTCGTTAAACGTCGAATCAGCGTTTTATACTCTAGCAAGGGATATTAAAGCCAAGATGGAGAAAAAACAGGTATGATAAATTAATATACAATTCGTTATCATTTAAAGTTTACATATAATTTCATAATATTCAGATAGAAAAATGCTAATTTTGATCGATAAAAGTTAATCTGGTAGACAGACTTAATATAATATTAATAATTATTTAAGACCTACTGTTATTATCCAAGATACTCTAAAACTATATAATTAATAAAATAATCAGTTCTGTATATAACTGAAACAAGGAAAATCATACCTAAATATAGCTACAAAGGGTGCTTCTCCGCTCGTGGGAAACCGGTGCCAAATAGAATTTCCTTATCAGTATTCAATATTAGGTATTATTGCAGACAGACTGTTATTGTTAAGATATTGAAAAGCCTTCCAAGCACAAACATTACACATTATGAAGTATTTATATTGTTACTATTTTCGCGTCACATGCTAGCATTATTATGATGATGTTTTAGTGTTAACAAACCCAATATTAGGAACGATGAACGGCCCATAGAAATAACCTCCTAATCAGATATCCACACAGTCCGAACATACTTTCTCTTATTAACTAATATTTACATTGTTCTGTGTCCAACAATTTTATCAAGGTCTTTTTCATTAATGTGATGTACGCGATCATGTTCCTCCACCTACTGAATAATTTATCACAATGGGAAATGTACTGGACAATGACATCGTAATATTTTTATAGTTTATGTATAAGTGGCATTGTTTAAAATGAGATATTTACAAAAGTTACATTCTCTGGGATTCACCATAATATAAATTTGAGCTTTTTGTTTCTCCCCATACATAGTGAAAAAGGAAAAAAATAACTGACCACTCGAAATTTTTATTAGGTATCTCAAAATATGATATTTTACACCAGATACTTATAACAGGGTCATTGAAATAAATAGATTCTAGATAATTTTGAATGAGAATGCTTAAGAGCTAACCTAACGCGTTTAGTGGGAAATGTGAAGGCTGCTCTTTCGCGTTCGCGTAGCCGAACGGATCCGTTAGCGTGCACTTTCGATTGTGTCCTCTCTCGCTTTACGATCAACGACAACGGTCATTTGATAGTAACGCTCATAAAATTTATCTAAATCTTCGTCTGAATTTAAACGCATATTAACACATCAAAAACAAAATTTAGACTGAGCCCAACTAGAAGTAAATCGCTCTTAAAGAACACCTTTTCGGCTCCGATGCATCCTCTTTAACAGTGCTCTTCCAGCCGGTCTATGTGAAACGGCTTGTGTGTAAAAAGCTCCGTCCGATGCTCTACGAGCCGGTAGGTATGAAAGGAAAACTCGTAAAGTTTATCCTATAAAAAATGAAAAAAAGTAAATGTATCATTAACTTTTAGGTCATAGCCTGACAATACATAGAACATTCCACGAGACTTTTTTTGTGTTTAATTACGTACTAGTAAATTTTACATTTAGGCTAGTTCCCTAGATAGCATATTGTTTTCTGACTTTGATATGTAAAAATAGAAATGCAGCTAAGTGTCATATACCTTTAGTTTTAAGTTCAAATATCTAAAACGATTTATAAATAGTATATAAATTCTTTAGAACCAACTTATAGAATCTAGTTTCTTTTTAGATGTTATATTCACTTCTAAAATGTCTTCTTTTGTTCCATGACTATGCGAAAACAGAAGGTAACGTTATCAATTACTACTTACTTCAGTTGTTTTTAGTGTCGTGTTTTTGTTTGCTTGTTGAGTTGCATATTTTACGTAAGTAATACAAAAAAATCATGATTGTCGTGTTAGAATAATTAACGCATCTGTGTTCTGAGAATATTCCTGTAAACTAGTTTGTAACATGAATTAAATCACATTATTTAGCATTCAGTTTTGTAATCAATAAATTCATTAATAGTATTATCAATCATTAGATATCATAGATGATGTTGTGCCTACTAAAATTACTTCAAAAGGAAAACCCTACGCCGTACTTATCCATAGTTGCGTTGTTCAAAGAACAGCAACAGTAGTCATCTATTTTTTAATCGTGATATTTGAATTTTATTCACCGTCTTGTTTTACGTTCATAGAATTGATGGAACGAATTGGAATATATTTTTTAACTGAAAAGTGAATTTTCCAAATAAAATATTTGTAAACAACAAACAGACCCAATAGTCTATTCAGATTATTTAAATATATTATAAAATAATGAAAGGAACTGCATTATTCCTTTCTGATCTAGCAAATATTAGATGCTTGTTTGAGTGATGGTAGTAGTAGCTTGGTTCACAAGCATGTCGAGTTCTGTTGTTTTTGCCGCGCAAACAGCTTTGACATATTAATATGTGGCTAGCGCTCTATGCTATAAAATGATAAAAATCCAAGAGACCAACTAAAAGCTGTGTATTTTACATTTGGTACTTTCTTCGGCTTATATACGTGTTACAGAGGGGTGTGCTCAAATTTTTATGGTCGTGTGGCAGTAAAGCGATAGTACTCAGAAAAGTCAGAAATCGTATTTTGAAACCGAAGTGAAGTTATTCCCTATGAGCGAATTCGCAAACGAATAAGACTCCAGAGCAAATCAACACTTAGTATTAACTATGGATGTTAAAGGAACATCTGTAATACTCAAAAAAAGAAAACAAAATTTACACAATGTGCTCTTACACCAGAAAAAGTATTGCCAGAAAAACATATTGTTTAAAAGTAAACTTTTTTAGCTCCATTTTCCTTTCAGGCTAGCTCGTCTGTTTTAACGACGTTTTTAAAATATGACTACACCTTCTGTACTCGTTGTATACTTCGTACAGTAGCTATTACGAATAGGACAAAACAGACCTCTTTTAGCTACAGTGACTTCATAATGCTTTGAAGGTGGACGTTTTTTTTCTTGTTCACAAAATCACTCTTAAATAGTTTTTCGTGTTTCTTGGTTGTGATCCCTCCCGTTAATTAATAGCAATTCGCTGGACAAATTTGCTTTATATAACGTAGGGCGCATTTCAGTTTTGGAAATTTCAATATTAAATTTAATTTAAAATTAATATTATTTAATTTAAAATTCGCTGTCTGGTAAAATCGATTGTCGACAGCAGCGAATGCTGGTGGCTGATTCGTTACGTCGGTCATAATTCATAATTTTAAAACGTTGACTTTTAACTGGCTAGAAATGAACTAGATAAATTTTGCTGTCTCACTTCTTATTATTTTCTTTAGTTTTTGTATCTCAAAAAGAGCACTATGTTTTAAAAGTTGAATAATGGTAAAGTATTTTCTATATTGGCTTCGACACAATCGAGTGTTCCATTTTGATAACAGATTATTCATTTACTTTGAGTTTTATCGGTTTTTCTATAGTCACCGTCATTGCTTTTATAATTTTCCATACAATAAATACGCCTGCTTATTTTGTACTACGAATTAGATAAGAATATTAGTCTTTATGTTTATAGATGACTGACTCAGTGTTATAGATTAGCTGATGCGATAAGATATTCATAATCAAAAGTGTAGTTGTAGCGTAGTGAGTAGTAGAAGTAGAGCAGTGACATGTGTCGCGTTGTGCAGGAGGCGAGCAACCCCGCGGGCGCGCGCAGCGGCGGCGGGCACCAGCTGCGCGCCAACGAGCAGCAGCGCAAGCCGACGTCGTGGCTGTCGCGCTGCAGCTTGCTCTGACGCCCCGCCCGCCCCCTGCGCCACCTCCGCGGCACACCCCTACACACATAACACCCACCTCGACTATATTTTTTCGATCTTTGTAAACTGGTGCGTCAACTCCGTTGGAGGATCAGACTTGCTTTTTGTATTTTTATATCCGCGACTATGGTACCTACTTCGACTTCAGTTGAAACGGAACAGTATTTTTTTATATAACTTGTCAATTTTTTTACTCTGAAGTGACAATGATTTATTTTAATATTAGGGCAAAATTACGGTGTTACGTCATACAAATAATGGTTGAAAGGTTTATTCAATAGATTCCTTAGCTGTACTTTTCCTTTTGCAATTTAATTAAGATATATATTTTAATGTAATATAATATTTAATTTGAATAAAGTGCTTTTTTTACATATTGTCTTTGTAATGATTAAAATGCTTTAAATTATATAGAATTAATATTTTATTGACCAACATTATATACAAAAAGATGAGCTTTTATAACATAGGAAGACTTAAGCCTCCACAATATCATGCTGTACCTAACAGCTAATTACAGTCTCTGTAATGCATTTGGTACAACCTTACTAGAATTTATGTAACAACAATTTGTAAATAAATGCTTTCATGTTGTTTGAACTTGTTTGCGAGATGACCTGAAGGCCCACAGTATTACTGTCTTCATTCCTATTAAAACACCTTTTGAAACAACAGCTAAGATGTGCAATAGTTTCTTTCCTGACAGAACCAGAATTTGTCCGGTGAACTGTGAACCTTTTCTCCAAAGCACAATATGTCGCGGTAATGGAGGCAGCCTGTCAGACCAAATACCATGGCGGTAGTTTTTAGCGTAAGCTTCTGCAGACAATAAAGCTGGTGCCAACTGGGATTCAATAGTATTCTTCTTAATATTTTCTGGCACCGATGCTTTAGCAAATCCTAATTCAACAAGCTTTTGGCCTATGTCCAGCGTTTCCATTGATTTGACCTAGAATAAAAATAAATAGTGATATGCAGGAATATTAATTAGTTCGAGACTATAAGCAGTGTAAAGAAAGAATATCACAAACACTAATTTCTTTTCTTATTCACTTTTGGTAGAGAAGAATACTTTACGAGGCTAGTTTACATTGCATTGCACATATAACATCTGTTTTTACTGCTTGCTTGGAAATTTATTTGGAATTGGTGTAATATTTAATTTGCAATAGGTCAGGCAACCTACCTCCTATGGAATGAAGAAGATAAAAAGAAAAAGGCAAATCAAGGTAAGAATGAGATAGGACTCAGGTTTTTCACATAAAAGAAAAATATCTGTAATATTATAATTTTTTTTTTTTATGGTCTTTTTTTTCGAAAAATTTCAGACCAAAGGGGCTGTATCTTAAAAGCATATAGTGCTCCAGGATTTTATAGTTTTCGATTAAATCATGTTATTCAGTTCTATGACCATGCGAAAAGTAAGTGTTAATTAATATATGTGTTATAATTACCTTAGATTGCGGTAAATGCAGCAATACAGTAGAAACCAAGTCATCATTATCTCTACTAATAGGTTTGAGAGTTACTTGGTGACCTTTTGCTACACACTCCAACCAATTTACGGCATTCCCACTTACAACATCAACTCCCCACAGCTGAAAATGTTAAACCACATTAATACTGGTTTTTATATGTGCTAGATCTTAATCATAAGGCCAATTCTCGTAATAAAAGGTTGGTCGAAAATACCTTTTATGACATTTGTGAGATCATAGGTTGATGAAAACTGAATTGAGACCAAACTTTTATTACGAGAATTGGCTGTCAGGATGCTAACAGAATATTAGTCATATTCTTATTCTGAAGAGTAAGATTCTAACAGATTTTCAATACACTCAAACAATAATATCAATGTATGATAAAGTGTGGTGTAGTACTAAGTAGTGATAGCTTTTATAGATCACTAATATTAATTCACAACTTCCTCTGTGGGTGCTTTAGTAGGATTATAGAGATAATCTAATCTGTTTTCCCTTGAAAATATATTTTATTAACAGATCTGCACAAGAGTTAAATCTGTTCAAGACAAAATGTAATTGCCAAGAGGTTGAGCAAACAAGAAATAATCAAATACATTTTTTTCATATATTCCGCTTTGGTAAGAGATAATCAGCATAAAAAAATAGTAAACAGTATATAATTAATCTATATTTATAAAAATGTTTAGTTCGTTTGTGTGTGCTACAAAAACTCGAAAAGTTCTGCACCAATTAAATTCAGATTTTGACACAATATAACAACTTACTTCAAGGATTGTTTTTATCTACATTTTTACAGCGAAGTGTTGCAGGGTAGAGCTAGTACATATAAAAGTTCAAGTTCAAGTAAAAATCATTAACAACTAACCTTAACTGGAAGTGGTGGTTTACTTGAATGCCATAGAGGTAAATATATAGGAGCTCTATGGTCTATTAGAACACGGACTGGTGAATGCTGTACGCCGACGTACACCCCTTGCAGCGGTTCATGATTACGAATGAAATGATCAGGAACTTTGCTTGCTTTTGAGAACTTGCTAACCTAATTGGAATTCATATAATTATGAAAGTTATGTAATGTCACTAAAAACATAACATCAGAGGTTACCTACCGGGCGGATCTTATGTATAGATGCGGCTAACCCTGCAGTAGCGAGAGCATAAACCGCTATCTGTAAATAATGGTCAGGTGATAGTGATCAGTAGTTCATTCACTGCATTTGTAGACCACTACACTTACGTTTACTCCGCGATAATCTTGTTGCAATAGATTCTGGACATTATAAAAAATACCACCCTCTTGAAACATCTTTGAATTATTTTTGCCGACAGACTATCATAATTTTCCTATATTAGCTCATCAATATTTTCAGATTTGAGTTTAGGAATTCACTTTCTACATTAAATTTTGACATTTTGTAACTAGTGTTGCTGTTTTCGTAATTTTGTCGCTCACAAACCGTTATCTTAATAGATTCTGCATAAAATGTTCATAGTTAATTTCATATTTATTTATATCAAATTTTAAATACATGTATTGTGCTATTTATATAAACCATACAACAGATTAGTAATATTCTAATAAGTTTTTAATTATTAGCATTTTTTAAGAACTATTTTTCATTGCAACATCAATTCCACGTCAACCAATTGACAGCTGGCAGGTTACTCGCGGTTAGGTGATCAGATTTGTTTTTGAAAAATATTAAGAAAATGATTACTGTTCTAAACACTATCGATACGGGTCACGAGGATATGATACACGATGCTGAACTGGACTACTACGGCCTGCGACTAGCTACATGTTCTTCCGACAACTCAGTAAAAATTTATGACATCAAGAGCGGTACACAAACTCTTGTTGCTGATCTAAAGGGCCACTTTGGACCAGTTTGGCAAGTGGCGTGGGCACACCCAAAGTATGGAAATTTGTTAGCATCTTGTTCCTATGATAGAAAAGTTATCATATGGAAGGAGGCCGGCGAGTGGACAAAGTTATACGAACATGCCGGACATGAGAGCTCTGTAAACTCAATAGCATGGGCGCCCGCCGAATACGGTCTTATATTAGCATGTTGTAGCTCCGACGGGTCCGTTTCCATCATTACCTATTCTCAAGATGGTGGTAACTGGGATGTCAAGAAGATTTCAGGCGCTCATGCGATTGGTGTAAACTCTGTTAGTTGGTGCCCTGCGATATCTGCAGATTTGAATTTGGACCCTCTTAGCAATAAGGAGGCACCAAAACGGATAGTCACTGGAGGATGTGACAACTTGATTAAGGTATGTGTGATAGTCTTATTTTATTTGCTAAAGAGTAACTATCTAAATTATGGCATAAGGCATTTATGTTTAATGTGGTATAAATGTAGTTATTATACACAGTATAGTACTTTGTCTATATGAATTTTAGTTTAAAATTAAAGTCTACAGGAAGTGAGAATTTATGTTTCTAAATCCAATGGGATGTATCTGTCAGAAGCTAGAGTAAATCAGCTATAAGCAAAACACATTAAACTACTACCATACCAATTTTAATAAGTCCTTTCCTATTAGAAAACTACATCAAAAATAAGATAGATAATCTAGTTTTCAAAATCAGAGTAGTGGGTGACTTAGTTATACTTTGCACTTCATGTGAACAAAATCACAAAAAAAAAATATTTTGCAGATTTACTATACATACTGCAATAATGATAAACATTTGTTTAATCTATAAGGCAAAGACTTGAACTCTGTCACAATATGTACGCACAGTGCAACAATCTGTTCCTGCATCCTCTCTAAATTTTCCTCATCAACATTCATATATTACCCACTGAAATTTGTATCACTTACATCTATTCTATTTATCTATACTATGTAATCCTCCTAGAAGCATGTGAATGTCCTAGGAGGCTTCTGCGCTTCCGGAAGAAGCTTGGTTGGCTTTTCACCAACCTTTCCTCAATGTATAAAGGACCACTCTCTAATCTAAATTCGGAAATTGGAGCCTACAACCAATACCAATATGTTATATTAAAGATTTGACAACCAATAAATATGTCAATCATTTTTTGTAGTTAGGTAGGTAAACAAATAATCCTCTACTTCTTCTGAGCCAGCTAAAATGTCTTCCTTAGTCCTTTTAAATTAAAAAAAAAACATTCAATCATAGATATTATAATTATATATTTATTATTTCTCAGATATGGAGGGAACAGGGTGACCAATGGGTAGAAGAAAACAAACTTGAAATGCACATGGACTGGGTGCGAGATGTTGCATGGGCACCTTCCCTGGGGCTCCAACGCTCAATGATTGCCAGCTGCTCCCAAGATAAAAGAGTTGTAATTTGGACCAGTGATGATAATGTCTCTTGGAATCCCACCATTTTAAATACCTTTGATGATGTAGTTTGGAGTGTAAGCTGGTCTCTTACCGGTAATATCTTGGCTGTATCAGGAGGCGACAATAAAGTGAGTCTCTGGCGTGAAGGTGCTGATGGACAATGGTTATGCATCAGTGAAGTTGCCAAAGGCTTGGGACAAACACCAAATGATGAACGAAGCACACTTTGAATATTAATTTGTTTTTTTTTCCATTACTTAAAATAATCTGTGAATAATTTCTTTAATAGTAATATACATAATATCAATAACTTGCGTTTACTTTTCTATTATCCTTGAATCATAAGTTAACTACCATGAATTACTAAACCATGAATTTATATCATTATATGTTTACGAAGTGTGTGGCTTTTATATTTAACTATAAAATTCGTCGCTTTTATAGGTTCAGTAATTTTTTAAGTACAATAATTTGGTAAATTATAGTAAATTCAAATTACTTTCTGTTTTGGCTGCTACTATTATGGTGTAATGTAATGCCTTATCTCAACATCTTTGGAGAGCATAAAACTTTTAATATATGTAATTTTCTTTTTTAATCTTAATGTTTTTCAACATTTATGTGCATCATGATTCTTACCCAAGTATGTTCACTTTGTTAACACAGAAATGTGAAAAATATTTTTAGTACATATAATTTACTATAATGTTATTATATGTGTTCAATAATTTTTTTAGTCCTTAGGTGAAGTAGAATATAATTATCCAGAAATAAAAGTGAGTAACATAAAAAGGTATTTTAATTAAACTTAACACTAATAAATATCACATATTGCCGAGATGGAAGCCTATTAGTTCGAGGAGTAGTGGCATTTTGTAATATTCGGCTATTGTTTTGAAAGTAGTTAGCTGAGCTTGGATCTCCTTGGTAGACACCATGAGTGCAAAAGCGCCTGCGCATTCGCATACCATTGTCATGTTATCACGTTTCACCTGAAACATATATAATAAACACTTTGTAAATCCCCAAGTTAAGATGCTAGAATGTTCCACAATATTGTAGAAGTTTTTGAGTTCACACCATTTTAATACCTTAGATAAGATAAGCTTAGCTTATATATATGGTAAGGACAGTGGGTGATTTGGTATATAGAAGTTTTATGGAAAAAAAAAGAAAGAAGAATCGCGAACAGTACAAGATAATATTTATTGATTGCAGATTAGTGTTAAGTTTAAGTTATTGACACTTTACAAACTGAATCAGACTGCTTTCTAAATTGTGCACTTGCTTGCTTACAATATTAATTAACTGTGGATTCATTAAAGTGTACATACAGAAGTAGCTGAAGAAACATAAATTTTTTAGAAAGGTTTACGACTGACCTCGTGACAGCGGGTACATATAAGGTCCTGTAACATGAACGCCATGGTGCGACGGTTCATGATCTCCACTAGTCGCCACTCCAACTCTTGGTTTTCATAAGGCGTGCCGCATGTTGGGCATAGACAGACTGGTCTGTACAGAGAGGTTAATCTATTTAATAACAAAGCAGGCATAACTTGCTTGTGATAAATTGAGTAATCTCGGTCGCTTTAATATTGCAGAATATAACTTATTACAAGTGCTATTATCATCAACAACAGCCTTTAGTCCACTGCTTGACATGGCTCTCCTTGCAAATGAGGTTTTAGCATACTATACCACACTGACCAAACGGGAGTTTGTTTCAAGTTTTCCTTTTCTTTAAAGTGCTATTGTCATGCGTAGTTTGCTCCCTTAGTCGGCTCTTACGACACACACGGGATGAAAAGGTGTGGTGACACTCCGTATTCTTAACCTGTCACCACACGGATCCTATTATATACTGTATTACTTTAACACCAAATAATCGAATTAAAAATTTAACACTACAAAAGTGCAATTTAATAATTGAAATATACATGTGGAAAAAGTATGTTATGTAGATGTTATTTCATCATCATCAACAGCCTTTAATAGTCCACTGCTGGACATAAGATGTAGTAGATGTTATATAAACCTGTTAAATTTTATTGATCGCATAAATATAAAGGTCTTGAACTTATTACATACATACATGCAAACATGTATGTTTGTAATAAGTTTACTAAAAATTGGGAGGTTACAGGTGCGTTTTACTTAATCCTTTTCTTCTTTTTTTTTTTTAACGTGTGGAAATCCCCTCGGACCGTCACCCCACCGGGGTTTGCGGCGGGGTGGTGTGTCGGACTCGAACCGACTAAAACCACACGGTGTGCCCTCTTTGCGCTTCCAGTTTAGGAGGGGTCCAGGTAGTTATCGCCTTCTGGACCCCTCCTAGCGCCGGCTCGCTCCTATTGCGGGCCCCACGCGGACGCCGCCCCCTCGCGGCTGGCCAAACTAATGCGGGTGGAGGGGAAACCCACCCCGTCCACCCGCGGCCACACTCAGGGCGGCATGAGGCGCAGGTAAGCACGCCTCCGCCGCCCGGTTCGCCGGCGGCGGATCAGGTCCGAGTGGAGGTCGTCCTCCCGGGCCTTCTCCGCCGCCTCCTTCTGCGAGATTACCTCCTCGCAGAAGGTTGCGACCGCGGTAAAACAACTGTCGCTACCGGCCATGGAACGAATTACGGCCGGTAGCGAGAGATCTGCTCCGATGACTGCAGTGAGGGCCCGGCGCTGCGTCGCCCATGCGGGGCAGACCGCCAGCGTGTGCTGGGCCGAGTCCTCACTGCAGTCGCAGTGGTGGCAGGCGGGACTCAGTTCCCTCCTAGCGACCGAGTGCAGGTACTTTCCGAAGCAACCGTGCCCGGAAAGCACCTGCGTCAGCCGGAAGGAAAGGGTCCCGTGCTGCCGCCCTGCCCACTCGGCGATGACCGGCTGGAGAGCCTCCACGGCGGCGAAGCCAGCGCGTGGAGTCTCCAGCCGGAACGACCATCTGACCATGGTGGCTCGGCGAGCGGCTTCGCGCCACTCGCGCACGTCCTCGGGCGGAGGGCGAAATCCGCTCTCCGCCCAGAAGTCAGCCACTCGCCGATAAACTTCGGCGAGCACTTCCGCCTCCAAATCCCACGGGGGTGTTCCGGCCAAGGCGCAAGCCGCCTCGGTGGACACCGTGCGGTATCCGCGTATGACCGCCAATATCCTCTGGGGGCGCCAGAGGCGCGCCCTATTCGGGGCGGTCAGAGCCGCCACCCACACCGGTGCACCATAAAGCGCCATGGACCGGACAACCCCCGCGTACAGCCGCCTCGTGGGAACACTGGCCCCGCCCAAATTGGGCAAAAGTCGCCCTAGGGCGGAGGCAGTGTCCACCAGCTTCGGACCAAGCTGTCGGAAGTGCTCGTCGAAGAGCCACCTACCGTCTAGGTACCTCATCTGGGCCCGGACCGGTACGAGGACCGAACCGACCTCGATTGAGGCGCCGGCGGGTGGACCACGACGGGGCCCATGAAATAATAGGGCCTCCGTCTTATCCAGGGCCACCCGTAATCCCAACGCCTCAATGCGCCCGACCACCTGGGAAACTCCCGTGGCGGCTAGGCGCGCCGCCTCCTGGAAGTTAGCCCCGCGGGCCGTGAGTAAGGTGTCATCCGCGTAGCAGATTACACCATGTAGGGCCCAGTCGTACCCGATGTTCCACAGGAGAGGTCCTAGGACAGACCCCTGCGGAATACCGCACGACATGGCCCTGCGTCTCAAGACGCCATTTCGGTCCTCGTACATGACGGTTCGCTCCTCAAGATAATCTGCCACCAGCCGCCTCAGGTACTCTGACACTCCGTGGTAGCGGAGCGTTTACTTAATCCTATTTCAACCTACTACCGATCTGGAGAGTATAGGAAGGTGTTAGGGAGCTACATGCACCGTCTGATTACAGAAAAACAATATAAAATGGTAGTAGTTGGCTCACTCTTGGTGGTGCGTGGCGCGGTGCGTGTCGCGGCACAGGTCGAGGTCGCGGCAGTGGTTGCACACCTTGCAGATCACCTCCGTGAGGGTGCACGTGTTGCACGCGTCCCGCCACTCCGCCGCGTTGCTGAACTCGCCCACGCCGATCAAGCGGAGGAGATTGCGCCGGAGTAATGTCACCTACGTACCATGGAATAGTCAAAAAACTTTTTGAAGTAAAATTTCTTTGAGCACGCTTGACTTGGGAAGTAAGCTAGTGAATGCCGTGACGAGAGCATTACGAAAAGTGTGATCGGGCGAATCGAACGGAAGTTGAGAGGAAGAATTAAGTTAGTGAAGATAGAAAGAGTGAGAGTTACGTTTCATATATTACTGTGTTTCTTTCTCTTTTTCTCTCATTGCCAAGAAGTGTTACTTCAGTCGTGTGGCCACACACACACACACACATACGTGGTCAAAGCACACTCGTTTTTTTTATAAGAGTAATTACAGATATCTTTATCTAGGTACAACAATATGAAATAAGAAATAGGTTTATATATCCATATTCATTATAATCCTTTATTTCTTTTAAAAGTAGTAAGTACCATAAATGTAGTTTCATATAAATTAAAAAAAAAAAAACAACACTAAGAGAGAGAGAACAACCTTTAACATTAAAAATTTTACAATGTCATGATTTATGTACCCTTTTGTATTTTTTTTTAATATGCATTACATACAACAGTTTAACAACATAAAGCAGTAACTGCTGTGAAGTACGTGTGTGCTTCACAGCAGTTACTGCTTTGGGTTGTTTTATTGTGTAATAAGTAATAGGCACAATAAGTTATTCTATTCCTGGTTGTATGTCGTTCTATATATATAGTCTGTCGTCAGTTACAAATAAAGAATTTTATTATTATTATATAAATTTCATTTCCAGCACTTTATTTAGGATCAGATGGTCACGTGTGAAATGTGTTAAGTCATTATTATAAAGATCATTAAAAAAAAACTTATTACGTACCTCATCTTCCAAAGAGGGATCCAGTGAGAATACTTTGCAGACTGCATTGACGTACAATAGAGCGGGTGCCGCGTCGCTGGTAAATGCATCCGCCTTCAACCCCGGCTGGGGGCCGATGTCCGAAGGTCGCAGTACCGGGTACCGAGTATGGATTTTTTCCGTCACCCTGAATAACAAAAAATTAAAAACAAAAATTTTGAGAACGTTACATCTTATAAGTTGAGAGAGGGGGGTCAACTTCGTTTTGCTCGCGTTTTGGGACTTTACCTTATAAGTGTCGTTCTAGACTACGTGGTTACTTTCATTGTTTCTGTATTGTTAGTTAGGTTTTAGTACAAGAGACATAGTTATAAAGGTTAAAGTATGAAATTGCCGTTGTATAGTAATAGATACTTTATTGACATAAAACCTTCATGGTGTGAGATTTTCGTATGAAACTTTTTTCACATGATACCTGTGAGGTTCTTCTTTAAAAAATGTGTAACATTCGACTTTCCATTGTTTTTTTATTCAGTTATATATGATTTTTTATTTTATATGTTTTTTTATTCATGGTACTGGAACTGTTTGGTGATCTCTTAATGGTGTTATTCACTATAGCTTTCTCAGGTCTGGTCAGGCAATAACAGCAGATGTTTACTGTGCCGAACTTCGAACAATGATGGCGAAACTGGCAGTGAAACAAGAAACCGTTGTAATTCTACAGGAATGGCAGTTAGAAACCATCCGCCATCCTTCGTACTCGCCAGACCTTGCTCCAACTGACTAAATTTTTTTGCTAATTTGAATAATTTTCTACGTGATAAAAAAATTCTTCCCAGGAGGCAGTACAAAATGCTTTCACACAGTTTGTCGAATCTAGTTCCCCAGAGTCCTATCGTAAAGGCACAAATGAATTTCCGTTTAGATGGCAGCAATGTATAGATGGTGAGGGTAAATATTTGATTAAATAAATATGACGTTATATCTTAGAAATAAACGAGTTTTAATTTTTCGATACAAATCGGCAATTTCATACTTTAACTCCTAATATTTTATTACTTTTATATATTTGTCTGGAAGACCGACATTTACGTATTCCAAAGCAACTTTGGAGAGTATAATAACCATACTACATGCGTATCTAGTATATGTTGATAATCTGGCGCTCTGTTAGAATAAATGTTGATGATAAAAGATAATGGTTAACAAGATTTTAATCTCCCGAACGTAAGTTAGCAAAGTCATCAACAGCTTTTACTAGTCCACTGCTGGACATAGGCCTCCTCTTAGAAAGGAGGTTAGCAAAATAGCGATACCAAATTAGATAATGACTGAATTGAGTCACTGGAGGGTTACAATCGTAAATCTTAGAATTCTGTAATGTATGGCATAACATAAGCTCTGAAGGCAGCATTCCCTTACTGAGACCCTGAAGTCGCAACAAGTGTTTGAAGGTATTTTTTCTACTGAAAGGGTCTCGTAGGTTGTCGTTAATAGGTTATCGAGGTTATGACAAAAACGATGCAATACACACTGGAAAAGTTTCTGCGAGATCTCTCCGCGCACGATGTCCGGCAGCTGCGCGGCGCGTGCGCAGGCGGCGCTGAGGTAGCCGCCCACGGCCGCGCAGAACGGCTCGCGCACCACCTCCGGCAGGAAGTTGCACAGGTTCCAGTGCATGGTGATCGAATCCTCCTGATTCATTTTATAAAAATACCACATGAGAAATGACATGTTGCCGGTATTTGTAAATAGGAGTTGAAAAAAACATGCTCACCTCATTGCTACCATTTTCTTCGCTAGCGGTTGGCAACTGTGATGAACCGACTTCGTTCAAACCTTCTGGTAGTTTGCCCTAGGACAGAAAACATTCTCTCTTTACCTAGGACACATTGTGTAATCTATCATATCATTATAATATTAGTACCGTTGAAATGCGCTACGCTACCTGTTATCGAGTAGCGAAAACTTACCGCTGTTTGGCAGGAAAACTTTCCCGAAACAGTTAATTCAAGTTACAGCTGCACGAACGTGACTTATTCAAACAACTCACGCATTGAAAATTGTCCCCAATACAATACTCCTTTTTTTTATTGCCTCCTTATTTTCAACCTACTCTCAATTTTTCCATCTTTAACTGCGAAAGTACCCAGTTGACGGCGGGAGTCTTACTATTAAATGGGACCAAATAATACAAGGTATCTCTTCAAGAATACAGACATGAAAGAGAGCATCAAATAAACTTTACAATTTTTACACAGACACATATATTTGCTCAAACGGTTTTACAATAAACAAAAAGACGAAAAACGCATATTACCTGTATTCCGGCGTAGTTGGCCTCATCAAGCCATAACAGATAGGACCAACACTGCTTGTATCTAATGTCGATACCATGGAATAACTCTTTGTTTCTGATACTTTGCACTACGAACTCCACGTAACCTGCACACCAAGTAAAGACGATGTTAGCAGATACATGTTCCTGGATTTCCTACATTTATATAATATATGGAGGATGGTAGTTAATTGTATGTATTGTAATCCGAAAGATGGCTTTAAAAAATACTTCGTTTCATGTGTTTTTAATAATGTCTGTAAAGTGATATTTAACTTATTACGTGATTGGTCAATCAGCGTGCACGATTACGACACATTTTCTGATTGGTGTTTATAATCACGTGAATCACGGCAAAAAAAACCTATTTCTCTAGATGGAAATTAAAAATATTTCATAATTATATTTTCCTTATTAATATTGTTTTTGGCTTTCTATCAATCTATTGGATCTATTTAATTAAATAATTATTTTAAACTTTTAAACGTACTGTCAACTATTGCGGATTGTTCTTGATAAAGCCACTTGTTCTTCTAAAAATAAAAGAAAGCTAGGAAGTCACCACCAATCACCAAAGTCTAGTAATTAGATTAAATCAATTATTTTTTTGCCAAATCGGTTCAGACTTCCTCGAGAAATCAGTGAACATACATTAAAAAATGATTCCGACGAATTGAGAACCTCCTTTATTTTTAAAGTGGGTTAAAAATGAACCTTACCGATTCCATCCATTACAGAATGTTTCTTAGTACACAGAAGTATTCTATTGAAGTCTGCGAACACAATTTGAGAGCCTAGACGTTTGAACTCTGCCACCAACATCAGGAACAATTTCTTCATTAAATTGTACAGAGTTCTACGTAGGGCTGGATCGTACAGCAGTGATGACGAGGTTTTAAGCCATCTGTTCAAACGTATGTTAATATAACATTTGATCTAACTAAATATTCATACAGTTTTCTTAATAAGGAATACAATTGGTTTTCATTTAGGATCCGCGACGGCTGGATGGCGTAGTGGTTTGTGTAACGGACTGCTATTCGATTCCCGCTCAAATCAAACATTTGTATGTATAAACATTGAATGTTTGATTTGGACTGGATGTTACTATGTATAATAAGTACGTATTTACAAAAAAAGGATGTATGTATTTATATCCGTTGTCTAGTAGCCATAGTACAAGCTCTGCTTAGTTTTGGGACTAGATGGCGTTATGTGCATGTGGTAGAATATTATTATTATTACTTTATGGTACAATTAAATTAATTTTTATTAATTTTATTTCATGTTAAAAATATCAGGTTTTTACATTTATTGATACATATACATATTTATTAATACATATATGAATATTTCAGGAGGTTGCGAATTGGAGTCCAGGTTTTTCGATGCCTAAGCAACAACAATAGAAATAAGTGATAGATTTATACGTTATATACGAATGTTGTTAGTAGGAATATGCAGAGAAAAGATGCAGATTAAACTGCAAAATAATAAAAATTACCTATAAAAGTGTGATATCTGAAAGTCGGCGAATACATTTTTGTATTGTGTCACGTCACGGAGCCAAGATGCAACCATTGTCCGTAGAATTTTGAACGCTGCGCTGCACTGCGTTGTTTCGTCGTAGCTTAGAGATGCGTTCGCACCTAGTAGACAATAGAGAAATAAAAATATAAATTGGAAAAGATTATAGAAATAAAAAAAAATATATATTATTGACGTCTGGCAGATGTTAAACATCGTAATTATTTGTGGAAATGAGTATAAATGATTGCTTTTTAAAGGAAATAATAAAAACAGCACAATTAAAAATATAATATTCAGCCGTAAAGTCACTTACGACCCGTCGCCTCGCCAACGCTGGTCTGACCCTCATCAGATGATTGACATCGAAATTATTGACATTTTAAATAAAGGTTAGTATAAAAGCCGTGTAGATGAGTCACCGGTGTTGGAGAGCACGTCTTGTATGTTGTGGTGCTGCGCGCCGAAGGAGGTGGAGACGGAGGTGCCCTCGAGCTGCAGGATGTGCTGCGCCTGCAGCAGCGCGCACACGCCCAGCGCGTCCGCCTCCAGCTCCACGCACACGCTGCCGTACGCGCCGCTGCTGTTGTGCGTGCAGCCCGACAGCTCCTCTACTTCACTCACTAATCTGGACGACGACGATGTTTTACAAATATCAATTACTAGCTTTTATAACTATTAAGGGTGTGTATTTCTCTATTTCACGAGGGTTAAGCGACTTTTTGTGGTCCTTCAGACTGTTGGCGTCAGATGCTACACCGACGCGTAGCTTCACCCTTAATTAACTATTTTTCTCCGGTTTCGAAACTATTTAGGCGTCCCCATAATACACACAGTAGTGTATAGTGAGTATCACGGTATGGCTTTAAAATATGCCTGTAACTGACGAAAGTTTTTATACTAAAACATGCTGCTGCTTGTCGCGTAAAACCATTATTCTATCCTCAATGATATTATTTATAAACAAGAGGTAGACACGCAACCAACGCACAAAACGCGAGGGTCCTAATCAGACCCACTGCGAGCGAGCGCACGTACTGATTAATTCGAGAAAATTTATAAAATGTCTTCCTGTGTATTCCGAAAGTGCACAAATTACGACAAAAAGTAAATAGAGATAAAGGAATATGATACCACAGGTAATTGTATGTTTTGTTCTAAAATGCATTAATAAATGTATGTACGGTCACGGAACAAATATTTTGTGCGTGCAGTATTATTATAACGTATCTTCCTTAAAATATCATTGTCTATCCTGCAATAATAGTAATTAATGAATACCGCCGTGTACGCCAAACGTGACTATTGATTGAGTAGACAATGATGTTTGAAAACATGACGAACAAGCTAAAGTTGACATTTAGAATATTAGTTAAAATTGGGATTGATAAACCTTTTACGAAAATCGCTGAATAAATTATTTCCATAAAAATATTTTTAATTATAGTCCATCAACGTCGTGCGCGACCGTCCTGCGGAGTGACAGACGGTGGCGGGGACGAGGTACTCAAGATGTCAGCGAGAAGGGTGGTGTAGCGGGGAAGGGAAACGCTTCTCTTCGTGTGTAGCCGTGTGCTAGACTGCCACTGTCTGTCACCCCGCGGGACGGTCGCGCACGAGATTACCGGGTTATAGTGTTTAATAAATTGATTTCATATCTCTGGTGATCTGATCTTTGTTAAAGAGTACTTCATGTCCTCACTTTTAAACTGCTATACAGAGATGATGCTCTCTCTGAACGCCAATTCTCGTAACAAAAGTTCGGTCTCAATTCAGTTCCGATCAATTTTCGATCTCACAACTGTCATAAAATATATTTTCGTAGTAAAGTATTAAACATCCAAAGTTGACTGTAATGTGAATATATCGTATTGTAACCGAAAATTTAATCGGTAATCTGCTGGTCTTAGTAATACTTTACTATTTTACTACGAAAATACCTTTTATGACAGTTGTGAGATCGAAAGTTGATCGGAACTGAACTGTGATCGAATTTTTATTACGAGAATTGACCTTCTGATCTCTGTTACTAGTTAAGCCTATAGCATGGTATCTTTTTAGAAAGAAATTAACCATCTAAGAAAATCAAGTGATCTTAAAAGAGTTACCTGTTATCGTCGTTCTCCCTTCCGCCCAAGTCCGGTCGGTCGGTGTTGGAGCACCACAGTACGAAGTTGTGCTTGATGAGGTGTCGCGCGTAGAACAGGTCCGCACCGAACAGTGTTGGGTCCGCAGGCATGTTGCCTAATGGAACGTGGAAATATCTGTTCCATAGTAAAACACGAGTCAATAATAGAGTATTTTAGTTAATATTATTTTTAACAATAACACACAAAATATCAGCGCATTTGTTTATCACTACACCGACTGGCGTCATGGTCACAGAGCAATATGACGGCCACTGCGTTCAGCGTTTCGTCACATTACGTGTGAAATTTAAAAATGTAAACTTTAAATGCATTTTAATGGTATCTATAGACCGAATATTTTTTAGTGGTTTATTAACACTATAGAATCTAATTGAGACATTTTTTACACTTTTTAAATATCTGTAAACTCTACTGTTACGTGTCATCATCATCAGCCTATCGCAGTCCACTGCTGGACATAGGCTTCTCCCATTGCACGTTAGTTAGATCGATTTTGGGCTTCCCGCATCTCAAAAAAAAAACTTTACTCAGTATAATTTAATTTTAATGTAGAAATGTATGACTATTTCAATATCAAAATTATTTATGTCTTACCTGCACTGTTCCACGGTAAGTTGTAGTATAGCGTCCAGTCCAAGGTAGTGGCGAACTATGGCCCTCGCTCCCACTCGCTGCCAGTCCAGGGAGTTATACAGTGTCTCCACATCACGAACGTGCAGCCGGACTATGGGGAACTCCGATATCACTGCAAATTATAAATACGATGATATATTATTAGATATATAATATAGCGCCATCTAGACTCAATACGGGTACTTTGGGTCCTGGAACACATGTCATGGTAATAAATTCGGTAATAAACGATTTGATAATAGTAAAGTGTGACGTGATGCTGTAACGTATACAAAGGGCGAACGTACGCGGCATGTGGTGCAGCGCGGCGTGCGGCGTGAGCGCGGCCTGCAGCGCCAGCAGCGTGGGCCCGCAGCGCTCGTCGCGGTAGCGCTGCAGCGCGCGCTGCAGGCGCCGCGCCACGCCCCGCACGTCCGTCTCCAGCGCCACCTCCCACGACAGCTCCGCGCCCGGCAGGCTGCTCTCCTCCGTGCCCAGGTTGATCCTGTCCAAAACAATATTGCATCCACTCTTAAGATCGTCCGAGCTTTTTCTTCCCGAGCCTGTATTTCGATACAAATTTTTGCTCACGGCTCCGCTCGTAACAATGTTATCTTCCTATTCTATAGGAGCACTACATTTTCTACGTTAAGATTACTCTATATCCTAATACGTACTCTTGACGTTGTGAATTAGGTAAGGCGTGAAAGTAAAATAAAAAAAATTCACCGTTACATTGCTTTACAATTCTAGTGATGTTGGTAGATATTTAAGTTTCGATTGCATTACAGTACGTGTAGTTGTAACAGCTGTAGATAAATATATGTAAATATATAACAATTTAAACAAATGTCGAAAGTACATTTTAACCTACTTATTTTGCTGTCGTATTTGAATGCTTATATGTAGTTAGGTTGACAAACAATTCAAATCTTGGAACTGATCTGAGGCCGAACGCGCTCGCTATCGTGAGCGAGTTGATGTGAAATAAACTCACACTTGGCCCAACAAACAAAATAAGCTTATAACATTAAGTCTATAAGGTCTTAACTCTTATACTTGTTATAAAAGAGCATTTATTATGTCAATGTTCCTTATAGTGGCACATTATTAGAAGATTTGGCTAATATTACTTTTATCCTTATAATTTGGCTTGGTAAACGTTAATAAATCCAATAAATACGGCTACAATAAGGGTTCGAAATGTGTTCTTCTTATAGAGGCTAGTTACATTGCTTTTTAGGCTAGTTACATTCTAAGTCATATAAAGACTTTTAATATGGTCAATTATTCTTAGAAAAGTAATGCATAAGGTAACTATGATGCTCTCTAACTTATAGGAGCATTTGATAAGACGTCTAACCAACAAACGAATTCTAACATTTTATATGATCTTTACAAGGATGAAAGCAATCCGTATTCCCATAAACAGTGATTATAAAGATATTATTCTCTTTAGGGTTACATTAAAATGGTTTACATAACTAGATTTGCCATTTTGAAAGTACAGCAGATTCTGTGAATTTATTACGGAGCGGAATTTACATTTAAAAAATGGATTCAAAAGACTGGAAGAAGTTTAAAAGGAGCGGTGGTTACAGAAAAAAAGTAAAAAAAGTCTACCAAAATATGGCTGTGAGCATTACACCCACCACATCTACTCCTATGATGCTACAAAATGACCAAGCCGATACCAACGAATCAGCCAGTGGTTCCGCAGAGGATTATTTTATAGAAAATGATAATGAAAAAGAAACCAGTGAGGAAGAATATAATTGTGGCGATAGTGATAGTGATATAGACATATTTTTAAATGAAGAGCTGAAGAATATTGATATTCGTAGTGATATTAGAGAATGGGCAGTGAAATTCAACATTTCACATATAGCTTTAGGTGACTTATTAAAAATATTATATCATGTAATGCCAAACAAAATGTCATTAGATGCGCGTACATTGCTCAAAACAAATAAAGTAGAAATATGCATTACTGAAATTGGTACTGGACATTATTGGCATAATGGATTACTTACACAATTACAAAAAACCTTCAAACCCGCGCGCTAACAGATGTGGGCCTCAGGTTATACTAAATCCTACCTACCTACATGCTTTTGTTATTCAGATATAGGAATAGGACCGATTACCAATTTTGGGATTGTCCGCTCAGCAGGATTACAAAAAAACGTAATAAAGTAAAACTAACATTTTATTAATCAGCTGATAAAGTTACCGTACTCAGTCTGTAAGGTACGTGACCTTTCTTTAGGCACTAGTCTAGTAGGTACCTACTACTTTCATGAGTAAGATTACCGCTTTTTAGTGATGCTTAAAAATGAGTTAATTATCATTAGGTAGGTGATTTTAGAATTCGAACTAGATAAAATATGGCTATCGTTCACTGTAGCCTGTATTGTAGGTATCTAGAAATCGGTCGGCGCGCGGCGGGCGGCCGCGAGCGCCCGCGCCGACAGTCGCGTCAATCGTCGAGACGACACTCACATACATGTTTGTTTTGTTAAAATAACTTTAGTTCGATCGGAAATACTGTCAAATGTAAACAATTTAAAATAGCAGCTTTATTAATTATTGAACACGTACCGTAATTTAAATTGATTATTTATGTATTTTTTTACAACCTCCTGAATCTTGACAAGGATGCAAAACTACACCCTGTGTAAATAATTATATTCTTTATTGTGTAAGTACTTAGAATTATAATTATACTTCAAACTTAAAATTAGTGCACAAACGCAAGCTTGTCCCTATAAAGAGATCTCTTCCAGCCAACCCAACCATAGTGTGGAACATAAATTTTATACAATTATAATTATGGGAACAAGAATAACTAGGTACAGGATTTTGTTCGTGAGAAAGGAACCCTAACTATATTTAAAATGGCGATAGCCTATGCAACAAATATTTCCATTATAAAGTCTTCACTCTCATAGACTCCTTGTAGACGATGTGAGAATCGTTTTGCTCTCATAATAGCACTGTTTATAACATGACAAAATAATTTATAACGTTTGTAGCACAAAAACAGCTAAAATTCAAGGGCGCGTTGATTCTACAACACACAGCGTACCACATTTAATCATGCATTTGAATTCCCATCCACTTTTCTCTATAAATGAGCACATAAATTAGGTAAATACATAAAATAATTACTTACCGTTCACTTTTCACTTATAAAATGGTTGACTTTTCTCTTTATTCGCCAAACTGTTGCGAAAATGCCAAATCACTAAGAAAAAGACTTATTGCAGAATCATAAACAGACGGCTTTAAGGGCCTACGGCTTTTTATGAGCCTTTGATTTGCCGCAATGAGTTTAACTACCTTATAATGGCCCGTATTAACGCTTTCTATATGTTTCTTACAAGTGTATGAGGTGGCTTTTAGGAGCTTTTTTCTTGCCATTATAAGTTCAACTTCCTTGTTCCTTGTCATAATATAACACGTATAAGGAAAAAAAGCGGACAATAAAGCAACTTCAAGGGGGGTATAAGTTATTGTCCTTATAATTTGTGCCCAAACGCACCCTTATTAGCGATAATGCGGCTCCTATAAGAATATTATTTTTGGTCATGAAAGTCACTTCAAGAGCAATTTTTGTTTGTTGGGGGGCCTCAAATGATGTATACATGAACTAGATAGTGCAACTCTTCCATGGCTTCAAACAAATCATATGAGCCCATACAAAGTGTCGAGTATGGGCTCTTATATTTTTTTTGGACGAGTTCAAAAGATTAAATTATTACAAGCTAATAACAATGATCTTACAAAGGATTTAAGTGACAAATTAATAGAACTCTCATCGTTTTTTTTACGTTTCATATAAAATATAAAATTTAGTATTAGTTATTTATATTACTTTATTTGTTATTATTATTTTAACATAAAACTTACTTGGCGGTTCTCTCGGCCTGATACAGAGTGTTCATATTAGGCACTTGATTAGTTTTAACGGTGTCTAATACGTATAAATAAGCCCGTTTGACTGGCGGCAGAACTAGCGCCCACATGCTCCGACTCGAGTTGGGTGTGGAGTGTTGGTAGATGTATATGTGCTTCACTGGGGGAACACCGTCCTGGAATAAGATGCTAGATTATGCTACAAAATTTCTTAATTATAGACAGAAAGGATTGCCCAAGACCGGGATGGGTGGCGCTCTTTGGGGGAGGCTTTAATTCAGTAGTGGACTAGAAAAGGCTGAATTAGTAGACAGAATGGGCACGGTAAAATGGGCCAATTAGGAAAAATGTGGTGCCTCTACGAAACAGAAAATGGTATCACCTGATGGAAAGTGACTACCTCCGCTGCGGCCCGACTTTGAACTACCAGAGTACGCTCTTTTCTTGAAGGTTCGGAAATACCACACATAACAATTTGTTGTACAGAGTTGTGCAAGGCAAAAAAATCCATCCAAGTGATGGCGACGGATGTTTTAAGGCATAGAATAATGGCGAATTGCTGCGGCCGGTATAAGTTCGAACAATTCCTCTTAGTTATGCACTAAGAATAACTTTTAATTACCTGTAAATGTGTTTGAGTTTGATTTCAAGAAATACACAATCGTGCTTTGTACTCAAGAAGTTTAAACAAAATTTGTTTTTTTTTACAATGTATTTTAGTTTAAAACTTACCTGTTTTTGTAAATAAGGTTGATGTGCCACACTTTTAAACTGTAGCTGATTAAGAGAAAACGAATCCAAATTATTGGAACCAAATTGTATTTGTCTGAAATTAAAAAATAAAACACTTTTTACCTTAAAACCTGCAATGTATAAGAGTTGCTGCAATTCGTTAAGTGACAACAAGAGCAGGATAACAATTTCGAAATGTGTATATTGGTAGAAAATTTCGATGAGTATAACAGCGGACGAGAAGCTGTAGTAATTTACCTATAAGTTATCAGACCAGAATACCGGCGTTTTCATGCATTAATCTTTTTACACGTGGATTCATTTATATGTCATGTAATTAATTAAAACCTTAACACACAAAAAATCAATAAACTAAAACGCATTACAGAGTGACCACTTTACGTCGAAATTTATTTGTGCAGGCATAGATTAATATCTATACAGCCTAATCAACTTGAAGGCATACGAAAGATAATGCTTTGTTTAGATTGACGCCAAATGCATGACAGTGTTTTAATTTACTCTGTGGTTTGTATGGGGAAAGAAAAGCGTTGTTTTTACTATTTTCCTCGCAATTTTTGCACAAGAACCTTATCTATGCCGAAAATATAAAAACATATTTGCCGAACTAGTCAAGTCGTGCTCCAGTTTTGCGTTTAGCAACATATTTGGCGGTTCATTTGTATTTATATAAATTAAGAATATCTTACTTCCTTGCTTCTTGTGGATCGACAATACATATGCAACCAAGCTGCACTAGAGCTCTGAATTCTAAACTCATCTGAGTTTCGTATATTCCCTCGATTTCTGGAGCACATAGTTCAGCCATTAGTTGTCTGTAAGAATAAGAAAATATTAACTATATCAGGTGCAATTGGTTTTATTATTTGTTTTACAATAGTTTGTGAAATAATTCAGGCTATTTTGTACACAGGCAAAAGCCTTCTATATCTATTATTTATAAATTTAGCATGTTAACAACTAGATCGCGGTGTCACGTTAACTGCATTCTGGCTGTCTTAATTGTAATAAAGGCTCACAAAGTACATCATTTTTGGATTATTAGCAGCATAAATTATTTTAAGTTGTAGGCATAATAACATGATCAAAAAACCGTGATTAAAGTTATAAACTATCACTGGCTCATATAACGTAGGCTCATAACGAATGTAATAAATTGTATTCTTAATTCGCAAATTTTCTACTCTTAATGGTAGTATTTTTTTATGATATTTAACTGTGACTATATGGAAAAGTAATTTTCCAAATCGTTATAAAATGTTGGACTCTGAGGTAACAAACATAAACGAACCTTCTCTTTTAAAGTCAGTTAAAAAGGTTCGAAAACTCTTGGGTACCCATAGCGAAAGGAATGCAAGTACTAACTCCTGGTGCTCCCTGTAGACGTTCTCCGGCACGGTGTACTGGTAGAGGTGCAGCGCGGGCTGCGCGCGCGGCAGCAGGCGGCTGCACCTGCGCCACAGCGCGCCACAGTCGGCCGCGCGCGCCACGCGCTGGTTCACGTAGAACGTGCGCGCCACCGACAGACGCACCTGGTGCAGCTCCGACCCCACCAGGGCCCACACCTTGAACGAGCCCGGCTCTGCCGTTTCCGCAATCTTGAGGAGAACGATATCGATATCAGGTTTTTTTAATGTTAGACGCAGACGAGCAGACGGTTCTCCCGATGGAAAGTGACCTTCGCCGCCCATAAACGTCTGCAACTCAGGAGTCACAAACGCGTTGCCTGACTTTTAGGAAGGAGTACGCTCTTCTCTTGAAGGTCGTATCGATCCGGAAATACCACAGACGACGACTTGTCCCACAAGATAAATGGCAAAAAATTACTGATCTGCTGTCTGATGCCCGATGTTTCTTTTCTTTATGGTATAGGTGAGCAAACAAACAGACGACACGAACTCCAGACTTCAAGAGTCACACGCCTCGGTGCTTGATTTGCTTGACTGCCTCGGTATGCGACTGCGAAGTTGAGGTCTCGCGTTCGATTTCGAAAATAGGTATTTTTTTTATTCACAAATATAGTCACCTGTATAATCTGCCACGGAGTATTAAGCAGTGTGCGTTGGGCTCGTCTGATAAATCCACCAAGAGTTGTAGCAGGACCAGCGGCGGCAAGCGGCACCTGTACCTCATTATCGATTTTACCTAAAAAAATATGTACAATTAAAAATTACCAACTAATTACATTCAAATTACTACGCTAGTTAAACTAATTTATATGAGAGAAGAATGCATACAATAGCATTTTTTTAACGAACAAGGGGCAAACAAGCAGACGGGTCCCCTGATAGAAAGCGACTACCACCGTCCATGACCGCCTGCAACTCGGGAGTCACAAAAGCGTTGCCGGCTTTTGAGGAAAGAGTACGCTCTTTTGAAGGTTTGAAGGTCGTATGGCTCTAGAAATACCGCAGACGATAATTGTTAAACAGGTTGGTAGTGCGAGGCAAAAAGTGTCTTGAAAAGCGCACAGTGGTTGAGTGCCAATCATCCAAGTGGTGGGATAAAAAATATGGAGATCTTTTGGCTATCCATGATTCGGATCGCTCTTCTTTCAATACGGTCCAGAGGGATTAGCTGGTACTGAGGTGCCCCTGCAGAGATGAGAACAGTATTCCATAAGCGGCCGGACTTGCGCCTTATAGAGTCGGTGGCGATGGGCTGGAGTGAAATACTGCCTCGATCTATTTAGCACACCGAGCTTTTTGAAGCCAGTTTGACCTTACCCTCTAAATGACCGCGAAACTGGACTTCGCTCGATAGGTCGATGCCTAGGATGCCGATACTGGCTGAGGGAGTTAGGGAGGTGCTCTCAACCAAGGCGATACGCTTTCTTTGCGGTGAACGTGCAAACCTGTGTGATTGAACTTGGATGTAAAAAAAAAAACTGGACAAGTGCGAGTCGGACTCGCCCACCGAGGGTTTCGTACAAATTTGTAGGTACTTATTATAAATAGTTCAAGAATCGAGTCTCCCTGTTTTTCCAAAACTTATGATTACTTAAATTGTGTTTAATAAGTGAAATTGTACCTCAATGATTGATTATTTACTACGTAATAAAGAATATATTTTTATGACTAAATTACAAATGTATAGTTTTCAGATTTTTACCTGTACTTGTAGTATAAGACGATGTTACTTGCCAAATTTCATAGTTCTAGGTCAACGGGAAGTATCCTATGAATTTTGATTCCCTTGTGAGTGACGAAATATGCGTTTTTTGCGGCATAAACGACCGTATCCTTTTTTTTACGTTACCCTATTAGTTTGATTTTTTCACAGCTTCAAATGACTGCAGACCTGAGTGCATGGTTTTAATTTCAACTCGATACCTCCACGCGTTCCCGAAATAAAGGGTCTTGACAGACAGACAGACGGACGGACAACAAAGTGATCCTATAAGGGTTTCGTTTTTTCCTCTTGAGGTACGGAACCCTAAAAAATTATGTTTCTCGATCCCACGTTAAGGCTGTATGAATTGGAACTTTTATATGTTAAATTTTATATGTTTTGTAACAGCTTAACAGCAACTTACCTCGTTTATTTCGATTGCGAAGACCACGTTGCTCCATTTGCCAAAGCCATTTCTTCTTTTGAAACAGTATCCATTGCTTTCTTTCCGCCTGTCAATACTCAATCAATTTATATTCAGATCACACAGATCAACATAATACTTTAAAAGTCCACTGCTGGACATAGGCATCTCCTTAGAAAGGAGGTTTTGGCCTACTACAATTTATCTTAATATACATATATTCTACGGAATAGTCAAAAATAACTTTTAATAAATAATATAATTATTACAAGTTCCATGACTTGTTATATAATGAAAATGCAAATATTTCTTTATTCTTCATTTTTAACCACCCTTAAAAGGTTCTTTGTTTAAATGAATGTTTTTTTTTCTATGTATGTTCACCGATTTCATACATAAATCACTTACACTAACAGGACTTCACTATAAGCCATATGTAAAAATGCCTTCACAGATATAATTCTTAGTTTTGTTGACTTAGTGGTGCCTACCTTGGTAGTACCAAAAGGTGGTGGCGACCCCAGGGCTTCTTTCCACGTCTGTGCCTTCGGCGGAGACTCCTCCCGTTTCCTCTTGACCGTGTGGACGATCGGACGGATTGTAATGTCTTTATCCGTACTTGTGTTACCTATGTCTTCTATATCTATTTCGGTGACCTGTTCCAATACATATTATTACTATTTACACTATTCAGGATATATAAATATTAGATGTCAATTACACTTTTTGGTAAAGAATTCTATATCTATAATCTATATTCTTTGCAAAGAAAAGCTAAAAAAGATAATGTTGCCTCCTAATAAATAACATTAAAAACCCGCATGACATGTGTTCACTTCGCTTCATTGTAAACCTGTACCTGAGACGAAACAATAGTATATACGAGTATATATAGCGTTCAGTTTGAGGAACAAATTATCCGTTTGTGTTAAGAAAATAGTGACGCAGCGATCAAGCCCCATACCCTGACCAAATCAGGTTCCAAGCTTTCGTACGAAACGATAATTTCTTGGAGCCTGATTGGTTAGAGAGCGGGCTTGCTCGATGAGCCACTATATTCAGGTCAAGTCGGGTCAATGATACAGATTCACTGGTCTCCTTCGTTTTAACTGCATTAAAATACACTTACCTTAGTACCATCACAACTAGTAGATGGTTCCTCGTCCTGATCGTCGGCGCTTTTAATCTCTTTTGGCTGTACGCTGAACATGTCTGTGATCTTCCTTGTTTTAAACTTATCTGTCTTGGCTAGCATCTTCTTGTGAAGCCAGTCTGGGTACTGACATCGAGGTACTGGGTTGTCTAGCTAAGAAGGCAGTAGAATTTTAAGTTAGTTACCGTCTTCGCGTTACTAAATTGACACGGTATGAATTAAAACTATGCCCGATACAAAAATCCAATCAAACAAAAAAGCTGATGATCTGTGAAGGACATGATAGAAAATCATAATCGGTCCATTCATTCACAGAGGTATAAACTAACAGACACAGATACGAATTAAGTTTTAAATCAAGAAAACTCCGAATAGTGTAAAGAGGGGGGGGGGGGATAAATACCAGCATAGTCTATAAACCTTCATATGCTTACCCCCTGCATAGCAGCTGGAATAGTGATGATCTTCTGTATAGCCCCACTCAATCGTTCGATATAATAGCCCCAGTCGAGTACATCCCTAATATCGATATCTTCAGTAATACTGTTGTCTTTAAGCCACCGACGTAAGTGGTGACGTTTAACGGAGGCCGGTGATTGGAATATAGCGAGAGGGATCGCACGTTCCGTCACTGGAGCACCTTCCGGCTTCTTCGATATTATAAACCTATATAAAAATATAAATGAATAGTATATAAATATAAATAGCCGGAAATCAAGCAAAGAGGAAACAAGGCACGTAGTGTTAAGTATTTTATATGAATTTTATAGCCAAAGGAACGTATTTGTTAATAAGTGTATATGAGCGCGTGCGCATTGTGCGCATTTGCGTGTGTACGTTATTATGAGTGCATATATGTAAGTGTGTGGGAGAGTATATCAACTTGTTAAGTTTATATCCCTAGGATTTAACATCTTGTAAAATCGTTTACAAGATACTTGCATGTTAAATCTTAACGTGCTACAGTATATATATATGTTTATCTACCTAATGTAGTTATGTTTATCTAAAAATATAATATGTTCAATACCTGCAGGCTAAACCAGCATCCTTCACCATCTGGTCACCCAGAAATTCAGCCAATCGTTTAGCAGTAGAAATTGATGTGGACTTCTGACCACCATAGTCTTCTAACTTTTTAGACATGGAACGATTCTCGGAGATTAGTTCAAATAGCTCGGAGTCTGGCATGTTACTGCCCTTGGAGTAGAGAACGTCGAGCCAATAGTCTGCCACTTTAGCGACTGCGTCATAGCATGACTTTAAATCGTTGCCTTTGAGGAAGGCTTCAAACACTGAAGACTGGAAGATTTTGATGAGCTGCAATTCGCCTCGGCGTTTCACTTCAAAACCTGGAGAAAAAAATAAAAACTTTTCAAGGAGCTTTTTTTTTTCATTGAATAAAATATTTTCGTTATCATTCACTCTTGAATTGTAAAATAATTTTAAAGTTAAGTAATTTGAATGAGGTAACACTGATGCGATATCTGCAATTGTCTAATGTAAGGTTTAGGACAGCAGCTCTTTAAAAAAGTTTATTACAAAATAAAATAATGTATATTTTAGTTTAAATCAATAATTAAATTATTATGCAAACATTTAATTTGATGGTAAAACACCGTTTACCATAGAAATTTTGAGAGTATGCTAATCAACGCTTGAATGAAATTGACAAATAATATTAAACATATTGTTAACTACTAACGAACCTTTCAATTCGGCTAGTGAGCCATCGAAATTGAAGACGGCGTATCGTTTCTTCAGCCGCTTGCCTTCTTCCTTGGACGCCGGCAGGACCATGGCTAAATATGGACCGTCCACTTCAAAGAATATAGAGTTCTCGGCGCGTTGTTCGTATTTTTTATTTTCGGGGTCGGTTAGTTCGAAGTACTGGTCATTTGTAAAATGATCCTGTGAACAAAACATATTTTTAAAATAAATTACACAAAAGAATAAACATATTCTAAGTTTATGAAATGTTAAATTGGTTTGAATTCCTTTTTTTTTTCTTTTAAAAATAACTGCCGCATTAGGAATACATCCTGTGTCGCGGGGGACTTTACAAACATACATGAAACGGACACAAAGAACACCCAGACTCAGAACAACAAGTTGTGGATCACACAAAGTGTCGTCCCATGTGGAGTTTGAACCCACAACACTCGGCGGAGTAGGAAGCGGCGTGGCGACCACTTAAACCACTACGCCATCCATGCAGTTATTCAAAAAGTTCTTCACCAATTGAGCTCATATTTTGACACGATGTACAAACCGCTTCAAATATGGTTTTTATCTATTTTTCGCGTCAGTTTTGTTCTACATTTCTCATCAATTCAACCACAAGGTGCCACAGCGAAGCTCGATAGTATACGGCTATTATTTTAATATAGGGAAGCTATTTGGTATTTTTATCAAACTAATAGTCAGATTATTAAACTAATTGCATTCGATGATAGCCCGTTCTTATGGAAGTCATCACCTTACGAACTAAAGAAGCAGGGCAATGACTATAAATGCGGATAAAAATTATGAAAAGGGCTAGTTTATAGTCATAAAATCCCTTTCGTTCGCAATCGCAACTGTGTTTCACAACCAGTTGTCTGCGAGGATTTTTTTATCTTTCGTGGTACTGATTACCATTAGGAAACAAGAACATTTATCCTTGGTATACAACTAGTTGTCAATAAAGAAAAAAATCGCTGTAATCACAACTATGTTTAATACATGACAGTATTATAGAAATTATCAGCCCATTCTCCTCCAGTATGTACACATGATTCCATTCCAGGCCCAGATTTAGGAATTATTTCTGTATAAAAGCCTTGATTAGCGGGAAATACAAATGCAGAAATGGTTTGATTGTCCGTCTAGATATCTTCATTCTTTTAATGGTTCGTATTTTTATTGATTTGGAATTACTGTGTGAACAAAACTTATTTAAAAATTTAACAATAAACTTACTTTAACCATGGCATTGAGCACTGCATTTGGGAATGAAACATTGATTTTCTTTTTCTTAGCGTGGGTTGTGTGCACGGTGAAGTTTTCAGGAAACGAAGAAGGCAGTATACACCAGATTCCTAAAACATTTAAAATTGTGTTTTGTACACACCTCAATCTTTCTCAAGATAGCAAGCAGCCTAGCCAAACACTGTCTCTAATTTTAAAAAATACATATAATTGTAATGCTAGAACATTCCAAACAGTAATGGAACAACAGGTGTGTTTTACTACGTTTATTGTACTAAAGAATTGTGTTAAAAGTTGTCAATTCAGTTTGATCATTTCAAGAAGAGACAAGTAATTGTTCTGTACAAAATAGGGCGGTTGTCGATCAATAAAATTAAATACTGTAGCATAGTTACTCTTAAAACATAACAATAGTTCAAGTATTCGTGAGTTACCATCAGTGTCGAGCTCAAGGGGCCTGCCGACTTGTTCGATGATCTCTCGCGCCTTCATAATGATGTTAGCGCCGGTGTAACAAACAATACCAGCCATTTCCATGCTGTGCCAACGCGCTCTGTCAAGGAACAAAAACATGTATCATAATTATGGGTTGCCATTTTTCCCAGCTTAATTTGGTGTTGGCCCACTGCATTCTCTTTTCCTATTCTACTCTGACATTCATCATTTCACTGCTTGCTCTCTTTAAACTTTGATTTTTGCTAACTATCTTTTCTTTTCCTTGTGTTATGTAGAAATGATCAAATTCAAAAACTGGCCAAAATACATTTTCAATTTTTGTAGATAACACAGATTCTACGGAGATCAGAATAATGCAGGATTGTGTAAACTTTTAAGAAAGTACGTTCTGAACACCTCAACTTAGACATAAGTTTTGACAAGAGTTAGGGTAACTACTATGATAAATAATGAAATTAAGGCCAACTCACCCCCTCCTCATAACGTATCCGTAAAAAGAATTAAGGATACACTTGTGAGCAAGTTGTAGGGAATCGTATAAAACTTCTCGACTTTTAGCAGATTTGATTTCGGCCGCATCTCCGCTGGCTATAGCTTCTGATACCTTTGCTTTTGCTTGTTTGTTCAGAGCTTTGTACTCGTAGCGACGATCCCTGTTTAGTAAACAATCTGTATGTTTACACAAATATTCATGTAATTAAGTGCAACAGGTAAGTTAAAAAATATTTTCAAACTTCTGGTTTAACCCCCACAGAATAATAATATTATTCTGATAATGGTTATCCTGCAAAACGGCTGGCTATCTGGTTTGACACTAGAAAAAACCCTGGGAGTTTGGAATTCCACAATAACTTTCGTTTCACGGTTTTTAAAGCGGTCGCCACGCCACTTCCTGTGTTGTGGGTTCGATCCCTACATTGGGCCGAAACTGTGTGATCCACAAATTGTTGTTCGGAGTCTGGGTGTTCTTTGTGTCCGTTTCATGTATGTTTGTTAAGTCCCCCGCGACACATAATATATTCCTAATGTAGGAGTTGTCTTTTAAAAAAAGAAAGAAGAACGACTACATTCCAAAGAAGGGTTGGCGTCCCTGGCAAATGGCAGATGGCCAGCCATAAAATTAAAAACCAAAACCAGTTCGCAGTGAAATGGAGTGCGTGAAAGATTTCAAGTGATCAAGGAGGATGGGAGAAGATAAACTTATTGCACCCACCCTAAATAATGTTGGAAAAAAGGGTAGGAAGATGATGGTGATGATGGATACATGTGTAAGGTGTCAGAGCTTGAATGAAACGTGGTGTGGTCCTGATGACACTACTATAACTATTAGGCATCTTAGAGATGATCACTGTAGTTAATAAACTATTTTTTAGGTTATTCAAAACATTAGGACAGTACATTCGAAGGGCCTAACTGACGCTTTTTACCTGAACGCTCTGACGGTGTCGACGTAAAAAGAGTTTTCTTTCTGACAAATTGTTGTAGTCCTCACTTCAGTTCTAGTCACCTTCGTCTTTTTGTAAGCGACCTTGCAGTAGTCTGCTAGACGCTTCTTTTCGTATGCCGCCTAAAACATGAGTTAAGTTTTTAAATACCATAATTAAAAAAAATAAGAACATAATATCTATTGGCCAAAACCTCCTTTCTAAGGAAAGGCCTATGTCCAGCAGTGGACTGTTAAAGGCTGTTGATGATGATGGATGATCTATTGGTATATTTGACGAGCCTGTTGATCTAGCTAAAGGTTAGTGACCTTGACTGCTAAGCTGGAGGTGGTGCGTTCGATTCCCACCCAAAATATTGTATGATGGGCACGATCCTTTGTGCTGTGTCCGGGGTCAATTTATCTATAAAATTTTAGTACGTTTATCAGCAGTCTAGTTTCTACAGTACACGCTCTTCCTATTTTATTCTTAATTTTTGTCTTTGTTTCTTCAAGTATGATCGCAACTGTAACCCAGGCAATTAGTGCATGTAAAACTTTTCTACAATTAATCTTATACTCCAATACAATAACAGCCTATAGGAAAAGTCAGAAAGTCATTGACACGCCATTGAGATGCCATTGACATCTGTCAAAATATCGGTATTCTACTAACATAAATTAGTGCCAGTAGACTGTCGATGTAGTGACAATGTCTCATCAATGGTGATATCAACAACTTTGCCATTTCTGGCAAATTAAATATCATAATTGCCTTACAAATTTAAAATGCACCGTCTACGAAACTATTACAAAGCCATCGACGACATTTGTTTCAGTGGCAGTTCAGTGACATGTCCTTCGAAGGCCATTGGTCTTACATAGTTAGTAGAATACGAAAAGTGGTCTATTGAAACAATATTAAAATAGCAGAATTGAGGCCCTGGTTTAAATGTTTGTAAAATTAAAGTTACCTGATCTTCTTTTGGCAAGGCGTGAAAAGCTCTATTTGGACCACCAGGGTGTAGCGGTGGAAATTTTTCTGTTTCCAGTTGCTGCTGGATGCGCTGGTATTCACTTCTAGTTGCAGGTACTGTAAAATAAACACAGAACTAGTATCAACTGGAGTATAATTGAGATATTACAGCTTAACACCCTCCCCCTTATTACCCCTTCCAGATAATCTCTTTTTACTAATATTTTCCTTAATTTTAGGCGGAGGAGTGGGGGGATGGTCGTTCAATAGACTTTTTAACTAAACGTAACTTTCCGAATTGTGAAAATGTAAAGAGGGAATTACAATAAATCATTATTATTATACTTACAATATTCTCCCCTCCACATCCACTCCATATGCCTTTGGCAAGTGGCGCCGGGTCGGTTATAATCACAGACCGCGCACACACTGGCGTTTACCATCGCGGATGGTTGCAGTCTGGAGAAAAAATAACATGTACAAGTTTCACAACAGTAAATTGGAAAGTGTGAAAGCGATCCTCCAACAATAGCATAGTTACCCGAGGTTAAAATATAATATATTTATGTAATGTGAAGTAAATAAATCATTTCATCAACAGCATTCAATAGTCCACTGTTGGACATAGTTCTCTCCTTAGAAAGAAGGTTTTAGCCGACTATACCATGCTGGCCAAACGGATTGGTATAGGGTTCGTTTCAAGTTTTTCTTCTCTTTGTAGTGCTGTTGTCCTGCAGTTTGCTCTTTTAGTCGGCTCTTAGATAACCCACGGGATAAATAGAAGGCGAATAGTCCGTAATCTTAATCCGTCACCACACGAACTTAATAACATACGGACGGAATAAATCATTTACTCATTCATTTTCAGTTATAGCGGATTATGACGTCACAAAATCACTTCCTCTTATTAAACGTCCAAACCGTTCTAACGTTTAATAAAGAGGAACTGATATGACTTGATATTCTACAACTTTACTCACCTATTGGTTAAAATAATATTAGGATACATAGCACCAACATCAAGATGATATATCAATGGGTTCTCGTCTCTTCTCGGGTGATCTTTCATGTGTTGTAGCTTCGCTTTAATCTCTGCACACACATCATCGAAATTCGTCACCAAATCTAACGGAATGCCTTCCTCCACTTCTATGGCATGTTTCATAGTTTTCTCAGTTGTTTCCATTAATTTGTCTATGGCCGATGGTACTATTTTGAATTTGCATTTTATATCTGCTCTAAAGACGCCTGGAACATGTTTGGAATTTTTATGCATTATCAATAAAGGTGGGTGAAAGTGACCATCGCCGCCCATGAACGTCTACAACTCAGGAGTCACAAACTCAGTTTATTTCACCTCAGCTCAGCAGCTACTTGGTGAAGAGTAGTTCGGGCCAATTACAACTCCGAACGCAGTCACCGTGACGATCGAGTACTCGTAGAAGTGAAAGAAAATACACAATACACTCGGCCCTCAGATCTTACAGCGGTCGGGTGACCTGATAGTAAGTAAGAATTCCTCTCTAGTATTTTGTACCCGACGTAAAGCTTGCCTCAGTAAGCTTTAAAAATCAAACGCAATACTTTTATTGTAAAACAATATTGTAATAAAAAGAAACTTCCCGTATTCGATATCGATTATTCGAATATTAGCCTCAAGAATTTGGCCGCAGTTCTGGTGGTTCTTCATAACAAATCTAAATTGGTTATTGATTCGGTTCAGCGGTTTAAGCGTGAAGAGGTAACTAACAGACACACAGACAGACATGCTTTCGCACTTTGACATAATATTAATATAGATGACTACAGCAATCCAACGAACAATCGAACATTGTGAATAACTTTTTTTTTTACGAACCTGATTCCAACGCTTCGACGTGTCCACCGACGTATGTCTCTGTCTCCAACACGTGTCCATCACTGGTAAGTTTATTGAGCTCTTCTACTTGTTTGTTGGGGAACACGATGTTCGCGTGGAACGCTTGCACCATTAGTAACGATTCACATAGTGTGCCTGAACCTTTACGGAGAACCTAAACGAAAACAGCTGATTACAATTGTTTTTTTTAAATTGAGATTACGGAAGCCGTAGCGTGCACTGCCTTAGGAGTGGTGCTATGACAGGAAAAAGTATATTAGGGGTTAAAGTATGAAATTACCGATTTTTACTGAAACATGTAAACTCGTTTTGTTTAAGACATATTTATTTAATCAAAATATTTACCCTCATTATCTCTACATTGCTGCCATCTAAACAGAAGTTCAATTATGCCCTTACGATAGAACTCTGGGGATCTAAATTCGACAAACTTTGTGAAAGCATTTTCTATGGCATTCTGGGAAGATTTTTTTTATTACGTAGAAAATTGTCGCTCGGTGAAAATGCATGGCTCACCTACAGATGAAATGACATACATTAGTAAAACAACAAACCTCGTCTGGTTCCAAGGGGATGATGGTACACAAGGCGAATATGAATGGGTGCACATACTTCATGTACAAGTAATATGTCGCCACCGCGTCTGATACAGAGTAGTTTGATAGCACCTGAAATATATTACAATAAGGTCATTTACTCGTCCTAACATGTTTTGTATTTAAACTCAATAAAAGGCATCCCCAAATGTAGTGTAGTCAAAGTAGTGTAGTGTATTCAAATGGAATCTAGACTAGACTAAAGATGGAAGATCCATCTAAATTAAATGTTTCTACTGAGTTTTTTTTTTGGAAGATATTGTATGCATTTGGATATTTTTACGAAAATATCTACTTTATTCACTACATAAATGACTGACATCAACTTTTTTTTTAACCCATGACAAATACAACAAGTAAATTGGTTTCAGCTAGTAAAATTATTGTTAATAATATTTCTTCTGCATTCCGAATTCCCGAAGATCAATCGTCTCGCAACTTTTACGCGTTGCAAAAGACCGGGTCTTTTCAGCAGGAACCTGTGTAAATAGGTAATATGCTCCATATGCTGACTACGATCCCCAGACATGAGGAACTGACCACAGCCAATGACATTCCCAATACAATAAAATTATATCATTTCTTATCATGGCTCCATTCAATGTATTTCTGAATATAATTAATGATATTACCTGAGGCTGTTCAGCCGCCATCCTGCACATTTCCTCAGGGTCCAACTCAACCGGATCATATCTCAATTTTGCTTTTGCTACTGCTTTCAAACCTTGGGAACCAACTGGTAGATATGAATCTCTCTTTACCCAACTAGAAAAATCATTCAAAGTCAGTGTTAACCAATGAGAATAAGAGAAGACAAACACAATTCGTACTGAAAATTAATAAAAAATCTATCTTCATGTTATCTGAGATCATACATGCGATGAAATTCGCCAAATGAAGAGAGTGGCATATTCATTGGATGAATAAGTACTATAATATACTATTCTATTCTAACACATCTCACAAACGGCCGTCTGATCCCAAACTAGGCAGAGCGTGTACTATGGTAACCAAACTGCTGATAAAAAAACTTATATATTTCTAAATACATATTATAAATAAAATACACCCAGACTCAGAAAAAATTACCGTGCTCATCACACAATTATTTGTTCTGGGTTCTGGGGAATCGAACCCACGACCTCTGGCGTAGCAGTCAGGGTCACTAAATACTAGACCAACAGGCCAGTCGAATATTAAAGCTTCTCATCCATCTGATGGCACGAATAGCTACGCTAACGCTAGTCGTCCGCACGCCGCACTGCGTTTCGTAGCTGGACGACTTAACACGTACAACAAGTACACTCAAGACTCAGAGAAAACAGTCTATCACATAGAATATCCAACTCTTGAAGTGGCAATATGACTTAAGTAGTCAGTAAGTAGTTGCACCCGTGGGCTATCCGTGCACATCGCTTCGCTTCAAATTTAAGAAACAGTCACACGTTTTATTTGTGTAACAACATCACCCATTAAGGGATTTAATAAAGATCTACATAGATCAGTAATAGAGGGGTTCGTGGCGAAGTGGTAACGGAGTAGGTAACACATGGCAAAGTTAAGCAGTCCTAGCCAGGTTGGTCTATGGTTGGGTGATCATTCTTAACACATTGAGACCTCGGAGAGCACGTTAAGCCGTCTGTTCCGGTTTCCCTACGAACATGTGGCAATCGTTACGGGTAGTTCGAGCCCTAAAATGTCCAACAACAGTGTTTCTACAGAGTAGCTACGAGTAAAAAATCGAAATTCAGCCGTATCGTAGTAGAATTAAAGCCGCCTCCTACCGACCAAGATCGAGTAAAGTCTCTGATTAAAAATACATAGATCAGTAATAATATACTTTACCATAAGCAGTCCATATGCATAGCAGGTCTACAAGCATAAGTACCGTCCCTGGCCGTTATTCTACTGAATCCTATTTCTTGCTTCATGTCTAGCCCAAGAATCGCTGCGCGTGCCTCAACGAACGGCCAATCAAAGAAGTCACCTGAATTAGAAGACTGATGTGCATTATGGCTACACAATTCTTTGGTATCAAAGAACAATGGGAAGATAACTGTTAAATTATTACAACATGATATATGTATATATCCTAATTTTTTTTTCACAATCTCCAAATATAATATTCTAATTAAAAAAGGCTTTTTGTAATCTATCCTGCACTTTTCAAATGCAGTGATTATTTTCAATTAACAGAGAAAAAAACTGGTACACTAAGAGAGAAAATTATTGTATCCAAAAGTTATTAACTTATCTTAAGTTTTAGTGTATTATGATAATGCCTGATTTATTTTATGTTGAAGCCATACAAATACAGATCTTACCGTTATATGTGACAAAAATATGTGGTTTAACGTCCATTATATGATCAAAGAATTTATGTAGAAGTGCAAGCTCATTTTCTTCATTGAACACTATGAATTGCCTGAAAATGGAAGAAATATAAAGACATCAATGACAGCAGCAACTGAGTGTAGAATAAAAATAGCTACAAAATATTTGAATTCTTTCCTGTGTCATTTCCTTTCCTATTCTCTTTCTTATCTATACATACAAATAAATAAAATTGAAGTATCTGTTTGTAATGTCAAAATATTGGTTTTTTCATGCTCACACGGTTACTTGCACAATCCCTATGCCTAAAAGCCAGTTTAATTAGTTTTTTGTCTATCTGTCTGTCTGTTCCGGGTAATCTTCTAAACGGCTGGACCGATTTCGATAATTTCCTCTCAGAAAAACCCTCTCAAATTTTGCCCAGTCCGGGCATTGAACCCACTAGGGCAGCGCTTTTACAATTACCAGCTAGTTAATTATACAAGTACTTAACACCAAAAATGGAAACTAAAAGTGTATAATAATTTCTACATGTGTTGTCTTGCCTTTTATATACATCAATTTCTATCACTCTTTTTGTAAGTTTTTCCAATTATTAATATGCTTCCAAGTTATTATTGGATTAAAAAACCAACATTATGTAGTAAAGTTAACAAAATATAGCAATAAAAACTACTTTTAATTTTAAAATCTCATTGTCTAAAGACTTCAATTATATTACAATAATAAAAAAGCATAGCTTCCATTTACTTATTTTTACATACCCTTCAAACTCTGGCTTTGGGGTGTATTCAAAATCTTCAACATCCATTGATATAATCTCACGATTTGTGATCAGGTACCCCTGACCATCGATCATGTAAGAGATCATCATAATCTGGTCAGTCTGTGAATCTGGAAACTTAAGGGGCAGTTTTGTTGTCTCAATATCAAATGCCAACACTATAGGATCAGGTCTCTCAATGATGTCATCTCTTTTTGTGAATATTGGTGTCTCTGTTCCTCTACTTTTTATGGTGTACCAGGTACCACAGAAAATTTGCATGTCAGTAGATACTCTAACATGGTATGGCACATCATGTTCTCTGCAAAGAAAACACATTTTTATTAGACTATTAATAGGACATGTTCCATGGGGTGACTGATTAAGAATATGGATAGTCACCACCCCTATTCATTCTCTGGCTGTTGTGGCTGGCTAAGGGAGCAAACTACGTAAGACAATAGCACTGCTAAGTGAAGGCAAACTTGAAATAACCAACCTATCTGGCCAGCATGGTATAGTAAGCCAAAACCTCCTTTCTAAGGAGAGGCCTGTCTAACAGTGGACTATTAAAGACTATTGATGATGATGAATAGAACATGTAATGTTTTCAAATTGTTGAACCAATACTCCTTATACATACCTCCTATACCCTGGCTCCAACTGATGAGAGCACCAAATACATTAATTATTCTATTTAAAATTATATTTATGGCCATGAAAATAGAGTAACATCATTTATTAATTACTATTACATACTTTTTAAGTATGATAAAGAAGACTTTTAAGCAACAGGTAAAAAATTTAAACTTCAGACAACTATCAATGTAAAGGCAAACATTTTAAAAGCAATTAATTATTGGGAGGGGTTAACAATAATACTAAGCTAACATTACTTGTAGTATTGCAATTGGAAAAGATGAAATGCTTCAAACACATTCTGGAGCCTCACAAAGGCGGAATATGTCAATATCTTTGAAATTTACTGCATCCTTCAGAAGTATATAATAATATTAAATTTCACTAACTTTTGGAAAAGCCAAGAAACTGAAAGATTTTAAGACCCAATAAAACTGGACCAAGTTGCTCACACTAACTATAAGAGATTTTTGAAAAGGTTACCTGATATCTAGAATATTCTCCATATGATCAGTAGTCTTCTTAGCATGCTCCACAGCAGCTGCACTAGTCAAAGCGTTAGTTAACAGTTCAGTGTATATTTGATCTTTTTTCTCTCTCTCCTTATTTTTATTTACTGCAGTTAAAATCTCTTTTCTTACCTTCATCATTTCTGTTTGAGATATGAATGAAAGTTTTATATAGCGCTGCTGTAAGCCTGATAGGTGGTTAAGCTAAAATAAAAGTTTAGTTTACATATATTTTTTTAATAAAGTGTTAAGTTTGACACAAACGTTTTTTTCTTAATTGCAAGAATAATAAAATACAACGTGCTTGTGAACCTCCTCTAATAATACATAGACGTGAGATATATATTATTAAAGGAGATTAGTTCTGGCCTATTTCAAGGCCTAGTTTAACTCTCTGGCCTAGTAGTCTTTGTGCCATGCCTCCTATTGGTTTCCTAGTGTTAAACAACTTTGATAGACAAACCAAAACAAAGTTTACTTAAAGTAGTAATAACCAACTCTAGTTGACTCACACACACTCACTCACAGTACCAAAAGAAATTTAAAGAGACAGGAGAGTTAGGGTAAAACTTAAATGTTTCATCCTCCCTATATCACTTTTACAACTTTAATTAGTAATAAGAATACATAAATTACTTGATGATGATGCTTCTGGCCCTAGATTCGTTTTGTATAATAATAATTACTGTAATTAATGCTATTACATCTGTGTACTTCTTTCCAAATCTCTCTTAAACATTATATAAAACTATTTTAACATTTACCAAATCCAAATCTTCTTTTTCAATGACATTAATCTTGTGTATTGTGCCCGCAAATCTTTTAGACAGGAAATGTATCACTTCTTGTTCACATTCTTTCCGGGCCAGGATGAGGAAATAAGGCTGGAAAGTCATGGAGACTTTGAACCTAGTGCCATCCATCTCTATGAAGTAGTAGTCCATTGCAGCCACTAGCCTTTTGTCCTCGTCTAATATTTCAGCCTAAAGTACAAGTAAAATATTTTAATCGTTACACTGAACTGCGAGAAATTCTATTCTATGAATGAAAGGCAGTACTTACGGTATGCATGTTTAACAAATAACCAGTCCTTTCTTTGACATCTCGAACTCTATCAAAACCATATTTGGAATCAATCCTATCATTATCCAAAGCCACGCGAATACGGGACTCCGAAGATTCCTCTCTATAAACAATATTATAAGGTTAGTGTTTGACGTATTTGTTTAGTTTAAATTGTCCTATAAACACTTACCTAGGTCCTGAAGAAGATCCTGCATCGTTTCTATTGAAATCTCCTCTGTCAGCACGATATTTCCCTGTGTTTTGTAAAACCATTTCGTTATTTCTTATATGTTTTGTTCAAATTAATCCATAACAGCAAAACAAACTTTACTTGACGTTTATCAGCTGCAATTGTCATAATTTCGCGCCAATTCGTATTTTGATAGTCCAAGCAAAGATACAAACCTTATTTTAGTAAGCCCGAGAGTTTCCCTCGTTCCCGAACGAAGCCTCATTTCAAATTCATTTCGTTTCAGAATCATTTCGCCTATGGATTGGATTTACGATTAACGAATTACATAGTACTTATTCTTTTGGCAAAATTATCTCATAATAATAATCATTTTATAAATAACCCATAAATAATAATATATATGATAATTCGCATTAACGAAATATCCTGTGCAATGAGTATGTTTTTCTTAATTATAACTACATTTCCTTGAAATGTGATGAAAACTGTGTAAAGATTTTTATATGTGTGATATACTGATATTGATATACTTAGCGGGTTTAGTTCCTAAGTTATAAAAACTCTATTGATAAGTTAAAAACTCTGTGTTGGTAAATTTCCCTAGAAACAACAGTAAACTTTTTAGTAGGATTTTGGTGCGCTGAATCCAAACTTTTTTTTAAGCCAAATAAAATTTGAATTGTTACATAACCTCAAAAATAGGCAAACATTTCGTGCACTTTTAGATTAGAATATCTCAAAAACCTGTCGTGATAGAGCAATTCTGCTTCCGAATTCGGATTTTGGTTTGTCTATCAAAAGTCTTTCAAAAACTCTTCGGGAAAGTATACTCTGGTTTCTGGGCATCGAGATATAAGTACTACGTAGTACTTATATCTCGATGTTTCTGGGTAAGAAACTTTGTCAAATTTCGTTGGCCTGTGTAATCAATGTGATTCGGTTTAAAACCAAACTTACACTCTCGTTGTCGTCGTCTCTCGTTGTCGTCGTCACTCGTGACGGCGTTAAAGACATATTATTGTGTTGTATCTTTCATGTGCAACCAAAACGGACGGCGTTGTGTTAATGATGTTTTCTAATCTAGTATGTGTAATATAATATAATAAATAAGTATAGGTACACCTACATACTTAAGTTTTCGTGTAGTAGGTAATGTAAGTAGGTACTTTCTATTGATTTTCTATAAACTAATAAAGGTAACATGATATCAGGTGACCAATAATTTCCCACAATGCAGTGTAAAACATAGTTCTTTTTTGTAGGCGAGATTATATCCGTTTAAAACCATTTATTTGGGGTTTAAAACTTTTATTTAAAACATTTTAAAACAGTTGTGTTACATCACTAGGCTGACACATCGTGCAAATCCTCCGGCGGTACAGGCTCCGGGCGAGTTTTGGAAATGATCATTAATAACGCCTTACCTTGATTCTTCAATTTTCAAAATTTACCTGTGTACTTACTGCTTACATAGCACCTGATTAAAAAAACAGAACTATTTGAAATTATTATAAGTTAATATAAGTAATGCTATTGGTGAAACTGAACTATGGTATAATATGTGGGCACAAAAAAAATATGGAACAGAGTGAATAAAAGGAAACTGGGGCCTAAAACAGAAGCTTCACATTTCACTAGTACAACCGTGTTTACAATTTGCACAGTCAAAAGGTTTTTTATTTAGTACTTTATGCAGAGGAAAAACTTGGCTACATACGACAATGACAGAAAACTAACTTTTCGGCCTCTGCGTCATAAATGTGCAAAGAAAAAGAATTCTGAAAGCACAATATACATTGATAAATAAACTTTTTAACAGGTTTTGCTTGTTGTTTAAATTAGGTGAGAAATAAATAGTATTTTAAATTCCAAGCATTAATCTATTTTTCTTAATTTTACCCTACCCCTAAGTAAAAGCTGGGTACGCCCATGACACTACAGCGTCATGTAACGAAGACATACCGAACTATAGAGTTACTGCTAATCCTGTCTCGCGACATTAATAATTCTCACATTGATTAGCAAACATACAACTGCCAAACGTTAACTGTTGGGCTGCGGCCCGCCAATCATGATCACCTTGCGTGGTCGGAGGATCTTCCCTTTATATTGGAGGGACATGATGACACCTACTTGAGAAAAAGTCCAGCCAAACTTTAGCAATTGCGTCAAGTAGTAGAGGTTTTAGACAAGCACCCGTCATGTGGCCACGCTGTAATTCTTCTAACTCAACCTAGGTAATCCTATGGTTTTCTCTAATTATAGACAGTTAGATATGGTTAGATTTATTCAGTTAAATATAGGCAGCACAGGACTGGTGTTTGTAGCAAACCTCCATTAGATGATGAGTATGATTTATATATGCACACACACACACATAAATTTATTTTTAAATATATATAAATATAAAAACGAATATTTAAACATCGTTTTAAGAATTAACTATATTTATTTGGGAGTTTCGAATTTGTATCTAATATCATTACATCAAGTATCCGAATAATCCGACCAAGTTTATTTCTGAGATTAGAGAATATATGGTGGCACTATAGTATCGCAGCAACAGTCCAAAAGAATTGTAGTAGGTATATGCCTTTTTTATTTGTGTGTGACGCTTGGTCGATCTTCAGTGCCGCCTAATTGCTGATGAAAAGTAATCTCAGTAGCTTGGCAGGACAATCTAGGTGCACGTGCAAATGCAGATTGATCTGATGCGTGTTACTCTGTTTGTGTGATGAAGTGCATTGTAGCAACCATTTAAAGGAAAATGTCAATATACCGCAATTTTTATAAGTCGAAACTATTTAAAATTTCGAAACGATATATTGATATTTTTTTGTCAACCCAAGTTAATATACTCTGTGGTCGAGAATCGAGCCGGTTCCTCTATAAGTCCATACTCCGTAAGGTCAATTGTCAGTCATAGCCACAGAGTACTACATGGCATTAATTCTCTGACTACTATATAGTTATCTGTGGCATTAATTTTGTTACAGTTTGAAACAGTCAGTCGCGCTTTGAATATAATGTTGTAAAATTTATTTATGGTTCTAAATGATCTCAAGTCCTGTCTTTAAAAATGAATAGTTCATACGATATTAGTTTTGAGAGTTATGAAGATACATCTAAACATAATTTTAGACACAAAGGTGGTATTAACATCAGCAACGAACTTGCCGATTTATGTGAGAGGTTACGCGTTTCAGCTTTAACAAACGCCGCTGAAATTAGTCCTCTAGTAAAAGAAGTGACCATAGGACCAAATAGTCCTAGAAAAAAGGATGACTACAAGGATACCACGCCGATCATTAATAAGGAACAGCCTATCGAAAACTTACTTGAAGATAAACTTCAGGAGGATCTCCGATATTTACTCATTGCAAAGAAATGTGAAAACAAAATGCAGAAAACATCTAATGAACTGTTTAAGGATATACTTGGAAATATGTTATGCAAACACGCCGAGGCTACAACGCAATTCTGGCAGATTCAAGCTCAGGAATGCCAAAAAAGAACTTTACTTGACAAGGAACGAAAAATGAAAATGTATAAAAGTATACAAGAGAACGACAATACGTCACTTCTTGAAAAGGCTCGCACTAATGAACTAAACTGTCCAATCAATAACACAGATACGATAGACAACATGAACAAGATTTTAGAAGAACAGAATAAAGCTACTGCTCGGTTTGCTTCCATTACAGATATATCAAACCAGTTAACTGCTGAACCACATGCTAAAACTGTCATAAACACATATACGGGAGGCATAGGGGCAGTAAAAGAAAACAATAATGTTGTAATGGAGTATTGCAAAACTGGAAATGTGCCAGACAAGGATGCAAAACAGGCCAAACTTTTGGCATTAAATATTGAGAATATTAAAAAAAATATTGCACAAGATTTAGATGTAATAAAGAAAGAAGAAATTCTGATGAAACAAAAACAAGAGGAGCTAAAGAAAAAACAAATAGAAGAAGAGAAAGCTCAACAGATAAAATTAGCACAAGCTGCAGCAGCAGAGAAAGAGAAGACTGAACGTATGAAGAAGACAAAACCAGTATTTTTTTCAAAAAACAATTACAAATATTATGAAGATCTTAAGAACTACCTTGATCAATACGAGATGCAGTATAAAGATTTGTTAGAAGATACCAGTTTAAAAAAGTTTAGATTTGACTGTCAGAAAGCTGTTAATACCCCTGTAAATGCATTGTCTTCTGTCAGTGTACTGCACATGAAGGACAAGTATGATAAACTGTCTAAATTACTAAAAGGTGAAATAGTACAAGTGTTAGATATTAGTGTAAGAGCAACACGACATCCACAAGGCTTAGCATACTGCACAGCTTTACTAGCAAAGAAGATAGTTAGGCAAGGAGATCTGTTAGTTTCTAGCAACACAGAAGCGGCATACCCTCTCGCAGCTGTCACTGTGGCTTTATGGGCTCAGTTCCCCCATTTTGGCAAGTTAGTTGAAGCTTACTTTCACAGGCTATGCCCCTATCTTGTGCCAATGTTTCTACCACAAAAAGAAGGTCAGACTGATAAAGAATTTTACTTATCAAGAGGCTACACATATAATGATGAAGGTGTTGTGGAGAAACAAGACAAGTTCCTGAAGAGGATGTCTGGTATTTTTAGATTGCGCTGTGCAATATGGACAGCTAAAATGCCCAAATTTTTAAATTCACCTCATCCTAATGGTATGCGTCATGCTTGGCATTGGCTTGCATCGTTTATAAATCTGAAACCTGAACCAGACATATCTGCTACCTTACTTCATGATTTTTATATTATGTGTGGATCTAGATGTAATGAGTGCTACGACAAACAATTTAGAAAAATTCTAGTACTAGCAAATTCTGATTATCTTAAAATACTAGAAAATATTGATGAGGGTGGACCTAAAACTAGATTGGAGGTTTATCTTCAGGCAGCATTAAAATCAAATAATATTCCACCTCCACCAGTACCAGCTCAACAAATCAATTGGTAAACCACTTCTAGACATCAGAATTTTTAATGGTATTATTAATATAAATTATATTTTGACATTCAAAGACTTCCTTGACAATGTGAAACATTTCACATTTGTCTGATTATGCTTGTAAATATTAAACTAATGAATTATTGAATAAGTAATAATAATTTAGTATATGCATGTTTTTTTATTGTAGTAAATAAGCCTTCTGTCCTGCAATAAAATTTTATTATTTTGAGAACATACTTGTATTACGTATGAACATAGTTATTGTATATTATAAAACTGCACTGTAACTGCATGGATGGTGTAGTGGTTTAAGCAGTCTCCACTCAACTGAATACTAGGCTGAGAGTTGTGGGTCCGATCCCCACATGGATCGACACTGTATGATCCACAAATTTTGTGGTGTTCTGAGTCTAGGAGTCCCCTGCGACACAGGATATATTGCTAATGCAGGAGTTGTCTATTTTAATAAAGAATCAAGAGGTGCCTTTTAAAAAAAAAACTACTGTTTTTATTTTATTCATGATTCGCTGTCAATGTACTGAGTTGCGAAATTGTATTTAATTGAATTACGATCAATAATTTAGCCAGTTACGCATATTGTATACTAGCTGGTACCCGCAGCTTCGTTCGCGTGAAATTTGAAAAGCGCTGCCTTGGATTCGATTCCCGGACTGGGAAAAATTGTGTAGGGTTTTTCTGAAGGGAAAAAAAGCCTAAGTTACTCCTTATATAGATAGCGACCTGGTAGTAAAATATTATCAAAATCGGTCCAGCCGTTTAGAAGATTACCCGGCACAAACGAACAGACATTTGGCATTACAAACAGACACTTTAATTTTATTTATTTGTATGTACAGATTATATACATTGATAAGATCTCAAGTGTGCGTTACCTCGGCAAAATAATGTCAAAAATAAGCATTTAAAGCTAAATTTACACCGCAGCGAAATGAAATGGAATTATCATCAACAGCCTTTAATAGTCCACTGCTGGTCTATAGGCCTATCCCTAGAAGAGAGGTTTTGGCCTACTATACCACGCTGGCAGACGGGTTGGTATAGGGTTAGTTTCAAGCTTTCCTTCTCTTTGCAGTGCTGTTGTCCTGCGTAATTTGCTCCCTTAGTCGACTTATAGAATTCCCGCACATTCCAGTGAATTCGCGCGACTATGTCTTACACCGCACTACTGTGACCGTCCCGACCGACTCCCCCTTTACAGACGGCTTCGACAGTAACTAAGGGAACTCTGGAGAATGCGCGAAGATACCGCGGAAAACGCTTTTTTGACGCCTATTTATTTAATATGGTATTAAAACACTAATACATCCTAACACTTTGAATAAGACCTCTAAAGGCTTAGTTTTACAATATCACACATTATAACGACCCCAGACAAAATGTCGAACAGGGCATGAAAGTTACGATGATGATATTATAACTTACTAGCTGACCCGCGCAACTTGGTCTACGTCTCAAAAGGAATAAATGTTCCCCGCTTTTTTTTTTGGCACCATTTTTCATTGATACTCCGCTTCTATTAGTCGTAGCAGGATGGTAGGTATTAGTTCAACCAACCAAACAAACTCTTCAGCTTAATATTATTAGTAGCTATAGATAATTAATTATACCAATATTGACAAGCTGAAGCTAGTGTTTCTGTTATCCTCATATTCACGGCTAACCTTGACCTGTTCAATGATGATGAAATTTAATATGGACATCATAGCTGACCATCACACATTAAGGATGGTTTATTTGGCTCTATGCCAGTCCATACAGGGTTTTTGTATATCTGTTTGGGGTGCCGCCTTTAAGACGAAAATGCTGAAACTAGAGAAGTCTCAGAGAGCAATTGTTAAGGTCATGACAAAGAGAGCTTACAGATACCCAACCTCACAACTATATGCTGAATGTGAGGTTTTAACCGTACGTCAGTTATTTGTCCTGCGGTCTACCCTCAGAAATCATAGTCTCCTACCCTTACCAACTCGGCACAAACTCTCCACTATTATGATATTATGATGGTATAACAAACAAAACCAATTTTGCAAAACATCAATTTTAAGTGATAAGTAAATATATATATATATATATATATATATGTATATATATATATAAAGCTACATAAGGAAATAAATATACTGAGTCTAAATAGTTACCAACTGAAGATCACTATCACACATTGGCTACAAAACTATGAACAAACAGAAGCTCTTTTGACCTACATAACATAACTCACAAACAAACACATACACACATGAACATACACATACACACACACCCACACACACATACATACTCTTTCACACACACTTCAATAACCAAGTCTAAACATTTCCACCAATAGCAACAATTACTACAAGAATCAAGTAAATGAGATCTCGGTTGAACACTGCCTCTTAAGATACAGGCCATGCCTAGTTTAAGAGTCAGGGATCACTACCTTCCTTTGAGACCTATACAGCTAATGTAAAAATTATGTAACTAAGTACTGTAATTATTTGTGGAAATAAATAAATATTATTATTATAGTTTGCCTTATTAGAGAAGTCATTATATTAGAGAAGAGTCATTATATCCGTGTACATACATTATATCCATGTATTCTTAATTTTATCCAAAAATGTAAGGACCCCGCGGACTACTACTACTACTCTATAAGTAGGAGAGCGCGTCGAAGCCGTGTATGACCACCAAGTACAAATATAAAAGCGAATTTAAATTGTGGCGACTCGCACGAACACGAACAAGACACGCCGAACTACGGAGTAACTCCTGAATGAGAATTGCTAATCCTGTACAACGATATGAAGAATTCTCTCGCCGATTAGCATATATTATACAACTTTCCAACATCAAGCGTTGGGCCGCGGCTTTTTGCTTTATTTTTTACTCACTCGTCGTACAAAACCGTGTGTATATTATGGCCGGCGAGCCGTATCAACAGTTGTTTGCGGCAGGTACCTAGATTTTAGAGCCATTTACCAATCTTATTCGTATCTCACGCATTATAGTGTTTTGCAAAACATAAGTAGGTGTCACTAGGTGGCTTTTTGCTAATTCTAAAATAACAAATAAACTTTTTTAAATGTTCTTCTGACAGAAGCAACATGTTCTTTAAATGCAGTAAAAAAAAAATACTAGTATTTTTTTTTTAGTAGTATAGTAGTATAAATTATACTACAAATTCAAGAAATGGCAACACACAATATTATAACCTATATGCGCATCTCACTGTTGTGTCAATAAATAAGATAAATGTTACTTATTTTTTTACTTATTTAATTACTATTTTGAACCAATAAGTTATTGTGAATATAATTAGTGTTATACTTAATAAATATGGACGGGCCACCAGGCACGGGGCCACCAAATAACAATGGTGCAATGGGCCCGCCGGGGATGCCAAGCTTTCCTCCGATGCCGCCACCTCCAGGCGCTATGGGAGCTGGAAATATGCCTCCACCTCCGATGGGACCTCCTGGAGCTATACCGCCTGTAAGTTCATCTAGCGGCCCATCTAGTGGACCGCTAAACATGCCTCCTGGCCCTCCAAATATGCCACCTGGACCGCCTAACATGCCTCCTGGACCACCAAATATACCTCCTGGGCCTCCTAATATGCCGCCGGGACCCCCTAGTATGCCGCCAGCACCACCTAATATCCCTCCTGGTATGGGCCCACCTCCAGGTATGATGGGCATGGTTCCTTCAGGAATGGGACCACCACCCCCAGGTATGGCTCCTCCAGGCATGGGAATGGGACTTCCAATGGGACCTCCTGGTATGGGACCACCAAGAATGCCGCCAAACATGATGAGGGGCCCTAACATGAAGGGCAATTTTAATAATCAGGCCATGGATATGGGCCCACCTGGAATGGGTCCTCCACCTAATATGCCTCCCATGGGGTGGGATGGACAAGGTCCTCCAGGCTGGGGGAGACAAGAAGGACCTCCTGGTTGGGATGAACATCAAGAGGAAGGCGATGGAGATGAAGGTGAAGAAGATGATACAAGTGGCATGCAAGGTCCACCCTCATCATTGCCATCTTTGTTAACAATGAAGATTGATACTCCTGAAGAATTTAGGAATAAGCCAGCTCCCGTTGGTGGTGTAGTGTTGCCTAAGGCTTTAGAAGAAGCTTTAGCTTACAAGGATCAGCGACAAGCTGCATTAGGTGATGAAGATGAAGGCCAAAAAGGTGAGTAAGACATTTGGTAGTTTATTGTAACTAAATTTTTTACCTATTTAGTCAGTCATAATTTCTATTTGGTACAAACTTTTAACTACAGCATCAATTTTTTTTAATTGATTTATTAATGTAATTTCAGGAATTTACGACAGCATAACACATGATATACCTACTGCATAAATGTTTGTGTATGCAATTATTAATTATAAATAATTATAGTTTAATGAGCTCTGCATTCAGGTCAAAATAACACATATCACCATAGTCAATTAACAGTTTTAGCGGGAAGGAAGTTCTTCAGGTCAAATAAAGCATGCAGACATGAGGTGACTTTCTGGCTGATGTGTAAGTTGTGCCCTCCAATCAAGTCTCGAGTCGCTATGTAACCCCAGGTTTTTTACTACTGCACTCAGAGGTACAGTCACATTGTTGTAGACAACTGGTGTGATGACGGCTATATCCAACCTACTGAATGTTGGTTTTCTCCCAAGGACTATCACTTGAGATTAGGTTGGATTTGCCGACAAACCTTGTTGACCAGCTCTTTAAAACATCCAACTCTTTGTTGACGTTGTTGATGGCACATGTCATGTCCTCAACCTTTGACTGTGTGTACACTTGTAAATCATCAGCATACTAGTGATACATACACTGAATGTGTAGGGTTATGAGATTAATGAATATTGAGAATAATAAGGAAGACATTGAGATATTGAGAGACAGCAGTGTGAATCGCACTAACTCTGCTTCAAGTCATCAATATGAACTCGCTGTTGTCGTCCCAGGTTGAACAGAGAATAAATATAGCTTGGAATAAACTTAAATCATCAAAATATGTCTTAAATCAACTCCAGCGAACACTTTCAAAAAACGAAACAAATTGTACTTAAGCAAGTTCACATCTTTATTGATAAATCTAATATTTAAAGAAAATGCAATCATGTGTTTTCAGAAATAGAAATGCCACCAGAAGCTCCCCCAGCCCCAGTGATCAGTGCTGAGTATGATGCTGAAGAAGATGAAGGTGACTCAGATGATGACAACATTCCAGATGCACCTCGACCTCCTGTTATCTCCAAACAAGAGGTATCTAGCTTGCTAATGCAAAGTAAAAAAAAAAACCTTTCCATAGCTTTGTAGTTTGTAAGTATTTCTGTATAGTTCCTTACGCCAATGAACTTTGATGATTCTTAAAACAAGTGGCCATGAAGATTCACGTCATGCAGGTGGCCATGATAGAAACCACCAACTAACCCTGTCATCATCAACAGCCTTTAACAGTCCACTGCTGGACATAGGCCTCTCCATAGAATGGAGGTTTTGGCCTACTATACCACGCTGGCCAGACATGTTGTTGTTTCATTCTCTTTGCAGTGCTGTTGTCCTGCATAGTTTGCTCCCTTAGTCGGCTCTTACGATACCCATGGGATGAATAGGGGTCGTGACATTCCGTATTTTTAATCCGTCACCACACGGACTTACCATCACTACTATACATACTATAAACTGGCACTTATTTGAGTACCATGACGTTGCTGTGTTTGGTCCAAGGTCATGTAATATTTTTTGTTATGGTTCATCTGTAGATGAAGAAGACTCGCTTTCTACTTCATGGTCTAAAATATTGTTCGTTAAAGTGGCTCTTTAACACATTCAAGTCAAATTGTTTAATAATTAAAACTTAATATTAAAATCATTTTGTAATTTGTATTGCAAGCCACTTTTAATCAAAATTATTTGCTTTTATAAAAAGACGCATTTCAAAATATTGATTCTAAATTCAATAAATAGGTTGCAAAAAATTTGCTTTTGCAAGATCTGCAATTTATCTTTACATAGTATATTATGAAGTCACTTTATTTTTTCTTGTACACTTAGATCTTTCAAACTAAGCAACGGATTTTAATGTGGTTTTCACCTATAAAGCGAGTGATTCAAGAGCCGGGTTTATATGTATGATACATGCACATTATAATAGAGGAAAGCCGAGAATTTTAAAGATTTGTAATATAAAGTCGTAAAAACATGGTTTTGTGCACTTACACTGCAAACGCTGGCTAAAGAATCAAAATAATGTACTACGGAATTGTATATCTTAAAAAGTTCTACAATAACAGTCCGCAATGGTATATGTGTATCTCCAAAAGATAACCCACATGTAATTTAATGTATTAGGTAAGTTGTGCATTTTTATGTAGTTCAAAATTGCCTTTTATCATTAAAATTAATATCTTAATAGCTATCGGAGATTTGAAATCGGAGGCAATGAGATGCAAATTATAATAGACTAGCTTTTGTGCGTATGTCGGTTATCGCGGTAAAAGGAAGCCTATGTTACTCGCTGATACTGTAGCTTTCCATGGTAGAAGAATTTTTAAAATCGGTTTGGTGGTTTAGGCGTGAAGCGTAACAAACCCACTTTCAAATTTATAATATAACGATTGTTTAAAGAAATCCTTTAGTATAGATAGTCTTATCATAATAATAGTATATTTAATTACTCATCACTGACACCACATTAGTAGTATCTACATTGCACCTGTATGAAGCCGGCCTGATCACTAGTTACTGATAATTCCCTTCTTTAATTCCTGACTTTGAATTTCGAAAAAATCAAGTGTTTTAATCTCTTTACTAGTTTATTACAATTTTAATAACTCTTCTTATGCGTACCGAATACTGTTCAATCTGGATTACAGAAGATCTTGTTTTACAGAAGCTTTTTTTTAAGCCCCTACAGGTAAAAATACCTATTAGTAAATTATTTTATTATTTGTAACTACCCTTAACAACAATCTTGTATGGATAATATTTTAGAAGCTTCTACATAGCCAAAAGTTCACTAAAACAGCGAAACGCAAATTGGTATGACTAATTCGTTGATATAACATGATACTATAGTATTCATGGTAATTGGTTATATTTTACAGGCTCAAGCAAACAGGGCAAGCAAAAACAAACGTAAGAAAAAGAAGAAGAAGGAAGCCAAGCAAAAGCGGCGTGACCAATCGAAGAAGAGGGTGGATGGTGAAACTGGGACTAACCATGATGAGAGCAAAAAGTCCAGCGACAAGGAAAATGAGAAAGAGGCAGATATAGAGTATGTTTCTCCTTTCTTTTTTAGTTTCTAGGTACAAATATGTTAGTGACATTTTTTAGTTTAAAATACAGACATCCAAAAAAATTAAAAAGTCACTAAATCAGTAAGAACTTTATCTACGTATAAATTATTCAGATAAATAATTTAAATCCAAAAACAAGAAAATCACCAAAGGGCCGGGTTTTTCAATCCTCATAAACAGTTTCATAGCATTCATTCCATAGTTAGCGTAATTTTGGATTTTTCAACTGTCAGATAGCTGTTATCTGAAGAATAAAGCTTGAATTAGAGGAATAACTTTATCTGCCATTTCACGCCTGTGTTAGTGATATTATCAGTAGAATAGTGATTTGGACTTTTGTGTATATTTGTTTACATTCTCTAATATTTGTTGTCGTAAAGTTTATATATGTTGCCCTTATTGAGTATTTAAATTTTGCTGTGTCCTGAGAGACAAAGAAAGGGTTTTAAGAGAAAGATAATTATGACGATACTTTTTGTTTTGATGAGTAATTTCATTACAAGTTATTAGAAAATGCAATTTAATACTCGCTTCTTAATTGATTTTATTTTATACGAAAATAACACAAAAAATAATAATATTCCATACTACATTTACACAGCCCATCTAGTCCCAAACTAAAAGCTCAGAGCTTGTATTATGGGTACTAGACAACTGATATAAATACATATACTATTTTATATTTTCTTTGTAAATACATTCATATTATACATAGAAACACCCAGATAGAAATTTAAAAATAATTGTAAATGTACACGGATGTATCATTCTTTTCTTGTCATTGCTTGTCAGTCAGATAATAAGACAACCTTCTTGAAGGTAATGGTGATGGTGAACAATGGTGTAGGGGTTTGTGTAACGGCTATTCGAAAGGTCAAGGGTTCAATTCCCTGCTCCATTCAAACATTTGTTAACATTTAATTTTTTACTTTTGTCTGGTGTTTCTAAATAATATGTTTGTTTTTACCAATAATATAATATAGAACATTTGAGATTTCAGTATGTTTTTGAATGTAAACTAAAAAGAAAACTTAAATAAATATAAATTAGGGATGCTTAGAAAGCTAGGGACACTATGATTTCCCAACTCTTATTGAAACAATATTTTTGATGTTTTTTTTCTTTAGCAAAAATAAGCAATAAAATTATAAATAACTTACAATTGTAAAGAAAAAAAAACACATATTCGACATTATTACTATTTTAATAAATACTAATAAAAAATTAAATATTTCTACAGGTATGTTCAGGAATCCATCCAGTTTCATGAGTTGGAGCCAATGTACCGCCAGTTCCACCGTGTCTTAGAGGCTTTCAAAATTTCTGAGAAGAAGGATGATGCCATCAAAGAAGAAGACAAAGATGCTCCCAAACCATCTAAGCCACTTGAGAAAATCCAGGATCAATTTGCAGCTGATGAAGAAGCTGTTGAGGTAAACACAAATAATTATTTTCATGTTCTTATATAATGGGTCATTTGTACAAAAAAAAAACGAAGATTATTTTTTTCTCACTGGCAATATGGGGCGACGCGTATAATGTCGGAACAATCTCAGCACGTCTTTTTGATATCTGTGTCCAAAACTGCTATGCCCATCATGATATCTATCGTATTATTTGTAGAAAAATGCTGCAGACGAAAAAGAGCGTTTGTCAAAGCGCAAGTTGAAGAAGTTGTCTCGGTTATCTGTTGCTGAGTTGAAACAGTTGGTATCACGGCCGGACGTGGTGGAGATGTATGACGTCACGGCACGGGATCCCAAGCTCTTGGTGCAGTTAAAGGCGCACAGAAACACTGTTCAAGTGCCACGGCACTGGTGTTACAAGAGAAAGGTAATAAAACATTTCTGTGTTGCAGTTGCGGTATTGCTATGCCATTTTTAAATTGTTACCCATCAATATTAACTACCAGTAGTTCCCCGTTTTTAGTCAGAGCTCTGCTCTTCACTTGTGTTAGATTTCATTCGCAATGTAGGAGACAATGAATTTTATTCATATATTTTATTTTTATTGTAAAATGTGTTAATAGTTATTCTGCTATTCAGGACTTGGACAAATCCAAAAAATCGATTCTATCGATCCATTCTTGAGTTATAAATGATGTAACTAACCCGTTTTTGTTGCATTTATTAACATTATAAAATTATTATCAATTTATAGAAAATTAATTATTCAAATATTGTAGTAGTTTAAATTAACTCTGTTTTCGATAGTATCTCCAAGGTAAGCGTGGTATAGAAAAACCGCCATTCGACTTGCCCGAGTTCATCAAAAAGACGGGCATCATGGAGATGCGAGCGTCTCTTCAAGATAAAGAAGAGACGAAGACGCTCAAAGCTAAGATGCGGGAACGTACTAGACCGAAGCTGGGAAAGATTGATATTGATTATCAGAAGCTGCATGACGCATTCTTCAAGTGAGTATACATACCTCTAGAGCATGACTGACACATCATATTAATGTAAAAGAGGTTCTGTCAAATATATGTCTACAATGTTTGACATGTTCTCCCACACATTTCAACTGCAATTTTGTACTAATAATATTTAGAGATACAACGTGTTATTTTAAGACCACATCTTTCTTATAGGTTTCTCGTTATTATATATCTCTGTATAAATAAAGAAATATTGTCTGAATTTATTTTAATAATGCAATATGTCACATGAACATCGATCGACTTGTATTGTATAATTTATTGCTAACATAATTCTGGATTATTAAAAACGTTATTAAATATGTGATCATAAAAGTGAGTTATTGAACTCCTACATTTTTGATCACATAGGATCCAGTTTGAACACTGGCCACTCCAGGTTTTTCCTTTAGCAAGAAGACAAGAGACAGGATGATCCAATGGTGAATACTGAACGTGAGTATATCGTATATTATTAAACCAAAAATGTTATTTTTAAACAATGCAAACTCACACCATGTACAATTAACCAACAACAATTAAATTTATGAATTCACGTTTCGAACGAGGTTTCTTGCTCCAAGTGTTCGTAATTTACATAACTCACTGAACCTAGTACAACCTAGTTTTTACTTACGATCAAAAACTTGTGGGTTCATGCATTATCTAGGACACAAAAACATATAACGAACTTAATTAAACGGTTATCAAAATAAAATATAAACCAGTAAATGGCGGGCAAATAAATGTTTTTTGTTATATAAACGAAAAACGTGATTATTTATTATTTAGTATAAGGATTGTTAGGGAGTGATCATACTAGTAGTACTTAGTAGTTAGTATACAAATCTTTTTAAATGAAAATTCATGACGATGCCTCTGTTCCTTTTCCTTTTCGAATCCATTTTTTATTACATCCACGCGTTTATGACCGGGTTAAGGTGATATCGCGACGATTAGTCTCATCACTTTCATTGAACTGTAAACAGAGAGCTCTATTTGTGTTGCACCTTTTCTTTCCTATTGATATTGAGCAAATGAAGGTTATTTTCAGCTCACAATAAGCTAATGTTCAGCTCAAAATCGAATCCCTCGCTAAGTCTCATAAGTCACATTGACTTGCAGGTGGCAGACAAAACCGCGCATGACTATTCACGGTGATTTGTACTACGAGGGTAAAGAGTTCGAGACCCGACTGAGGGAGAAGAAGCCGGGTGATCTATCTGAGGAGTTGAGAACCGCGCTCGGTATGCCCGTTGGCCCTGGTTCTCATAAGGTAATAACTGTATTTTATTTAGTACTCTAGATAGAAGAATATAAGATGAGTTTAAACCAAACTATAATTTGGTTTTCGTCTAAATTAAGATAATAGTTTTTTTAAATTGAAGATGGAAAAGTTTGAGCCTTACATTATTGAGAATGAAATGCAATATATGGTGGATCCTATACAGACTTGAGTCACTCTTGTACAGAATACTCTTGAGCATGCTAGAATATCTTAAACTTATGTCAAAATGACAAAACTAATTAAACAAATACCCTCAGAAACGCGACAAATAGAACTGATGTTAACTCTCATTTACTTTAGAAGTCTTGGTACAGAAAGTTGTGATTATTGCACAACTGCAACATAACACAGAATTAAATATTATATTTAAATTTTGTTTCAATCTTAATATTTTTTTTGTGATCAAATCGAGTAAAAACATATTTTATTTCATATGGCATTTGCAGGTTCCCCCACCATGGCTTATCGCACAACAACGTTACGGACCGCCTCCGTCGTACCCCAACTTGAAGATTCCTGGTTTAAACGCACCTATCCCTGAGGGATGTGCATTCGGCTACCACGCGGGTGGTTGGGGCAAACCGCCAGTCGATGAAACCGGCAAGCCACTCTACGGAGATGTGTTTGGACACCAGAGTAGTGGACAGGATGTGAGTACCGATACATGACATTGCACACCAATATTAAAGGTACTTTTGGATAGCATAGGAATAAATTCAACAGCCGACACTGCACTCTGCTGCTTTTTTTAAATTTTATTTTCTATCCAGCTCTTGCCTGGGGCTCCGCCCGAGTGTACGTTGGTTATGGCGATAAAAAGTATCCCATGTCCTTCCTCAACAATCAAAGTATATCCATGCCAAATTTCATATAAATCGGTTCTGCGGTTTAGCCGTGAAAGCGTAACACAGACAGAGTTACTTTCGTAATTATAATTTAGTTGGGCTTTCAATTAATTTTCTATTTCACTTAATGATATTAAAATAAATATTTTTAAAACTTTCAAGACTTACTTATATACAATACATGCATATTATACTAATAAAACAGAATAGAAAAAACTCCATTATACTACATAATATGTAGTTGCCTGAGCAAGTTAATAAATTAATGAACTGTATGTTCTATAACAGGATGTTGAAGATCAAGATATAGATAGAACTATGTGGGGAGAACTGGAGTCAGAATCGGAAGAGGAATCAGAAGAAGGTACAGTATTGTTAATATTATTTATTGTCTCCTAAAATCTAAAATATAGTATATATTGTAGCATAAAGTGAGGAGGAAATTAATTCCTTAAGAAATAAATCATTATCAAACCTTTTAAAGTTTCCTTATTAACAACTGAGACCATTTTATTTTTTATTAAACAGAAAAACTTATTATTATATATTACAGTATTTGTATCACTATGTAAACGGTACTTGTATTAGTATGTATGGTATTTGTATTAGTATGTGTTTTAAACATAAAATATTGTGAATGTTAGAAGAACCCAATTAAAATGTCTCATTATAATTTCATGTCGTAACTGGTGTAATTTGATATTCGCTTTAAATATAATATCATCTTAACAGAAGAGTCGGATGAGGGTGAAAAACCAGAAGAAGGTGAGGTGGCGGCCGGACTGGCGACTCCGGGTGAGGGTCTGGTAACTCCGCTCGGCATTAGCTCTGTACCACCCGGCATGGAGACCCCTGACACCATTGAGCTCAGAAAGAAAAAGGTCGAAAGTGATATTGAAGGGTGAGTAAAGATAACGAAATAAATGGAATAAGCTTTTAAACATTTGTTATGTTCTAATGATACAACTGATTTTTTATTAGAATCTCAACCTCTAACAACAACAAGTCACTTAATTCTTTTATTGTTTATTTTATATGTACATTAACTAAAGTTAAGAAATGTTTTCATATGAATTTTTAATATTAAATCTATATAGGATATGTTTAAAGGCAGTTAAGAATGTTTAGATAAATACTGACATTGAGTAAATTAGTTTAAAGCTGTCAATTTATGTATGTGTATTTAAATTAATTTTCTGTTTTCTTTTGATACTCTGTTACAGAACATACACTCCTTAAGAACTAGGGATCAGTTTCTATTTATTGTTTTTTTTTCGATGCTCTAAGCATTCGAACTTAAAAATCGAATTTTCAATACTGGACAATAAGAGTAACACATATTAATTATTTTTGCTTATTTTCTAGTGGAGATACTCCAGCCCTGTACCAAGTGCTACCGGAGCGTCGCGTAGGTCTTACAGCTGGCATGATGGCCTCCACTCATGTCTATGACATTAGTGCTGCCAATCCTGGTAAGATAGTTATTCTACTTTGACCCCTCTGTATTTTATTTTAACCAATCATAAAAACTGCTCAGATGGTATCTAAAATCGTTTAGATAAGCCTAAACCCATTTTGTTTAAGGCTTAAATAAACAGCTAAACCTTAAATAAAATGGTTTGTTGTTTACAACAAAACTGTGTTTGAAACGAAGCCATTTTGTTTCTTATTGAATTGCGACCTATAATGCAGGTAAGCGTGCAATACCAACGGCCCCACCTGGTTCTACCGGTGAGAGCGGCGGCGGTCCAGCTGGCGGGGTGGAGGTCACACTCGATCCCTCAGAGCTGGAGTTGGAGCCCGAAGCGGTGGCTGCTCGGTACGAACGACATCTGCGGGAGACCCGCCCGAAAGAGCACGAGGACTTATCCGACATGTTGGCAGACCATGTAGCCAGACAGAAGGTATGTAAAAATTAGAACTTAAAAAAAAACAACACAATTTTAGTAAAACGTGACTACGACCTTAATATCGACAGTGATTCTCTCGAAGCTCATATTATTTTACTTTTTACAGAACAAAAGGAAGCGACAACAAAATACGGATTCCAAGCAGTCGAAGAAATACAAAGAATTCAAGTTCTAATAGTGATACTAGACATAATCTAACTATTATTTTTAAGTGTATTGGTACCATATGTAATTTTACTTCTGGTAAAGATAAAAATATTATGAACTTGCAGTCTTTTATTATCTATCTTAATATCCCGCTCCTCCTCAAGGTTATTAAGTTTTAAACCAGCCAATCGATTTCAAATACGAAAAATTTACTTCGTCACAAGAGGTCATGTTATCATTATGTCAGATGCCGCCCACCTGCATCTCATGAACCTAAAGTGGAAAGCGTAGCAAAACAACAGACTTAGAGGGTAAGGAACGAAAGGCTAGGCTAGAAGGCTCATTCTTTCGGATGTCTTAATAACAGTTGTTCCCGGATCTCTCCTATCACTGGCGCAGAATGACACACCGTGTGGTTTTAGTCGGTCCGATACCGACACACAGCCCCGCGGGTCCGGCCCGAGCGGTCCACACGTGAAAAAAAAAAGAACGCTAACTACGAAAAAAGAAAACATTTGTTGGTCCTGAAGTTTTATAAAGCGTTAACCAAAAAGCTCACTGACAGCAGCAGATTATTGTAATTAAAAAGATATTTCATACTAATTTGCGATGTAGCATAATATATTGTTTCTTTTTTCGTTTAAAATTATCTCACCGTATGTTATTCATATTTTAAATCGTTAGATTACAACGGATATTTATTTAGTATACCATAACAGTAGATAGTTGTTCTGAAAATCGAATACTATATAGTATTTCATGACTGCTTGCCTAGCCTCTAGATTAGGTAATGATAGGGACGCCGTTTTAATTTTAACTATTGCGTTTTCAAACTGAAAAGACTAGGTATCAAAATACTACCCGCTACAAGGTATCATTTTAGAGTAAAAAGCAATTTAAATATTTATTGGATATTATTTCCTTTAATTGACTAAATGCTCTTCCTTAAAAAAGCAAAGTTTTACTTCTTACTTAGAAAAGCCAGTTGCCAAAAAAAAGTGGCAACACTGCGAGTGAACAGTGACGTTTAAGTTAAAATCATAGAATTGGACTTCGTACTACGTTACGGCTTTTTCATTTGTTTTTATTAAAATTGAATAGTAAGAGTTAAGTTTCAGGTTAAGTAGTTTGCACATATTCAAAATGTCTAGAGTTTTAGTTGGAGTTAAGAGAGTTATCGATTATGCCGTCAAAGTAAGTATTATGAAGAGTGCAAAGGTTACTTTTACTTTTATTCTTTCTAAACATATAATTTTTATTTTAATAATCAATATATGTTTTAATAATAAGAAGCGAAAACGAAGTTACTAATAATTGTAGTAATTATTGTATGTTTTATCCAAAACATTAACAAAATAACTCATTATCCCAACTACAATCAACTCCATTATCAGTCACAACCTTGAACTGACATAATTATATCAGAAAAATCTGTCAGTAATTACAGAAAAGTATTAAATTAGTAACTAGGCACTAAGAACATTATATAAATGAATGTACAGTTACTGACAGTGCCTGATACAGCAAGGGTTCCCAACCATACTGTTAAAAACAGTATTATACTTTTTACTGTTCTATAAAAAAAAGTATACAAAAGACTGTTTTTATGGCCGCTGGTATAAATAGTGGCAGCATGACAGAAATAGAGCTTCTAATTATTTAATAAAAAATGGGCTCATTTATTTCAATATTACTTAAATTGTGGCGATGGAAGTTTTAGGTATGGGAGTTGAAGGGTACAAGAGAAGAGGAAGACCAAAGAAAAGGTGGATGGACTGTGTGAGTGAGGACATGGCTAGGAAGGGAGTAAACAGTGAGATGACGAATGATTGAGTAGAATGGAAGAATCATACTTACAGTGCTGACCTCAATTGTGCTTATGAATATTTAAAATTTGATGAAAAATTGTTAAATTGTGCAAGAAGCTCCAAGAAATATGTTTTTAAAATGTCAAAAAATTATACTGTTTTCTTTTGTAAAATAGTTCACCTTAGACCTTGCACCTACCGACTATTACTTTTTCCAAAATTTAGACAACTTTTTAGTGGGTAAAAAATTCAATTTCCGAGAGGCAGTACAAAATGCCTTTGAAGAGTTTGTTGCCTCCATCCAGCTGATTTTTACAAGAAGGGCAATCAATAAACTGCCAATGCATTGGCAAAGATGCGTCGATTGCATGGGTGATTACTTCGAATAACAGAAATAAAAAAGTTTGAAAAAAGAAGTACTTTCACTTATTGCAAACAAAACAGCAATTTTATAGGTAAAGACCTAATATATAAGTATGTTAATCAGAAGTCTGGTCACCATAGCACAGGCTAGTTTGGGATCAGACTGCTGTGTGTAAGATATATGAATTTATTATTATTATTTAATGAAATTATTAATTTTGGTTATTCTGTAAATTTACAGGTCCGTGTCAAACCAGACAAGTCTGGTGTAGTTGTAGATGGTGTAAAGCATTCAATGAATCCATTTGATGAGATTGCTGTAGAGGAAGCTGTCAGACTTAAGGAAAAGAAGATAGCAAGTGAAGTTATAGCTGTGTCATGTGGACCTGCACAGGCACAAGTCAGTAGAAAAATTATTGATTGTTAAGTATTTTTGGCAAAAGTAGGATGATAAGCAGAAGACCAAAGAGAATTTTTTTATGATATTTCTTGGTTTGTTCATTTCTTTGTTTTGTTCTAAATGTGTAGCGGTTTAGCATGAAGAGGTAACAGACAGATAGACACCTTTGGCAGTTTTAATATTATAATGGTTTTCTAGGAAACCCTTAGGACAGCTCTTGCTATGGGTGCTGACCGTGCCATCCATGTTGAGGTCGCTGGTGCTGAATACGAAACTCTGCAGCCTCTACATGTTGCCAAGATCTTAGCGAAGTTATCCAAAGATGAAAAAGCTGACTTGGTCATTGTTGGAAAACAGGTTAGTTTGGGTTTTTTAAATAGAATATTACCTCATTACAAGAAACAATGTTCTATTTATGTAGTACTAGATTTGTTCAATTCAGATTAATTTAAAGAAACATATAGATGAAACATCTAAAATTATTTTATTAAATAATTCTGCGTTCCTCTTTTAGTCAAATCCATTTGATCCTATAAATTGTTTTTTTATGTAAACTTTTTTATTAATATTTTGACTTTTCTAAAACATCTTTCAACTCATAACTATTGTTTTTTTTAAACATTTTCACCAATATGTTTGAACGTGCCTTTATTAGTTGTGAGCCTTTACTCATAACTTATTCTTTGTTGTGCTGCTGGCAACATAGCTTAAGATAGCACGCAGGCCAAAGTTACGCTCTTGTTACTTGTTTTCAATTGTGTGGGTCTTGTAGTATACACTTATATTATCTTACAGCAAATTATATATTATTCTGTTACAGGCCATTGATGATGATTCCAATCAGACAGCACAAATGACGGCAGCCCTCCTTGACTGGCCGCAAGGAACCTTCGCTTCTAAAGTAAGTAATTTGAAATTAATAAATCTCTGTCATTTCATAATGTGCCTCTAAGCTTGTATGTTAATTTAGTTGCTAAATCATCTAGGTAAGAGTTTGCATCTATTATAATCAAACAAAATAAAGATACCAAAAATTGTAGAAGATAGTAATTTTGTCATCTTTCCAATTTTTACTGTTCCTAAATTATTGATTTATTTGCGAACCATTGGTTAGTAATTTTCAATTCAAATTTCATACCTACATTGGTTTTGAGAATGAATCAATTTATAAAAATAAATAGCATTAAGTGAACATACTAACAAAGGCTGAATACAGCTTCCTTTTAGTCATTTTTCTGTTATTGGGGTAGTCAAACTAGAGTAAAACTTTGGTACGGAGTTATTAGGCGTAATGCATCAATTTAAATAAAATGCTAATACAATGCTTTTTTAAACAAAAAGCCTATTTAGTACTTCTAAAAGTCTATTTAGTGTGAGATCTTAACTAAACTTGTAACACCTCTCTTATGCATGGGAGCTTCCTTCAGAAACTAAATTATAGTTTTTTAACATAACAACATTATTTGTGAGTCATGTTCCTTACTTAAATATTTGATAAGCATAATATGTTTTGTATTCAGGTAGAGAAATCAGACGCTGGTTTGACTATCACTCGGGAGATTGACGGTGGTCTTGAAGTTATTAAGACAAAGTTGCCCGCTGTCGTCAGTGCCGATCTACGACTCAACGAGCCGAGATACGCGACTCTCCCTAACATTATGGTATAAAGACCACCTGACGACCAGGGCTTAGGCGCCCTAGTCTAGGGAAGACCTGGACCATGTGATTTCCCTCAGATATTACTGTAGATAATAGATCACAAAAGAAGTCTAAAGAGTCTTATTTCTAAAATGGTGTTGTTACATAGTCCAGTTATCCATGATTAGCACACATATTTATTTCTTTGTGCTTACATGTTTTCTTGAATTGGTACTGTTCTTAGGAGCATGGTACTTTTTACAGTATTCAATTTTTAAAACATCAATATTTCAATCAGTGCTTTGTTGATGTATATTTATGATTATAATAGCAACTTTTTATCTTTAATCAAGTCTTTTTGACAGTAAAAAAGGTTTATGAATTAATAATCAGTTTACAACAGTCTACCGATGTAATCATTTTTTTACATATTATTATCATGACTTTAGTAACAAGTTTAAACACTTCACGCAGTTCATTTGTTAAAATAAAATATTTAATACATAAATGTTACAGATTAGGAAATTATTATGTAATTAAGTAATATAAATGTTACAGATTAGGAAATTATTATGTAATTAAGTAATATAGTCCACATATTTTTTAAATAAACTAAGTGTTAAAGGGTTAATAAAGATGTTAACCCATGTTAACTGATTAAATCTAACACTATTAGTTATACGATCTAAAAATATAAATGTAGCTGTTAAAAACATTTTGTGATGTTATATTTCTTTTTGTTTCCAGAAAGCAAAAAAGAAGCCCTTAAAGAAGGTAACAGCTAAAGATCTAGGAGTAGATATCGCTCCGAGGATCAAGATAGTGTCCGTAGAAGACCCGCCAGTCAGGCAGGCCGGTTCTATCGTTCCTGATGTGGACACTCTTGTCGCTAAGCTCAAGGAAAAGGGGCATGTCTAACTTTAACATTAACGAAAAAGTGTTCAAGATTTGAAAATCATATTTATAATGAGATTTTGTATGAAGTTAAAGTGATTCTGTAGATTATGTATACAAATAATTGTTAAATAAACATATCCTTGTTATCTTTTCTTTTGATTTTAATCCCAGTTGTGTAACCCAGCCTAAAAAAAAGACGCAAGTTACAAATGCCAATAATGCTGTAGAAATTGAATTCAGAAAAACTTTCTAGCCTTGCATTGATTTACTCCTTTTTTATGGTCACGTGGCAAACGAGCAAACAGGTTACATGATAGTAACTACCGCCATCTATCTATCATTTATTTATTTATTTATTTATTAGGGATAACAAACAATAGTACAATATTCAATAATAATTAATATTATTTTTAGGTACAAATGTGCTAATTGTACTACCAACTGCATTATCCACTTGTTACTAAACACAATGTTATAATAAAATGGAGCATGCTACGTGATAATATTTATAATATAATTTTATATAATATTTTTTGTACATATAAATTATTACAACTTGTATTTGCACAACAAAAATGTAGACACACGATGTATGACTAAATTAGACATAAATTAAATTAAAATGGTAAATAATTACGGAAATTCAGAAACCAACCCGGAAGCAGTCATATCATTCAAGTACTCTAGTACAATTTTTTTATATTTGATTGCTGAATGCATGAAGATATCCGTACTGTTAAAATAGGTATTGTAATTGTCTACAAGCCGTCGCAGAGGTGTTCTTAAGCCTGCATTTGTTTTAGGGACCTGGTAAGGCGTAATCGCTAAGAGACGATGTGAGCGAACCTGCCTTCGCATGACTGTTCTGGGAACGATGTAACATAATCTATTTGATAATTCCAGACAGTCATACTTGTTATGAACAATGCCATGTAAGAACATAGTTCCAAGAAGGAGTCTCCTGCTTTCCAAGGTAGACAAATTGTATTTCAGGAGTAGACAATCATATGCCTGATAGCCATGGCAACATCTGTAATGAAGCGTGCGCAAGAATTTTTTTTGGACATTTTCCAATGCCCCGATGTATTTATTGTAAAACGGATTCCAGATCATGGTAGCAAACTCGAGACAAGATCTTACTAGCGTTATATAAAGGTATCTACAAGTATTTGGGTTTTTAAATTCTTTAGTGTTCCGTATAACAAATCCGAGCATTCTATATGCAGCCTTAATGATATTTTCGATATGAATGTCAAAATGCAATTTAGAATCTATAACAACACCAAGGTCTCTAAGCGAAGATACTTTAATCAAAGGTTGATCATTTAAGACATAAGTGCAGTTGAATACCTTTTTATTTTTTGTGAAGGATATAGCATTACATTTAGGCAAGCTTAGGAAAAGTTTATTTTCACTACAATATTTTGCCAGCCGATTTAAATCACTTTGGAAAAGCTGGCAGTCATTAAGATCATTGATAGTTTTATAGATTTTGAGGTCATCTGCGTATAACAAAAATTTAGAATGAAAGAAACAAGTGTCAATATCGTTAATAAATAGAACAAATAATAAAGGACCCAAAATAGAGCCCTGAGGAACTCCAGATGTTACGAAAATTTGGTCCGAATGAAATCCATTAATAACTACTTTTTGTGTACGGTTGGTTATATAGGAAATAAACCATCTTAAAAGATCTCCACGAATGCCATTAAAAGCTATTTTGTTTAATAGCAGCTCATGGTCCACCTTATCGAATGCCTTTTGGAAGTCAGTATACACTGCGTCAGTTTGACAACGATTGTCCATATTTTCAAAAAGGTAGCTTACAAAATTAATTAGATTGGTAGCTGTTGATCTATGTTTAACAAAGCCATGTTGCTGTTTGATAATGATCTTATGCAAGACTGGATAAATTTCGCTGTGAATCAATCTTTCAAAAAGCTTTGACAGAGCGGACAAAATAGAGATTGGGCGATAATTCTCTACGACATTCTTACATCCTTTCTTGAAAACCGGTGTCAAGTTTGCCTCTTTCCAGATAGCTGGTAATTGGCCCTCCTTTAGACACTTGCGGAATAATAGATGAATTGGTAAATAAATATGATCAGCAACATTTTTTAGAAACGATGCTGGTAGTCCATCAGGACCTGGTCCCTTTGTCGGATCCAATAACTTCAGCTCCTCACGAACCTTGGAGGCATCAAAATCGATATCAGAGATTATTTCACAGTTAACATTATAATCCAGTGGTGGGACCCACATATCTAAATCCAATGCTGATGGTTCATAGACAGATTTAAAATATTGACAGAAAAGCTGACATATTTCATGAGGGTCACTACTAGAAATATTATTATAACACATGTTATGAGGAATTCCCGAATTGTTCTGCTTATTAGCAATGTAACTCCAGAACTATTTAGGGTTCAGATGGATACTTTGTTCAACATTATCAAGATAGTTAGCATAGCATAGAGCGCATTCCTTACGGAAGCGACGGCGATATAGGGAAAATTGCTCGTAGTCAGAGAGATTTTGATACTTTTTCCATTTGATCCATGTTCGAGATTTGCTTTTGAATAATTTAATAAGGGGTTGACTGAACCAAGTAGGAAAAGTAGAGTTTTTACAGTTAATTCGAGGTACATGTTGCTTGATAACACCAAAAAGATGGTCGTAGAATGTATTTATAGCTTCTTGAGCCTTTAAATTACTGAGGATGTCATTCCAGTTTATCACAGATAATTCATTTTTGATCGAATCGTAATCGGCTTTTTTATAATTTAATTTAATAATCGGGCAACGTTGCATATGAGAGAATTTCAAGTAAGGAAAAATCATAGCAGTGAAAGGAGGGTGATAGGAATCTATAGGGACTAAACAGTCGGCTGCTTGAGATAAACTACAGTTATCATTTGAGATTAGTAAGTCGAGTGTTCTGTTGCTTATATTAGGTATTTTATTATATTGTTCTGCGTTCAATTCAGAAATAAAATTAAATAAAGACTGACTGACAGATGAACCCTCTACACAGCCAAAGTCAACAGTGCTACTAAGTGACCAATTAATATTAGGTAAATTAAAATCACCCATTATATAAAAAAATTGTGTGAAAGGACTATTTAGCACTATAGACAGCACATCAAAGTATGAATTATAAATATCTACAGGTGTTCTAGGGGGTATGTATACAGCGCTTATAATATGGCGTTTAGAACGGTCGCTGCTGGGTATCTGTATGAGCAAGTGTTCAATGTGGGCGTTTAATTCAGTACACGTAAGGTTTATTAACGTCGGGTGAAGTGTTCGCAAGACAGCAACAAGAACACCACCGCCCTCCCGTTTATCGGTGGCCAATCGATCTCTATCTCAGCGAAAAACATTATAACGTTGGTCAATAATTTCGTTATCGCCTATGTTAGAGGTTAGCCATGTCTCAGTCAAAACGATTACATCATGTATTACATAGAACACTCATGTAGACTGTCTGGAGCTTGCCACGGATGCCCCGGCAATTCTGATAGTAAATATTAAGTGTATCATCTACGGACTACCGCGTAGTAACAGTGTCACAAATGCGTTGTAGCCCTGAGTCCCACCTGTAGAAGTAGGGGAAGAGGTGTCACTGACACTGGCTTGGCCACCCTCCCTCCTCGCTTCGGTTGCCTCAATGCTGAGGGTCGTGACCGCTTCCTCGTAGCAGGAGTTTGCCGTGGATCATTCGACGCCACCTGTCCCTTACTGCCGCCGAGTGTAGAGCATCGTGTACTATGGTGTCGAGAGTAGTGCAGTTCTGAGGGCAAGTTTATTTCACATCGACTCGCTCTCGAAGGCGAGCGCGTTTAGCGTTGCAATTGGTGGAGATTTCAATAGGGGCCAATCGTAGCGCCGAACGCGGTCACCGTGACGATCGAGTAGAAGTGAAATAAACTCGCACTTAGCCCTCTGGTCAGACCAACGTGTCGAGCTTCTACCTCGTGATCTTTTTCCATCCACTTTGCCAGTGACCATGAACTTTTCCAAGTTGCCGTCATCCTTTCTGGCAATGTGGCTGAAGTATTCCAGAACTCTATGCAGGCAAATGGTAGAAAGCCTTGTCTTTATCTTAAGTTGTTGCAGGATTGACACGTTGATGCGATGTGCAGTCCAAGGAATATCTAGCATCTTTCGCCAGAACCACATCTCGAATGCGAATGCATCAATACGGTCACGATCGGCTTTCTTTAGGGTCCACGTCTCCGCGCCGTACATGAATACGGAGAACACCACAGTGCGTACAAGATTGCTCTTGGTTTTCAGGGAGATGTTTTTGTCCCTCCATATCCTAAAGTTACGCCATGGCCCCCTTTGCAAATCCGATTCTTCTCCGTATCTCGCTTTTGCATGAGCCATTACTACTAATGCTTGCGCCCAGGTATACAAGGTTGTCAACTACCTCTAAATCAAAATTCCCTGTGAGCTCAAGCTTGCCTGGGCGATCTATCACCATGATCTTGGTTTTGGACCTGTTTATCGAGAGACCTAGTTCAGTGCTGATGCGTTTCATCTTATCCAAATAGGTGGTCATCTCTGCTCCAGTTGCCGCTAGTAAGGTGGTATCGTCTGCATATCGCAAATTACAAAGTTTGCGACCACCAATGGTGATGCCTCCACCCCAGCCATCACTGGTAAACCTCATTATATATTCACCGTATCTATTGAAGAGGATGGTTGAAAAGATGCAATCACGCCAACTCCTTTTTCGAAACTGAACTGTTTACCGACCTTCACTATTCCTTGGCTGTTATGATAAAGTGACGCAAGAGCGCAGTTAAGTGATGAGGTACACCCAGTTCCCATATAACTCTCCATCCTCCTTCGATGACCCATAATTTGGGCTTAAATTGACTACTTGACAAGCGGACATTCTTAAATAGATCCAAAGTCTGTTGTTTCATCGCGTGAGTTTCGCGTGATTGAGACTAATCAGTCTGCAAGTAAGCCGTGGTGAGACTTCAGTCAACACCAGTTTGGACTGTTTGCAGCCTGGGGAAGTTTTTCCACCTTCTTTTGTATGCTTCACGAGTAAACTGTCTAGCCCAGGATCGAAGTTGGTTAAAAGGTAGTGTTAGGAGTGTGGTTGGGCCGGTGGCCGGGGTTCACCGAGCCCCTCCTTGTCAGCTGGTAAGAGTATAGTAACGCCGTTCCTGCTCGAGACATCTCTCCCTGAGAAGTACTGAGTACTTCCAGTTGTGGTGTTAAAATGACCTTGCCTACGAAGATGGGTTTCGCCGATGCCCAGTATGGAGATTATGTGGTTTTTTCTTTCTTTGTCAACAATACTTAATTTTCCCGGGTGTGAAGTATTTCGTTCGTGTTCCGTATTCGTTCGGTAGTCGAGGTACCAATACGATTATGCTCCAATATTGATATTTTATTGCTTGGTAGTATTGCTTATAGTCGAAATTGGAGATATAATGAGCTCAATTTTTAAGGTAGGTATAGCCTAAGAGCTAGATAGAATTTACGAAAAATTATATTATTGTGTGTGTACTTGTTTTAAGTCCTTCGAAATGTCTGAGCGAGATAAATTTTAATTAAATACTTGCTTTTATGTTTTATGCTAAAATAATAATACAACAAAATACACAAACCAAAAATACAAATAATAATGTTAAACTCTAATTACGTTAGAATAATAAAACTTTTGTGGCCGTAAAACGTAGGTAAACGTAGGTATTGTGAGTACATAAGTGTCAATCTATTGCTTGAAATATACTACAATACGTTTCAAAAAAACAACCTACCCTTAATCATCAGCCTATCGCAGTCCACTGCTGGATATAGGCCTCTCCCATTGCACGCCACTTCGATGGATTTTGGGCTACCTACCTAACCTAATCTTAAATCAGAGATAAAATACTTAAATACCTAATAATATTATGAGCGATCGATACCTAGGGGAAGGCCGGGCCAGAAGCAGGCCGGGGTGGCGGAGAGCGCGTTGCGAAGCACGCTCGCTTCCAGGGAGCAGAGGGAACATGGGGTTCCCACACGGGGGGGGGGTCGTCTACCTGTTGTTGTAGATGGCCCGAGGTATTCATTTCTAGGGTATAACTGGTTCCCCGGCTATTAGTACCCGATACGGCGTGCGGTTTTAGTCGGTTCGAGTCCGACATGCCACCGACAGGTGGTATCCGAGGGGATTTCCGCACGGAAAAAAAAAAACCTACGCGACGACACGTCACCGACAGATACATTTTTTATTTCGCCAGCGACACACAGACAAGCTACTTAGAGCAAGTTGCCCGTGACGTAAGATAAAGTCAGCCATAGGCCGAAAGTACTAAAAACTCGAGTTATAACGGTTTTGTAATAAATTTGTATGCGTTTTATATATATTTTTTTCTTATAAATATATTTGTATAAAGACAACATAAACAGAAGAAGTCTTTGGGCAAGTTTGAAATTATATGTTTAGTGTGTTTAAACTGCGAACGAAAAAACATATGGTAAATAAAATAATTTAGCAATTTAATATTCAGTTTTTAGGTAATAATAATAACTTTATTGAACTTCAATTCCTTTATTACAATTATTTCACAATTAAATACGCTTACGACCGTATTAGGTGTACAAAGTAGTGCCTTCCAAACTATTCAACTATTCCTGTAAGTTGGAAGACAGTGTTCCGCTGATGGCTCGTTCACGATAAAAGTAGAACTACATTACACAAACTTACTAGAATTATTTTTTTTGGCAATTTTTCGTAAACTTTTCGATCTAGCTCTTAGACTATATACACCTCTTCTAAACTAAGACCCGAGTAAATCTGTGAAAAAAAAGATTTCTGAAGTGTCTTGAGGAAATTGGTACTAGTTCCGTCTTACTAGTGAGTGAAAGACCAGAGAAGTGAAAGAAGTGTGACGCGGCGTACGACCATTTTTGATATTAAGTAAAACTCCTTACATTAAAAATAAAAGAACAGTTGACGATAAATTACACTTTATTAAGTACCTGTGTTGCGAGCCTGCAGGCAAATTCTACATCAATTCGGTTAAATACAAATCTATGCTAAGGCTCAGGTATTTACCTTAAAAATCATATTTAGATATTCTACTTGGTAATAATCCTATGCTATGTTATGCTTAAATTGTGACAAACTGCTGTAGGTAATCTTCGTGATACAATGTGACAATTAAATTGAAGCCATACAAATGCCACCTCTTTATTTAATTCCTCTTATATTTCATTAAACTACCTGTTAGAGCTATCTATGATAAAGGTTTTCTTAAAAAATAATAAAATGCATTGGTTGAAATAATAGCTGCACACTATAGTTAAACCGCCGTAAGCTTGGCCCTCCTGATGGTTTGCGGGACGCGGGGCGGGTGATGCGCTCGGCTATACATGACACGATGTACTAACTCGATATCTTCAGATTTATTTGTTTGAGATTTAATCTACACACGATGTTATAAAAATCGAATTTATTTCCATGTATGTAATGTCAGTGTATTGTAAGTTTTTATGATTAATTGTAAAATTTGATACTGTAAAATAATTTTAATAAAATCACATATCTTCATCATGTAAATTATATTCAGATACAAGTACTTCAAGTATTTAAAATTTTTTGTGACGCAGAGTCAGCAGATTATCCATATTGCAAAATAATACCGTGTGTAGCAGTCTTAAGAAAAATAACACGTACAGCCATGCTTTCACGTCAGTCACTGCCGGCGGACAGCGACGCACTAGCTAATTGGTTGAATGCACCCCCGCCCCGCGTCCCCCAAACCATCAGGAGGGCCAAGCTTACGGCGGTTTAACTATAAGATAAATTATCGTCAAAACATATTCTGGCATTTGTCTATGCGCATTCTTTTGTTTTATTAGTTCGTCTACATGCCGCAATTGATAAAATATTTTGTCATATCTATATTAAAATTAAATACAAACGTTTGAAAGTTCTTTCTACATATATGCAATTATGTATAAATCCCAAATAGTCGCAGTGTATAGTTGAATCGCATAACGACTTTACGAAGATAATACAAATAATAAAACAATAGATTTTAGAAATTCGACACTTACTGAGTCCATATTATTATCTGGATTTCAGTCTTTGTGGCCCGTTCTTGTATGTGATTTGTCTATAGTCCATTTGTGTTAAGAAAAAAGTGACGTATCGGTAGTAAAGGTGTATTCAGGGTGGAGTAAAAATTTAAACATACTTATTACATTTACAACAATTTATATTTTTATAGATTAAATTATATCTACCTGAGAATAAATGTTTTTTGAAATAAAACAAAATAATAAAAACATCTGACAAACTACAACTATAGATTTAAATAAAAAAACTGTATCCAGATATGTAAGAGAAAGCCATGATAAGGATTACGGTAGATTTAGTTATTATAAAGTTCTTCTAAGTTGTAAAGCCCACCGGCGTCTTACCTACCACTGATAAAGATTAGATAGGTTTTTGTGAGTAGGTTAAGATATTTATTTATGTAATTAAGTTTTTGAAAATATTTAAAAAAAAAAAACAAGATTCATGGTTCTTTGAATGAAGTTTAAAAGTAATCCGTTGATAGACCAACTCATTGTTGCATAGGCGAATTTAATGTTTTAGTTTACTTTCGTTCCTTAATAATTTTATAAAGAGTATCAGACAGTAATATTTAAGTCACGCAGTTTTAAGTTCCTAAAAACATAAATTACTCGTCTTTCTCCACTACGAATTATTGATAGTTTTATTCTTGCGAACAGACGAAAATCCATTTTCAAAATTTAATGTAACGCTCTACGAACGTATCTTGCGAAAGTTTGCACTCAATATGAACTTGAATTTATAATTTTTTGAAACCTGATTGATCAGTAGGCGGGGCTTGATCAGAGGACAACGATGCGTCACTATTTTCTTAACGCGAATAGACTATAGTTTTTATTCTCGAATAAGAGACTTTTTGATTTTAAACTGTACGACAGGTCTTCTTTTAGGTCCTCAATGAAAATAAACGAAAAGGCCTCTTGCCTCCCTAAAGAGTTATCTATCATAAGTATGGATGAGATTAAAATAAGTCAAGATAGTACTTTATAACGAAGACAAGAAACATCTCTTTTGCATAGTACCTACATGAAGAACTGACTAAGTTGATTTCACAAAGTCGTTATGTCAAATAATCACAACATCAACTTAGGCTTTAAAAACACCCACTAGTAAGAATAAAAGTACACCACAAAATATTATTTCGTAAGTTTATATTTTACAAAGATTCACCACTGAACGGTTGGTACCACACTATTTTTCCTTCAAGACAACCGGTCACTAGCATATGGTATCTTGGGCTAAACTTGGAGCTGACGACGAGATCCTGGTGTATACCTAAGCTCTGGCCGACTTCCACCATAGGTCTGGCACCATTCAGCTCTTGTACGCAACTGGAGAGCTCGCTACAGTCATTGTTTAGGGCGAGAAGCCTTATCCCTCGGCCGAATGGCGAGCATACGATCCGACCGTCCGCTGAGTAGCACAGTTCCTATAAAAAGTATAAGAAATCCGTCAAGTCCAAATTACATCTGAGTAGAAATTCCTGATTATAAAAATGTCATTTTTATAACTTATATTTTTGTAAGAGACTTTATTAAATTTGCCATTTTATTTCTGTACGATTCTTTTCAGTTTTCTAATTAAGATTACAAAATGATAACACGACGTTATGTTTTTATTAAATAACTGTAATCGACCATCGATGAAAGTTTTAAGTCAAGGTATTGTTAGTTTACTTTGTGACAAGGAATATAATTAAACTTTGAAACCGTCTAAGTAAAACGTGGCCTTCGTTTACTGACAAGAAGCGGTACCTTAATAAACCCTTTGCCTTCGTTAGTCTCCTCTATATAGTAAAGAAGTCTGTCTTTGTTCTGTCGTATGTAGTGTCGTGTGGCTCCTTCTGCGTCACTTGAACTAGAAGCTTCCTCTGCTGGCGTTTGTCCAGATGGTGATGGGGAAGTACTGTCAAAAAGAAACAAACCCAACTTGATCAATTTTGTTTTCTAAATTTATATTTATATCTTAAAAAAAATAACTAAGCTAACCATTTCCTGCTCATTATCATATGATTGCAATTTTTTTTTTTTGCAATAAAGATAGTTTGAATTTATTACCATTTCGCGGAGGAACTACTGCTTAAATACTTGCTTACACATTTTGATTGTAAAAAACAAATATTCACACTATGCTGTAGTGCGGCGACCAACATGCAGTAATGCAGATTATCTTACCTTGTTTCGTCATCGTTCCGTTGCGCCCGGGGATGTTGAGCGGCGGGGGGAGTGATCCCTGTGTTCACGCCTGTTATCCTCTGCATGTTAAAGTTGCGCCGAACTTGTCCTCTGTACGTAATATAATTATAGTATTAAGTGAATTATTTTTACGTAAAATATTTGCAGAAAGACCTTATAGGATTGATATGATGAAATAGACACATAAACAGATCTGCTGAATGTGTGTTATTTTATTTTTAAAGAAGGTAGGCAGAAGGTAACCTAACAACATAAACACGTTTCGTTTCGATTTTTAAATTATATTTAGAAATTATTGATAGTGCGATGCAGGCATTCATTATAAGTATCTTATAAATCCGTAGAAAGATATCATGCATTTTTAGAACTATGTTTAGTAATATGCTAATGACCCCAAAGCTACAACAACCTTTAATGTTCTTCATACTGTAAAACATCACATAATATCATATATTATATACGTTCGTTTAACTAGTCAGTGCGTTCTCACCTGTTATACATTTCCTGCATTAATCTGTGTTGTTTGATCGTGATAGCGGCTTCCCACACATCGTTCTGAATACCAGACAGACCCTGAGAATAGTCCAGTATTTTATTAATATACAAAACTGACATCTTTAAACAATTTAATTATTTGAGCGACTTACAGAACCATTATAATATCAAAAAAATGATGCACTGCTTACTGAACTCTTTAATACACTTTAGAAACTATACCAACCAGTGAAACGCAGTGACGTTAGACCCTGAACTGAGTGTTAATACAAAGGCCGCTGTACACATTGGGTCAAGGTGCTGGATCAGCATGTTGGTCAAAAAAATTGGCTTTTAATTACACATTGGTGTACTGATCATTCTACATAGGCACTGTGATAAAGATGGATGTGGAATATCTTGAAGCCCCAGCTACTTATGCAGTACTTTTAATTTTTACCTACACATCAAAGGATCTTGGCGCGTTCTGCAAACAGTGCAGAGCGCGCCAAGATCCTTTGAAGTGTGCACGAAAAACCGACACTAATAAGTTAGCTGCCCTGTATTGGCGCCAACTACCAACATACTACCAAGTTGATATCTACACGTTGATTCAACATACTGGCCCAGTATCTTGGCCCTAAGTGTACAGCGGCCTTAACGGTGCAGCTTACCCCAAGCAGACGCGAGCGGTTGGTCGGCACAGGGCCAACGACGACCTCCTGCGACGTACTGGGTCTTGGCTCTGTATCAGGGTAACGTCTTACGCGAACGGTGGTGTAAGGTGCCCTGTCGACAAATTGTATCTTCTAATGTTTCAATTTCAATTACGATCCTAAAATCATTTGAGTGATTGCCACTTTCATAATTGAAATTTATTTGTTTGTAATTCCTAAGTACTACATTTCTGTTGGAGTTCGTTCACTTTAGTCTTGATCTTGCTACTGCTTGAATGTGTGTCTATCTAGTGATGTATACTGGATAGTTCTTATATATACACCAATTAAAGGTATTTGGTCTACATATAGAACTATCCTGTATATTGAACAATGTTGTAAGTATATGTATACTGTTGACGTGTCTATAATAAATAAATAAATTACAACAATCTCTCTGTATTTAAACCTATGTATATTCTATTATGAGTATCTCGTACGCGCTTTATTTTGTTAATTTTTAGGATCATTTATTTCTCAAAAATAATAACACTGACTATTCACTTACATGAGAAAAACAAACTACATTTTCATTGATGTAGCTGTGATACAGAAAAAAGTTATTGGAACAAAATAACAAGAAACAATTTCTTACACAAATATGGTGAGGGTAACTTAAAAACATTATGCATTTCAAACATTTGTTCAACCACGTTAACAGTAAATACAGCGATCGAGCGTGCCTAGAAGTGACAAAACGGTTTGTACACACTACGATTTACTTTTACATATTTTGCACTATGAAAACTATTATCTGCTAGTTATGGTAGTAAATTTAAGTATAAAATTTAAGAATACAGCGAACTTTACATATTTCGTTGATTATTTATTATATTGTATTTCTTATTTGTTAAAATTGAATATTTTTTTGCGTTGATTGATTTAGATTCATAGTTAAATATATTATTATTTTAGTATCATTATTAATTTCATTATTTATTGAAAAACGAAGGTAATATATTCACACAAATATATAAACTTATGAATTTATGCAATAAAATATATAAATTAATGCAATAGATAAACATTATGATTTATAAAAAGTGTTGTTATGCTTGTATTATTTATCACTGATGTAATACTGTAATAATTTTTTGAAAGTTTGCATATTTTTCGCATCTTTTACCACATTATTTTGTTTATAGATTTTAGCACCTTCATACATAATACACCTCTTTTCATAATTTGTTCGTGATTTTAACAGAAATGTATTATTCCTACTCCTAAGATCGATTCTATGCACATCTTTATTATTAGTAAATTTTATATTATTAGTTAATATTATTATTATATTTATTATATATTATATCACTAGCTGGCCGCGACTCCGCCCGCGTGTATGGCGGTTGTCGCTGTAAAAAGTAGCCTATAATGATAATGTAGCTCTCCATTGGTGTAAGAATTTTTTAAATCAGCTTAGTAGTAGTATAGTCGGGAAAGTGTAACAAACAAATAAACAAACTTAGTTTCACATTTATATAAGTATGGATATAGACTGACGCTTGTCAAGTAGGTAAGTATGTTTTCATGAAGTCGTTCGTCGTAATAATGTATTTAAATAATATATGTTAAAATATACAGTAAAACCTGTTATGAATGTAAATTCTAAATTATTCTGCGACTAAATATAAAACTCAAATTATTGAAGTAGATTTTATTAAAAGATTCAACGTTACTTATTCTAGACGTGTGCTGACAAGTTCTATGGTGAGATTGTTACAGGGAACAGAGATTCACACGTATAAGCACACATTATCACATTATTAAACTACGTAATTTTTAACTCTGAAACAGCGTCTTTTGCCGTCTTTGCCAAACGTCACTGTCTCGAAACATCGTCAACGTCTCTATACTAGCAACTGTTTATAGACGTGATAAAAAATAATAGACCCTGGTAACAATCATAATCTACCCTAAAACGCCTTCCTTATGATAGAGGAGGCAAACGAGCAGCAGGTCAGAGTACACTCAGGTGTCACAAGCGCGTTGCCGGCCTTACAACCTGCCTTTGACATAAACTCTCTTACTTTCCACAAATGAAGACATCCTTAACTTTTAAATAATTAATCAATTGACGTCTTCAGGGTACGTGCTATTCAAGGTTTCCTAGTTAATTACTGTCTGTTTACTGTACCTGTACTGTATCTAACCTGTACTTGTAAGAAGTAGTAATTGTATCTAAGTATTTTTATAGGATTTCGTATCTTGTAAAAAAAAAAATATTTATAGATTTCTTGTACAAACAGGATGGACGGACAGACAGTCGAACACAGTGAACTGTAAGAGTTCTTTGTCAGGACTACGGAGCCCTAAAAAAATGTTAACAGTCGTGTTTTAATTTCAATCTAATAATAGTATATTTAGTATTACCATATTATTTTTGTCGTATATACACATGCAGATCTGCAGAAAGTTCTATCGACAGTAGGTTTCTGCAGTTTAAGTTAAATGCTGCTTTCGTGAACCCACTTTCGAGTTTAATTAAAAAATGATAACTTTCAAAACTATTAGCTTTAAAAAAGATTACATGACGATGATTGGTGTATTAAAATATGTTCCATTTTACATTACCTCAATCCGTAATTATTGTAATAAAAAAGTTAAAAGTCATATCAACTAAAATAAAAACGTTACAGAAATATAAAAGGAGGATCATTTTTTATACCTATTCTTATAACATTTTAGTGACACAATTTTCATATAGATACTATCAAATGTAGCTTCAGCTAGCAAAATCTGACCATTCTTGAGGTACCGATCGCTTGCAAACCTTTGCTGCTTGTTTTTATAGTAAATTAAGTCAGAAATCGTAACGTAGTAATCCTGCATCGCTCTATTAATACTTCTAATAGGTAAAAATATCAAAATATCATCAATATACTTTGCAACATCCACGCATCACATCGGCCTAACATTTGCATGTTACATGTATTTACCGTGAAATTAAAGCCCTAGATTCTTACAAACAATGCAATAAACAAACAATCGTGATCATCAACAGCTTTTAATACTTCGCTGCTTCTCTTTGCAGTGCTGTTGTCCTTCGTAGTATTCTCCCTTAGTCGTCTCTTACGACACCAACAGGATGAATAGGGGCGGTGAAACTCCGTATTCTTAATCTGTCACAACATGGATAGCTGCTGAAAACATATAGTATATTAATACTTACGGAGCAAGTTGCTCATGGAGTCTGGGCATGCGGTAGACTCGCAGGCGTGTGCGACGGGGCGGCAGCTTTCGCGTGACCGGCTCACTGTCCTTTATGTCCTTGTTCGGGGAGCTGTTGTGCGGTTGAATATCGTGGATGCACGTCCACTATGGACGTAAAGAAGAATTTTTTATGTCCATAGTGGACTATACCTTAAATTACTATAGAGTTAATTTTTTTTTTATGAAACGTCAAACAGTAGCAATTTGTATGGTTTGTGATGAGTGTGATGACATCCTCGCCATTATCAAATCATCAACATTAAGTATATGGGTTGATATTTTTCTATATATCTAATAACAATACGGTGGGTCGATTTGGAGCACTAGCCCCACATTAGAAGCAGTTATCGAATAACATATTTTTAAAATTATATCTAAATACGAAATAATTATTTATTTATATAGGACAACTTACAAAACATACACTAATACATAATTTACAAACATGTTTTACAAATATTTTCTGAGTGTTGTCTTACTTACAAGTTGCCACGGCATGGTAAGGGACAGTTGCATCTATGATTACAATGCATATCCATAGATGACATAATCCAAAAGTACGAGAAACCTTACGACATTCAAACCATAACATCGTTTGAATGTCATACAATTTTTTGGCGATGAATTAATTCCATAATTACTTGCTACGATATACGATCAGTAGATATAGCGTCGATCGGCATTCATTACCGCGAATGTGAAAATGAGTCAAAAAGTTTTCTAAAATAGAGATAAAACGTTTAAAGCATTACCGCGAATGTGGCTACCTCCTTCCCGCAACGGTAATACCGCGTATCCGCCAGTACCAGAATTAAATATTAACTAGAGCGTTCAAGATGCCTTACTTCCCAATTTGCAAGATTGTCCAAACCCACAACAAGATACTAACCAATTAAATGAAAAATTACCAAAACGCGCCAAGGAAAAGAAAAAACGAATGAAAGGAAAAAAAAACCGGTCAGGTACGAGTCGAACTCGTGCCGAGGATTTCGTACCTACCCAGATTTTACGTAGATTTTCGCGAAAATTTGTAAGTACCAAAAGTTATCTTACTTTTCAACTTTTTTTATTTTTTGTAATTATTTCTTTACTTGTGCTGTAAGACGTTCTTTTTTGACAAATTTCGTGATTCTAGGTCAACGGGAACTACCATATAGGTTTTCCACCCAAAACCTATAGGGTACTTCCGGTTGACCTAGAATTGTCAATTTTGGTTAAAAGCAAGGTCTTACAGCACAAGTAAAAAGAAAATTCTAAAAATAAAAGAAAGTTGAAAATTAAGGTAAATTTTGGTACTTACAAGTTTTCGCGAAAATCGAAACTTGCCCATATCTTTTTATCGTGTTGACTCAGGATCTTGATTTTTATACACCTAATAGGGACCATAGACCTCATTATCTGGTATAAATTTGAAACTTGCTAAGTCTAGCCGTTCCTGAGAAAATCGGTGGTGACACACGGACAGACGGACAAGAAAGTGATCTTATAAGGGTTCCCTTTTTTACCTTTTGAGGTACGGAACCCTAAAATATACTGGATTCAAAAAGGAAGGGTAATAAGTGGTTTCAAGATGTTGAGAGAGACGAACGACTAATGAAAATACGCTGTGCCTTGTTTATTGGTTTGAAAGGAGGTTTAAAATGTAAAGAGATAACAGAGGACGATAGGAAAGAGATTTTTAATAAATTTTGGTATATGGAATGACAAGAAAGCTTATGTAAATCTATGATAGATGTGAAGTACCTGCTCGTAGAAGAAAAAAATATGATGATAGTAACTCAAGGAAAGGATCAACTAAATTATATCATTTAACAGTTTGAATTTGAACAGTTAAGCAATGTCGACTGCGTGTTTGTCAAACTTTGTTTATAAATACTTTGGGCTGCACAGAGTGGACAATAAGATATTGAATAGGATTAAAAAAACAAACCTATAAAGATCTCAGAAACAAATGAAACTAGAAGGAGGCAGAATAGTAGTAAGATAGAAGATACAATTGTTAACTTTATACACTCCTTACTACTTACCAAAAGTTCTATTACACTTTTGCAGGAAGTCTACTAGCAAGTTGTGCCTTGAACCAATCTTACGAAATATTAACCATTTATATAAACTATACTGTGATCATCAGCGCGAAAAAGAAGATTCAGTAGCAAACAAAAGAACCTTTGACAGAACATTTAAAAAATGAATGTGTGAATATTTCAGCCAAAACAGGATGAATGAGATACATGTAGCAAATATATAGTTGGAAATATTTTGAAAGCAACTTTTGACGCTTATATTTTTGAACAGGACCAGGCGAGGAGTGCCAAAACCAAAGATAAACAAGATGCTAATGATGGCCATTGTCACGTATGTACAGTTGATCTTAAATCTGTTATCTCCATATTTAAATGCTAGTAGTATATACTATAAGACTAAACTATACGGTATATAATTCAGCAACTCATCGCGTGAGATGTTATTGGTGATTAATGTAATGATTTACCAAAAATATCTTGTTAATGGTCACACTCAGATGGAGTGTGACTCTTCACATGGAAATAAATTTGCCTAGTCTGGTCCTGGTGCAGCAAGAAGTAAGCCTTTTAACTATGAGCATAAAATGGTCTTTTTTAAAGACTAAACTTGAAGAAAGACTAAGAGATGTCCTGCGATATGAATCCATAAGACCATCGCAGAAACTGACCCATGATATAGACACCCCATATAATGACCTACCTAGATGACCTCGAAACTTAATTTAACCTTATCCACCAGTGAAAGCATCTTAATAAAAAAAAAACAAAAATACCAGCATTTTCCAGAGTTGAAACAGTTTTTGCCCTAAGATTGCCATGCTTTTTATGATAACCTTCCCCATTTAAACTAATTTTTTTTTTTTTTTTTTTTTTTTTTTTTTTTATAATTAATTAATTTTCCAATTAATTTGATATGTACATTACTTTTTTTATTATGTTGTAATAATTTACTTAGTTTTATGTTAATTTGGCAATTTATAAGCATGTCAATTTTTATTTTTATAGATATTTACATGCTGACTGACATTTATAATAGAATAAGAGTATTTTTCATTCTCAAAAATAATGTTGATTTTTTTTAATGAAGATTGTGATAATAATTTGGTAGAATGTTATTTTTAGTTTGATTTACCGATTGTTTGTTAGTTTAACAATGTAGATCTTGATTATTGATAAGGAATATTGAGTAGAATTATACACACTTTAGAAGATACCTTCATATTTATCACTAGTCCTGAGACTGATTTTTACTTAATTTATAATAATAATAAATACATTCCAAAATATTTCCTTTTAATTTTATTTTGTATCATAATAGCGAATGTCACAATAAAATGATCAAATATTCTTATTGAAACAGCGAATGTTTGACTCATGACTAAGATTTGGAAGTAAATACCGCTAACGTGCATTACTATAAAATGTGTAAACGCAAATCATATAATTATTGCATTGGCAACAGAAAGTGATAGTATTAATAATTTTTAACAATAATCTAACAAATATTATGTACAAAAAATTAAATCGGTAAAATAACAAAAAAAGTAAAAATATATAAAAAAATATGTTTGATTTAATTAAATATAATTAAATCGGTTTTTTGTCTCTCCTGAAAAGTAACTTAATTTCACGTTCGCGGTAATGTATGCCGATCGACGATATAGTAGGTAATATAAGGACGCTGTGGTACTGAGTGACTGTAACTGTGAAAGTCTAGTTTTAAATAGGATTAGCAAGAATTTTCGTAGGTTTTTGCTAAAAAATACTGTGAATAAAGATTTCTTAAGACCAACCCTGGAAGACCTAGTATAATTTTTGAAGGAAGAGTCACAAAGTGTGATCAGGGACTAAATTCTTGGTGAATATACTAAATACCCCGTGGACTCTGTCAAAGTGCAATATATTAGTAGCACAACTCCATGTTCTGGTAGAAGAATACCTTGGTTAGATGCTAGTCTTCACCAGAAACATTAAAGGTATTATTATAACTGGTATTGGCGTGGAGGGTCAATTTTTATGTTACTTTTAAAAGAAGATAATTTCATATACTTTTCTTGCACTTTTACAAAAGCCTTGGCACGTGCCTAACCGCAGTTAACAAATGATCTGTAAGTAAAGCTACTTACTTCTGATTTGTCATCATGGCTGATATTTCTGCTCAGCGCGCTCCATCCCTGAGGGTGTACCTATGAATGAGAATTTTTATTATTTTTATTGTTGTTAAATGAGAATTTTTACATAAACTTGCAAGAGCTCTTACAGCGCCTTAATCGGACTCTGTCGCAAAATATGTTCTCAACTGTCATCTATTTTTAAACTATCTACCAGGGAAATTGCTACTTTATACGTTAAGATTTCCAGATTTCTGTGAATAATTTATTAGATAGGTGAGTAATCCTTATTCTGTCCATTCTCTTTTATACTTTGTATAATATTTACAGACGTTTTTATGTACCACATTAATTTGTTAAACGGTGTACAATTAAGAGTTTTCTATCCATCTATAGGAAGATATTATTCATATTTAATTACATTTATAATAAAATACCCAGCACATATTTCAATAACTTACCTTTTTAACTGAGTATTTAATTTAATATATTAAACAATGCATTATAAATTAAAGACGTTGAGGTCAGACGTGTGCTAAAAGCACATCCTTTATTTTTGTTTTCTAGTAATTGAAATTATTTATTATCCTACATAAAACTTTATTTGCATTTGTTATTTTTTTTTTATAAGACAAAATAATTTAGTTCTACATTCCTCAGGCACGTGATTAGTGTAAAATTTTATTGCACTATCTTTCACATGCGGCTATACCTTGAAATCGGTACTATTTTTTGTACCTTGTACCCTTTTCTGTACCCCAGGCAACATTTATGGCAATCTCATGAAGATCGGTTTAGTAGTTACGGTGTTAAGACCTTGCAGCATCCTGCAGCACCTTATCCGCCGCAGGATCGGAGCGGGCCTTAGAGCAACACGGTAGAGAGTAGCCATACGCAAGCGTTCCCCTCTGCTAAAGTATAAGTCCGCACGGTCATATGACCGTGCGGACTACAATAAAACTAGTTGCGGCCAGACCACTCACTAGACTAAATCTAGTTGGGCTCTTTAGTAGACGGAACTGAACATTTCGGCATTTTTGTAGGACGGCTTAGTAGCCGTCTTACAAAGATGCCAAAATGTTCAATGCTTCAAAAATAGATCTGCCACGCCAAGTTTACAAAAATATGGCGTTACCTTTCATATATATGTAGTTTTAAATCAAATTATTACTATTTACTCATATTAAAACTTAAAATTTACGAAAACAACAGTTGTATTGTTTTGGATTTGTTTACCAACACAGGCCGCTCGGTCGCAAACAATATTCGGATCGGTCGCATACAATATTCGGATCGGTCCCTCGACCGATCCGAGTGTTGTGTTGCGTTGTTGATAGTCAAACCGCCTTAAGATGGGCCCTCCCGATGGTTTGCGAGACGCGGGGCGGGTAATGGGTCGGCTACACACGACACGATGTACTAACTCGATATCTTCAGATTTATTTGTTCGAGATTTAACACACACGATGTAATAAAAATCGAATTTATTTCAATGTATTATAATTTCAGTATATTGTAAGTTTTTATGATTACTATTAAAAATTTAATACTTATAAAAAATTAGCTTATCTTTATCATGTAAATTATATTCGTGTATAGACGCAAGGCTCGAAATCAACATGAGTGCCACTTGGTGCTCAGAGTGACGCCCGCGCTGTACCAGAGGCTACTATGAAGTAAAATAATAAATATTCTTTATTAGAACTTTAAACAGTAGAACCTCTGTTAGCCGAAGTTCAAGGGAGTGGCCAAATAATTCGAGTTATAGGGTTTTAGACTTACGTTACCTCCGTAAGTCTAAAACCCTATAACTCGTCTTAGGGAGATGTTATAAGGAAATATTCGACTAGTAAAGGTTTAGATTCTTTCTTTGACCATTTTCATTTTTTTTCATGAATATCTTCATGAAAAAAATCATATTTCTAATAATCATATTTTTTATAAAAAAAGAAAAAAAATATATATTTTCATGAGTTTCTGAATATTGTTGAAAGCGGACCAGAAGTAGGCCTAATTTTTAGGGTTGGTATTGTGTTTGATTTAAGTTTTTCTTTTCAACTGCGTAATTTGCTCCCTTAGTCGGCTCTTACGACACACACGGGATGAATAGAGGTGGTGACACTCCGTATTCTTAATCTGTATCAACTTCTACTGTATCAAGTATATATTTATGTATATATCGAGTAACTTAAAAAGGAAAGGGAAATGTTTATTAATAAAATGCAAGTTAATCCAAATGTTTTTAAATCTTTTTGTGACGTAGAGTCGGCAGATTATCCATGTTGCTACCTAATATCGTGCAATCTTAAGAAAAATAAGAAGTACAGCCATGCTTTCACGTCAGTCACTGCCGGCTGACAGCGACACACTAGCTAACTGGTTGAGCGTACCCCCGCCCTGCGTCCCGCATACCATTTCGATAAAACATAAATACATCCGTGTCTCTCGTGCATATTATAATTTATGATACGTTTTGTGATATAATAAATATAATTATGTGGATTGTGAGCTTTATTTTAATTTAGTTTAATATTAAAATTGAGTACAATCAAATTTAATACAATATTTACGAGTATTAACACATCGCAGTCCCCGACGAACAAAATCGTAATAGGAAAATAACAATTTTACAGGAGCAAATAAAAACTGAATATCTTGAATACTATCAAGACTAAAAAGAAGATTCTTTTATCAAAAATAAGGAAATATTTTTTTGCACTAGATTTTTACTAAATTTTTATCATAAATTTTCTTTATCAGTAAGAAAATTGTGAAAATGTCCATTACTGAAATAAGCTATGGAAAAAATTAACGCAAACTAACTTTAACACTATCGGTGTTCGACTGTAATCACAAATCGGTGTTGCTGTAGTAATCGTTCATTATGATATTGTTCCTTGGTAAATATGAATATACTTTATATTCGTAAAATGACATTGCAATCGTATTCGATGATATAACTGACTTTAATATTACGGTAAACATAAATTACATGCTTATTCGATGATAATTTTTAGGTGTTATAACCATTTCGGTACCTATGTATAAATTCTGATTCTGATTCTGTCATTTTTCCCTCGAACAATATGGTAATAGCCGCTTACTCTAAAAATGTTGACTTTTGAGATTTGGTAATAGGTTTTTGCGTTATTGATCGTGTAAATTTTTCACTTATGTTATACGTTGAACAAAAACATAAAGATCATTATTGAATGGATAAATCCAAAAGTATTCATCGCCCGATCATAAAAAAAATTCAATGATTGTAATAGGGTGTGTAGATAACGAATATCTAATAAACCCGATTCTATCGTAATAGCGATTACCATGGTGTTCGTCGGGGACTGCGACATAATATTAAAATTGTTTTTATAACACATTGTTTTTATTTATTTATTTCAGGTTTCCCAAAGATCCGAGTTTAAAGGCTATATGGAAGAACTTTTGTAATAATAACAGAAACCTTACCTAGATACCTACAAGAAACAGTGTCATTGGCTCAGATCATTTCAAGACCTTTGACTTTTAAGTGTTTACGAACAACAGAAGGATGGAACATTCTTAATGAAAAAAAAAATAGATGAAAAAACTAAAAAACACGCTTTTTAGTTTTTTTAAACTATTTTTTAAATATTATTTATTTTTATTTATTATTTTAACTGGTTGACTGCAGTAGACGTTCCTCGTATACATATATGTAAGTATTATATAATAACTTTACACATCTCACAAACAGAGACTGCTGTTTTACAATCGCAAATTATACAGAGCCTACGGCTGATCAACATACTTTATATTTCTAAATATATACATATTGTAGATAAATTACACCCAGACACGCAACAAAGGATTACGCTCATTACACAATCAATTGTCCTGAGTGGGAATCGAACCCATGACTGCCGGCTGTCTGTTAGACAGGGTCGTGATAATGTGTGGGTACACCTCTAACTTTTCGGAAATAAAGGCGTAAGGTCGTGAATGTATGTAGGTATGTATTTACTTTGTTATTGTGCATATCCTGAAGAGTTACTACTACTAAAAAACAAAATAATGTACACTTACTCTTAAACCTCGTTAAGGACATATACCTGCAATGCGCTGACAACTTCAGCATCGTTGCCATCGGGAAAGTCCGACACGAACTCAACGCGGTTCTCCTTGCGCGACGAGTCGAACAAGTGGTCGTACATCGCCGCTATGGGGATCAGTTGCTGACTCATTTGCATCAACCGATACAAATTTGGCTGTAATACAATACATCAATCATTTAATACTTGCAAACATAGATGATACACACATTTTCTTTTTCGGAATAAAAACAAACTAAACCCCGACGCGGAACGTCGTTTCACACCTTGATATGTCTCTGGCCGGGTCTTTTACTTACTAGTTTTATTAATCGGGCATCCCCATAATCCATACAAAAGTAAAATCGTTTGTCTTCTATAAAAAAATATTGTTTCTTTTAATAGCCACGACGAGGTCAAGTGTACTTGGCACACTTCGAACTTTATTTTAACAATAATAACAGCTGCCATAACTAAATTATTGTAATATAATGAAGTAGAAATAAAAATAAGAGCATTGAATATAATAGATTACGAAAGATGACGCGATCCAAAGAGGATTATTGTTAGTGTCCGCGTGAATATCCGTTATCGCGGTAAAAAGTAGCCTAGGTCTTTAATCAAGAATCGAAGTATCTTCATACCAAATTTCATGTAAACCAGTTTAGCGATTATTAAATCCCTATACAAATTTCAACACCCTTAAAGGGTGTTTTATGGGAAAATACTACCCTACGTCCTTTCCCGGGACTCGGAAGATTTCTGTACCAAATTTCATCTACGAGGGTTCGTTTTTAAGTTCGCGGAATGAGAGGGTTGGAGGGGGGTGATTAGGCTCATTAGAATCGTCACGTGTTCAGTGACTCATAATCAGTATAAATACCAGGTTTCATTGTTATTAGACAATTAGTCTTTGAGTTATCGTCAACCAAGCAACATAATCGAATATCGTGCCGTTATAAAGTTCCTTACCAAGCCTTCCCTTACCATAATGAATGAGATGTCATTAGTTTACGGCGACTCTTATCCAGAAAAAACCATGGTGTACAAATGGCACAGTTTATTTAAACAAGGAAGGGAATCCCTTGAAGACGACCCGAGGCCGGGCAGGAGCATCGAGGTGATCACGCCAGAACTTATCCAAAAAGTCGAAAAAATTGTACTCGACGATGCTCGACTAAAGAAGAAACAACTCGCAGAAATGGTTGGAGTATCTGATACAACCATTTTTAGAATTCTGCACGATCATTTTGGCATGACAAAGGTCAGTGCAAGATGGGTGCCGAGAATGCTCACGCCGACGCAAAAACAACAGCGCGTAGCGTGCATTTTTAGACCTTTGTAATGAAGACAAGGATGCTGTAGCAATTCTACTCAATGTAGAATTGTTACTGGAGACGAAACTTGGGTTCATCATTATGAACCTGAGTCGAAACAAGACTCCATGAATAAAAAGGGCACAGCACCTCCCAAGAAGTTTAAGGTGTCACAGTCAGCTGGGAAACTCATGGCAACGGTCTTTTGGGACTCAGAAGGAATATTATTGATCGATTATAAAGATAAAAGTGTTTCTATAACCGGAGATTACTACGCTTCAATATTAGAGCGACTCAAAGAAGCCATTAAAGAGAAAAGACGGGGAAAATTGACAAAAGGTGTGTTGCTTTTGCACGACAACGCGCCCGTCCACAAGAGCCGCGTTGCGTTGGCTGCCCTGTATAAGGTGGGCTTCGATATTTTGAATCACCCACCCTACAGCCCAGACCTGGCCCCCAGCAATTATTACCTGTTTCCAAAAATGAAAAAAGAGCTGCGGGGTAAAAAATTTACCAACGATGATGAAGTCAAGGAGGCAGTTTCGGCGTATTTTGAAGACAAAGAGAAAACATTTTTTTATGAGGGTATAAATAAATTAATTGAAAGTTCTGATCCGTCTCGCAGGTGAATATATTGAAAAGGAAAAATAATTTGTTTTTTTTTATTTCCACCCCTTATTCCGCGAACATAAAAACGCTCCCTTGTAAATCGGTTCAGCGGATATTGTATATAATATATATTTAAAATTTAACACTTGTAAATCGATTAATAAATTTAGTGCCCCTATTTTTAAGGTACTTTGGAATATAATAATATTTAGTGTACACAATGGATTTTATTAGCTTCAATCTTTCATTGAGTCGGGCCGTCAGAAGTTAGAAAGTAAGTTCTTTTTTGTTCTTTTTTAAAAGACAACTCCCGCATTAGGAATAAATCCTGTGTCGCGGGGGACTTTACAAACATATATGAAACGGACACAAAGAACACCCAGACTCAGAACAACAATTTGTGGATCACACAAAGTGTCGTCCCATGTGGGGTTTGAACCCACAACACTCGGCGTAGTAGGAAGCGGCGTGGCGACCGCTTAAACCACTACGCCATCCGTGCAGTCAAAGTAGTCAGTCAGTTTAAGTAGAAGATGATGTGTAATCGTATGATAATATTGCAGATGCCTTACCTTAAATCCATATAAATCTTGAGACAGTGTAGACAAATTCAGATCATGTATAATGACGATAAGTCCACCAGTTGTACACATCACCATCTGCCTCGCGTCAGGCGACAGACGGCATCGCATTAGGCTCGACGTGTGGAACACTCTTTGGTACAAAAGATTACACTCCGTATAAGAATTAATATCCCACGTATAAATGCTCCCATCTAAACCTGACGTTACCAGCAGCTTGTCTTTTACAGAGAATTCAATATTTTTCACCCATTTTGAGTGGCCTAGGAGTAAGCGGATCTTTTTTTTTAAGTTTCGAACGTCCCATAAAGCAATGGTCGTGTCATCTGAACAGGTTGCGAACATACGTCCATCTAAAAACCTGAAAATAAACATTTGGTTACTACTAGTTATTTGGCTTACAGAACACACGAAATACCTAGTGATAATTTAATTTCAATAGAAAGAGAAAAAAAAAATAGTATAAACCCTAAGGAGAGGCCTATGTCCAGCAGTGAACTGGTAGAGGCTGTTGATGATGATGATGATGATGAAAGAGCGACTACAGGATAATCTAATAGGACATAGCTATCCGTTCAATAGAAGTGTAGGCCGTTTTGCTACACAGACAACTGAGCGCTGTATTTTAGTTACCGTATATGTTCCAGAACTGTCAAAACCTAATCGGACGGTGCGCGACCAACGGAGGAGTTCAACGTCGATGCAGCTCGTGCTATAGAAGGTTGGAGACATATTTCAACGTAATAGACACCTGATTCACATTTTTATAAACAACTTGACACCAGCGAACAGCTTCGATCCGCGCGTCAAATTGCAACCTCGCTTATAATCTTCGTTTTATCTTTTTTAATTTTTTTTAGACATAGATCATATCTTTATAGGTCGAATACGTTTCTTAGTATGCAAGATAAAGCTATAAAGTTTCACACAAGTTACTTTCTATATATTATATGATAACAGAAGACAATTTAGGAGACAATGTATACACATATAATTATGTACAATGGAGCTTAGCCGAGGCTAAATTGATTAAAGAATCAAGATTAAATCAAACAAGGCCATCATTTAATGCAAGCGATTTATCTAATCTTACTTTAGTACGACATTACCTTTACATTAGGGGTGTTAAAGGTACTCGAATTGGGTTCTAAAGGATCAGTGCTTCCGATTGATAACACTTCCGAATGCTATAAACACGAATTGAAGCTATGACGTGTCTAAATGTAGCAGCGTATTAGTCTCATAGTGTTTCACTGCTCCTACGCGATCGGACTTTGATCCATTCAAGCAGAGCCGGGAACCCGCGTCTCTTTTAATTGTTTTGTTTCATCTGAGTCTATTATTCAAAGTTATTATTATAAACGCACTATGCGTTTAGACCCTTACTAAATTTAAATTGTAAAATCTGTTGTTTCTTTCAAGTCAAAAGGATATTTGATAGATGGTTCAACTTTAGCTACTAACAAACACTTTGTGTTCTCACCCCTGTTCCTATTCCGATAGACAAATTTTAATCTTCCGATTCCGTTTACATACATCTCTATGTAACTAACATATATCCATGTACATACACATAAATACATCATACACAATAGAAATGCATTTAATATGTAAAGGCGTTAATGTGTAAAGAAAGAAGTCTTTATCCAGGAAATTAATCAAGCCATTCTCAAGGAAATTGTGATTGCATGAATAGCGATTACAAGCTATTTTTGCTACATAGTTGTCCCTTTAGGTGCTTGTTTTACCTTATAATTCACGTGAAAACTAGCTAGTTAAATTTAAAGCAAAATATAAAAAGATAACTGTCAATTTTTAGTTAGCAGCACAGCGGAGCAACCGCACGTGTGGGCTTTGGAATAAAATTTCAAGTTTGAAAGGCATTTAAAGAGAATCTAGAACCCGAAAAAAGATTTGTCTTTTTTAACAAAATAGTTTCCTTTAAAAATTTTTTTAGTTACATAGTCGAAATTTAAAAGGATAGCAACTAATTTGATTATATTCTTAACATCCATTTGGTAACCATTAAAATTTTCAGTTTTTGAAATAATTTCAAATTTTAGTTGATTGAATTAAAATGTTGTATTAAATTTTTCTTCTAACTATTAGTTAAACTTTGCAATACGCAAGGTTTGACTAATAGTTCGAAGAAAAAATGTAACACCAGTACCTTATTAAATATATGCAGGAATATTTAGTTACGTATAATATTTAGATGGCTATCGCCGCTAAGGTGTCAAGGATTATGGTCTAGGATTGCAAAGAGTGAGATTTATGTCAAGTTAATATTTCTAAGTGTATATTTTTATTACTTTTAGGCAACACGGCATAATTAATTATTTTGTTCTGTTCAGTTAGTTTTCGGAGAACAGTACGGCACAGGTACTGGCCGACACCGCGGTGGCCGGTCAGTACCTGTGTCAGCCTGTAGGAGAGGCTGCCATGCTGCATCTCGAGCTAATCCTCTATGATGGGTCTTACTGCCGAAATTGTGGCGTAATACCTTACTACGACAATACCTTTTGTTAAATTTGTGGGATCGAGAGTAGATCGGAACTAAATTCTGAACGACTTTGTATTGCACGAATTGACCTTCTCGCCTGTTTAACACAGGATTAATGTTGAGGTTACACACACAAATGAATACGCAATATTAAACTTAAGAGTTTTCGAACTTCTCGGAAGCAGACAGTTCGTGTTGTATAATTGTAATAATTAAAAAAAAAACACTACAAAGTATTTAACAGATACATACAGATTTAATGTAACAGTGTTTATATTACATTTAGTAGATTTTGGGGGTGGACTGAAACCTAAACCAGGGAAACCCTGTATGCGTTAGTTTAGCATAAGTAGGTATTACAACTTCCTAATTCTACCATACAACCAATGTAAGGGACATTCCTTTTCATTACCTTCCGTTCAAAGTACCCAAATTATAGGCATCAAAATGAAAGTGTAAACGAGTATTACGCTTCTGCTTCCACTTCAAGGATTTAAAGGTGAGTGTATGTATTGACTAGGTGTGTTCTAGTTTGGTAGTCTCATATTTTAAATCATTAAAATCCATTAAATTATTTACACCAACCAATTGGCCCAACCACAATCCTGCCACTGCGTTTTAACCAACTTCGATCCTGGACGAGACAGCGTACTCGTGAAGCGCACAACCGAAGGTGGAAAAACTCACCCGGCTGCAGACAGTCCAAACTGGTGCTGACTGAAGTCTCACCACGACTTACTTGCAGACTGATCAGTCTTAGCAGACTAAATATCCGAATAGTTGTAGGAAGCATAACAGGATACCTAGACCTGAACCAACAACTAAGCACCATTAAGGCGACATTAGAAGCCCGTGAACGTCCAAGGAGGCTCCTGCCCTTCTGGAAGGAGCTTGGTTAGCTCACCTAGCCAACCGCTCCTAGACGCATAAAGGACAACTCTCAAGTCTAAATACGGAAATCGGAGCCCACAACCAATACCAATACTTCGATGATTGATTACTTACTGAAGGTTTGAAGGTCGTATCGGTCCGGAAGTGAAATACTGCCTCGATCTGTTCAGCACACCGAGCTTCTTCGAGGCCAATTTGACCTTACCCTCTAAGTGACCCCGAAACTGAACTTCGCTCGATATGTCCATGTCTAAGATTCCATGCCTAAGATTCCGATGGCTGAGACAGTTAGAGAAGAGCTCTCAAACTGAGGTGATACGACAAATGGTATATTTTTTGAGGTGAACGCACAGACCTGTGTCTTTTTTGGGTTGAACTGGACTAGATTTAGTCGGCCCAATCTGAAACCTCCGCTAAGGAAGTTTCAATTTCAGACACAAGTTTACTTAGACTCTCGATGACGTTTTCCCGAGAAATATTGGGGCGGCCGGTATAAAGAGCATCACGCGTTGCTATCATCTGCATAGCAATGGATGCTTTTGTTTGTTGTATTGTTAGTTTGCAACATGTCATTGATATGGGTGCATATCTATAGCACACAGCCCTGTGGGACACCAGCGTTTACGAATTTCAAGTCGGAACATGCATATTTTATGATTTAATTACAAATGTAGTTTTCAGATTTTTACTTGTAGTATAAGACGATGTTACTTGCCAAATTTCATAGTTCTAGGTTAACGGGAAGTACCCATAAATTTTGATATCCTTGAGTGTCGAAATATGCGGTATTTGCCAAATTAATATCTTTCTTTTACGTTAACTTAGAAGTTTGTTTTTTTCATAGCTTCAAGGCACTAAGCATACAAACCTAAGTATACGGTTTTAATTTCAACTCGATACCTCCACTCGTTCCCGAGATAAAGGGTTTCGACAGACAGACAGCCATAAGGCACACCGAGTGGAGGAGCAAATTGTGAATGCTTGGTAATGTTTGAGACAAAAATTAACATGGGCTTGGAATAAAAAATAATTATTATTGTTTTGTAATATACAGCAGTTGCTTTTTTGTAGCAAAACTATTGCGATAATATTTCCTGTCATTGTCTACAAATACCCACAAATGACCTACACAACTTATTATTATTATACACCTACACCTATTTGAAAAGATAACACATTGCTTAAATAGGGATATACTTACTTGACACAGTTGACACAATCTGAATGTGCACCATTTACTGAATGTATCAGCTCATGTGTTAAAGGGTCAAAAATTTGTATTGATTTCTTTTCACAAGCAGCTACTAGCAATGTCCTGAAACAACAAAGTTTATACAGAAACTAGCTGTACCCTGCCTTCACCTACTTTTCAATGTGTCACATTGTGGTTGTAGTGATGAAAAATAAGGAGCAAAACTGACTTTTGTATACTGTGTCAAAATTCAAGCTCACACCATCGAGTTTCAAACTAAGCAGAGCTTGTACTATGAAAGCTAGATTGACTGATAGAATACAAGATAGATAGTCATAGACAAAAAATAAGTATGTATGCAACATGACAAATATGAGATTCTTAAAACCCATAATAAAAGCTCTGTTTAGTTTAGATCCTATAGTGCTGTGTAATTTGGCACTAGATAAGATAACATTAATATCATAATAAATTATAATAATAATAAGATCCCAAATTAGGCAGTGTATGTTATAGTACCCAGACTCAACAGTCACAGTCTTAACATACCTATATATATCTCATTACATACAAACATAAATTACAACAAGATACAGAACAAATCGTCAGTTGTAGAATAGTGTCAGATCTGACATTTATTCAACTTTAGAGAGCAGCCATTTCAAATAATTATGTTAGTTTTTTTGACATAACTTTTTAATTTTAAATCTGTACTTATGAAAATTGGAATTCAAGTAAAAAATAGGGTTTGTTTTAAAATGCAATAATAATAAAAAATACAACTAATAATTACACAATTTTCTAGAAAAATCATATGCTTCATTTTACTTTGAGCGCCTATCAAACAAACACTGAATAATTTAAAATCTAAAATACATTTTTTTTTCTTGAATGTAGTAATAATATTTAGACAATGTAGTATCCAAATATGGTAAAAACTGAATTTCGTTTTTTTTTTCAAAACCAAAATTCTACGATCATAATGAAATGATTGTGATCATCTTACAATTATTTGTCTTGGGTGATCAAACTCACAACCACACCCACAACCTTTGGCTGACTGCTAGTCAGGATCACTAACCATTCCAACAAAAAGGCCAGTCCAAGTTAATATCATATTGTTGCTTATAAACAATTCTTAAGACTTAGACATGGGACAATATCACAGTGAACTGTAAAAGACCGGTTATTTATCATTCAATTTTTTCATATGTTGGTTAGGGTTACTACTTACTCACCAATAAGCTGTTTTCAGACGATGCATATAGACCCTATTTCGCCTATTCAACACTAAATCTACTAATTATTTTATTATATATTAGCTACTATTCCCTATGTAATAATTTAAAAAATATTAGGTTTACTGTTAAATAGCAACCCTAACCTACGTACACAACAATGGAATGGAAAATGACAGTTCACTGTGGATTTTGTATCTAGATGACTAGATGATCAACTTAGCTAACTTTGTACTTCAACTATTGTGGGTTTGATATGTACTTCCCTCATCATGTGATTCACAAATATTTTCTCTGAGTCTAGTGTATATTAAATGTACTCTAATTGCATATTTTTATAAATGCTCCTTGAAACCAGGATCATTTCTGAAGTGAGAAATTGAATCCCAAAAACAAAGTGTTAATGTACTAGCATATTAGACCATTTAAATTCTTAAGGCATACTCATAAGGGTGGTATATCTAATTACCAACTTATTCACTTTATTATATGAATATTTTTCTTTATACATAACTTGACACATACACAGCAGTCTCATCCAAATAAATAAACTAGACAGGGCCTGTACTATTGTAACCAGGCTGCTGATAAACATACTTACATAAGTAAATACATACATAATTCAGATATAGTTCACCCAGACACAGAACAAATGATCATGACCATTATTTGTCCTGGGTGAGAATTGAACCCACAACTTCTGGCTTAGCAGTCTGGGTCCCTAACCACTAGACCAACAGGCCTGTCAATTTGAACTAATGAAAATATAATCTATTACTAATTGTTTATTTATCAAGAAGCTAAAGTTTTAATAAAGGAGTCTACTAATTAAACACTAATTACAGAACTACTATACAAACTGTCCCTACTTTCTTCATCAGTATTATGTGTTTGTGAAATACATTGACCAACTATGCAAGAAGTGTGTTTAAAAGTAATCAAATCTTTTACTTACATAATGTAATGGAATATACATATTAAATAAAGAGATATAAAAGTGATGCCTGTGGATTTTGAAGACACATGTTCCTTAATATTAAAAAAAAATTTGTTCATTTACCATTAAGACTAGCAATAATGTACCTAAATAGTCAATAATTATATGTCTAATAAGGCTGCAGAATTTTGTTATTTATTTTTAAAACTACAATAATATAAAACATCTCTTTAAGAGCCCCTATAATCTAATGTATCTGACAAGAACAGACTTTCTTTAACATAAGAATGTCACTTTAACGAAAGAATGGTACTGACGCATGACCAAAGTCAAGGCTATGGTACTATTTTATTAACGCACACTTACCCTTCCGGGGAAAATTCAAGGTTGAAGACACCTCCAGTCGGAGGAGTTTTGTCTCGCTCAGCATCCCATGACGCGATAGGTTTCATACCGCAATACAAACTTTTTGCCATCGCATCACTAGCTCCGATAGGGCTAGGGAACCCCATTTCTCTCTCACGTAACCGATAAGGGTTAAATGCTGAGTATTTCGCCATAAAAAGCGAATTGTCTTTGTTAATATTACCCATCTGGGATTATTTGTTTCTGACACAACTTTCGCAAGTATTAATAAAAATTAAGTACTCGACATATCACTTAAATAGAACCGTCACTAATGAAACACTACATCGTTTATCAAGACAGCAATGTTTAATTAAGTAAAAACGTAAATCACACACAAAATATTTTTGACACACTCAACTTGACAGCTTCGGCTCGTACAGTTCTTTTTGAATTTTAGTCCATGACCATAGATACAGAGTTTTTAGTTGCAAACAGCTGCAACCAGAAGTGAGACTCGCCGAGTGCTGACTGAGCCACTTTTTTGCCGAAAAGCATGTAGTGGGAATAGGTGCTCAGGAACCATATTGTTAGTGCTAACTTCCATCACTCGGATAAGTGTTTGTGTATTTTCCTCTTCAAAGGAAACGAACACGAATGTTCCTACAAAACAAAGTATTCCGACGGGGCCCACATGTGTGTAAATACCACAGAGTACATTGTAATATACTGAAAGTAAATACATTATATATGCATACATACCCACTACTTACTTGGCGAAAACGATGACGAGTGAATAGTGATACATCGACATTCGGTGACTTCCCGAATATCTGATCAAGGCTTAAAACGAATACGATCAAAACTTAAAATTGATCATATTTTGAAAAGAGATTATAGATTGGGGACATAGTTTTTTCATATCTATTTCACGGATCGGTTCACTTTCTCTTTCTCACTACCTTAGTTTTGGTATTAAATTAATAAGTTTGGTATTAAATTCTTTTTATAATTCAATGGCTCTATCGATGATTCTGTCAACGTAACGGTGGAATGTAGATTTATTAGATTAAAGTTTGAAAAATATTTTTAAAATAAAGAGGGAAATGTTGCGATTTAACAGTTTGTAGTAACTTACACTATAGTGTTTTGTTTTGTTTAATTTTTGTGTTTTTATTTATTTAAAAAAAAAAAGTTTAGATCCGATCTTACTGAAACTTGGTGCATATGTTTAGGCCTATAAAACCCACATTTCATTATAATTTCAAGTCATTCAGTCAGTCAGTCATTAATATTCAATAGAACGAGAGTTATGAATTTTACAAAAAATGGCAAAAAACGCGGCATTTTGTAATTATGTCAAAAACTACTGAACCTTTTACGCTGTTCATGCAAAACGCAAAGAAAAAACGATTTTTACGATTGTTTGCAATTTGACCTTTTGACCTCGGATTGACCTTCCAACTTAGGATGTTATTATTTAACGAAAAAAAATTGTGAACCCAGGTTATAAATTTCACTTTCGAAAAATCTAATTCTATCCGACTACTACAATAGTAAAAAGTTTATGGTTAGGTTACCTGTGAATTTTCATCAATTTTCAACCTATCAGCTGGGTTGACAATTTATTGACGTTTTTGACAAGCGCTCCGTCGTATACAAAAGGATTTTGTTATCAAATTTTCTTGTGATTACATCAATAACATACGTGTACTACTGCTTAATTATTGTTGCGTCACAATAATTATTACCAGTTTGGTTTAAAGTAACCGTTTAAGATGGCTGAAATAAGCGAAAAATACAACACAAAATGCCCTGGCGTGAAACGCCTAATGAGAGAGGCCATGGAATTGGCGGAGGCGACAGAAGAATACTGCGCAAGGCCCTTGGAAGACAATCTTTTCGAATGGCACTTTACAGTTCGAGGACCTAAAGGTACAGATTTTGAGGGTGGCATCTATCACGGTAGGATACTATTACCCAAAGAATATCCTATGCATCCTCCTCATATAATACTTTTGACGCCAAATGGTAGATTTGAGGTGAATAAAAAGATTTGTTTGTCTATATCTGGTCATCACCCAGAAACTTGGCAACCATCATGGTCCATTAGGACTGCATTGTTGGCACTTATTGCATTTATGCCTACACCTGCTGAAGGCACTATCGGTTCACTTGATTACTCTCCTGCAGAGCGTAAAGTCCTTGCTAAGAAATCAGCAAGTTGGGTTTGCTCACAGTGTGGAGAAATATCAGTTTTGCTGTCATCTACAGCAGCAAAACCAATAACTGAAGAGGAAAAATCTGTTTTAAACCAGATAGCTTTTAAAGGAGAAGAAGAGCAAACTGCGAAACCACCAGAAGAACCTGTGAATGAAATTGAGCCTCAAGTTTTGGAGTCGTCTGAACCTACAAATAGCTTCCTAGACCAATTGACAGAGATTCTTGTAGCTTTACTTGTGGGAGCAATAGGTATATTTATATATAGGCGCTGGAATGCACATTATCATAGTTCAGAGACAGAACTGTAATTTATTTTCACTTTGAGTCTAGGCCCTAAGAATAATTTTGAAGTATTTTGATGTGATGTTCAATGATGCAATGCATCCCTCTTTTTCTGAGATCATGTTTTTAATTGTGATGTTTTCTCCAACAGGAAAGATAATATAGTTATTTACATTAGTTATATTTTGCTTATTTTATATGATAATATGATTTGGAAATTGTGCCTTAAGTATATTAAAAGGTCCAAGGGCATAAGAGGAAATGAAATTACATCAATTTCTTGTATTGTGATTGTTAACACAGAAACTAGTTTATTTTTTATTTAAGTTATTTATTTTAAGAACTGAATCAGGAGATATGACATCGTGAAATTAATTATGTACTTTTCAAGGTTATAGTCTATGTAAATAACTTTAAAATATTTTATGTAGTGCAGTGATAACATCTGCTAAATGGTTTGCAAACTTTTTAAGATTTCAGCACTAGTTATTTCTTGCCAAAGAACATGAAAGTAATATTTATAAGTTATGCTCTACTTTTATGTCATCATGTAGATCATTCTATTGTCTTTTATCTGCCATAATTTATCATGGCTACAATTTTGCTACTTAGAAACAATTAATAGTGTTACTGTGTATGTTTACAAGAACTGTGTTGTCTAGGCATTTAATTCAAGTATTGCTAATTATTTCTTGTGGATATAATTAAATAATAGATATTGTGTACAGATCTTAATCTGTCTGAAACATTCCAAGCTCGGTTACTGGAATACCTACCTACCTGGCATTAATAATAAATACATAACTTAAATTAATTAAATGTATTAATAAGTTCTATGTATATTGTACTGTGTGTAAATTGGTTGTAATATTGCTTTCTCTACAATAATTTGCATTGTTTGACTAAAATAAAGTTTGTAAATTCACAAAAAATAAACTTGCTTATTTACCACCCTTTTTTTGTTCCGTGCGGAAATCCCCTCGGATACCACCTATCGGTGGCATGTCGGACTCGAACCGACTAAAACCGCACGCCGTCTCGGGTACTAATAGCCGGGGAACCAGATATACCCTAGAAAGGAAGTCCCTGGTGCCCCGAGATACCTCGGGTCATCTACAGACGAGTAGACGACCCCCCCTCCCCCCGTGTGGGAACCCCATGTTCCCTGTGCTCCCTGGAAGCGAGCGCCTGCTTCTGCTAGGGTGACAGATGGCCTTATCTGTCACCCCCAGGCCTGCGCTTATGGAGGACGGAGGTCGTTCTGCGACCTCCGGCGCCTGAGTCGCCTGCGGTACCTGGCCCGTTCCCGGGCCTGGCGGGCCGGGAGAGTCCTAAACCTCTCCCGGTCCCGCTCCGCCGTCTCCTTCGCGAGCATAACTTACTCGCAGAAGGAGACGGCAGAGTTCCACGCACTCTCGCTCCGCACGATAGCTGCAATCAGGCTATCGAGCGAGAGAACTCCCACTCCGATGGCCGCCACAAGGTCTCGCCTCTGGTCAACCCACGCCGGGCACTCTGCCAGCGTGTGGACAGCCGTGTCCACGGTTTGGCCATCGCAGTGGTGGCACTCAGGCGTTGGCTCCTTGCCGATCAGACACAGGTGATCCCCGAAACATCCTTTCCCAGTGATCACCTGCGTCAGTCGGTATAAGAGGGTCCCGTGACGCCTCTCGAGCCAATCCTCCATAACGGGTCTTACCGCCGCGATGACGGCGTGCCCGGCGCTCGGTTGCCCGAGTCGTTCCTTCCACTCCCCTATGATGACCTGGCGGAGTTGGGATTTCCGGTCATCGATTTCTTGAGTCTCGGGACACCGACCCAACTCCCGCGACTCCTTGCGCCACTTATACAGAGCCGCAAGGGCTCTCGCCTCCAGGTCCCACGGTGGAGTTCCGGCGAGGAGACTCGCCGCCTCAAAGGAGATCGTGCGGTACCCCCTTATGATCCTGATGGCCAGCACTCGCTGCGGTCGTCGCAGTATCGCGACGTTTCTGGCCTTCAGGGCCCCCGCCCATACTGGGCACCCGTAAAGGGCCATGGACCGCACAACCCCCGAGTCTCCTGCAGGAGTCATCGGGTCCCTTCATATTGGGCAGCAGCCGCGTCAACGCACGCGCTGCCCCAACCAACTTGGGGACCAGACCTCGGAAATGATATCCGAAGTCCCATCGGCCATCGAGTACGAGCCCCAGATACCTGATCGAGGGCTCGATGCCGATGCGAGTGCCTCCTACCGTGAGGCTAGATCCCTCAGGCGGCTTCCTCCGAAGCCCGTGGAAGAACAGGGCCTCTTACTTGTGCAGAGCCACCTCGAGACCCAGCCGCCGGATTCGCTCAACGACTTGGGCAGCCCCGGCCGTGGCCCTCAGGGTTGCCTCGTGGTGCGTCTTGTCGCGCGCCGTCACGAGTGTGTCATCCGCGTAGCACACGACGGCGACACCATCCAAGAAGGCACCACGAAGCTCTCAGTCGTAGCCGATGTTCCACAAGAGTGGCCCTAACACCGACCCCTGCAAAACACCGCATGACATTTCACGCCTACCGAGACCGGTCCTACTGCGGTAGACGACGGCTCTCTCCGACAAATATGCCCCGACTATGCGGCGGAGGTAGAGAGGCACTTCGTGATACACGAGCGCCTCCCTGATGCAGCTGCAGGGCAGAGTGTTGAACGCGTTGGCGATGTCCAAGGACACCGCCAACACCACTTCGCCCCGGGAAACTGCTTCCTCCGCCAGAGCCTTCACGCCCATGATCACATCCACGGTAGAGCGCCCCTGACGGAAACCATCGGATCCGGCCCCACCATAACGAGATGCTTGACGAGGCGCCTTGCAATAACTCTTTCAAAGAGCTTGCACACCTCGTCAAGCAACACTATGGGCCGGTAGGCGGACGGTGAGTCCTCCTTTCGGAGGAGGACCAGTTTCCCCGTCTTCCACAATTTCGGAAACTGGCCCCGCTCGAGGCATGCGCTGAAGAGCTTATTTAACACCCTAATGAATAAGTTTTAGGTATACAGTAATGTGACATATACATACTATATTATGTAGAATAGAGTGAGGTAGGGTATGCTGAAAGCAGAAATTGACGAGGTGCACACTCCTGGCCTTAGCTCCAGCTGGTTCGTCTAAGCAGCATTGGTTGTACATATAGATTTTGTCCATCAATCTCTTGGAAGCTGTACCTACTTGTTTTCTACTGTACTACATTTTGTGCAAAATTTCATGCACTTTGGTTAATAGTTAAAGTAAAAGTATAACAAACAAACTTACATTCACATTTGTTTCATTAGTTATGATACAAATAGATCATTTAATCAGAAGTAACATGAAAATGTATAAGTAACTGTTGCAGTATTCACAAGAGTTTTTAAGTGGGTAAAAGTGAATTTAGACTCAAGCCGACGAAAAAACTTTCGAATCCACTTCAGCTTAATTACATATTTCGACCTTCAAACAACCTTAGAAAGTATTAATTTACATACGTCATCATTATCAGCCTTTATTAGTCCAGTGTTCGACATAGGCCTATTCTTAAAAAGGAGGTTTTGGCCTACTATACCACGTTGGCCAGACAGGTTGGCATAGGATTTGTGTCAAATTTTCCTTCTCTTTGCAGTGCTGTTGTCCTACGTAGTTTGCTCCCTTAGTCAGCTTTTAAGACACCCACGTGATGAATTAAGGGGAGGGGGGTGACACTCAGTATTCTTAATTGTTGTAGAACGGTTTTCTTGTGGGTTCTGGGCAACAACAAACACCATTAATATCTTTTACCAGTATTTTATTATTAGGATATTGTAGTGATTCGGCGCGCGGATTTTACAATGTAGTCTGACATCTGTCAGTCCGGACGAAAGCGACCGGATCCGGATACAGATAACATAAGATTATAACAGTTTTCCCCCCCTTAAAATAAAACCCCTTAACATTTAAGAAAAACCAAGTTAGTACTCATAACTATAAATCAAGTCTTACAACAGGTTTCTTGATTCTGCTACTTCTACGTACCCCTGGGTGATTAGGAACGTCACGTATATGAGTATTATTACCAACCGAAGTCGATGTAGTAGTAGCAGCATCACTAGTGATTGTATGAGGAATATCCTGAGGATTAGAAACTTCATGAGAAATATCAGCCGTCAGGCCTGGGCCATGTTCCGTTTCATTATCTTTAACTTCCGAGGAAACTGTATCACTTAACCCCGGAGAATTCAAAACTTTTTCTGAATTATTGTCTAAGGCCCAGTCCTGAGATATACAATCATTATCTCGTACCAATCTAACATTTTCTCCAATCTTTCTCAACTGATCAATGTGCCTACGCCATAGTAAGCCATTATCCATTATTATTTCATAATGTAAAGAGCCTAGGACCCTATTGATTCTACCAAATTTCCACCTCTCTTGGCCAGAATAGTTGCGAGCAATTACCCGATCACCGACATGTAGTTTTCTCGCTTTTTCTACATCATTGTTAGACTGCCGGCACATTGCTGACAAATTTGATTTAACACAAAAATTGAATATTAATTCGCTAGGAGTTTTCCCAGTGGCTGTGTGAGGCATTATTCGGTATTGAAATAAAATTTGATTTAAACATTTCTGCATTTTATTCTTGTTAGCTCTAAGACACCTTAACTTATTTTTTATTATTTGTACATAACGCTCAGCCTGGCCGTTTGTGGCTGGATTGTACGGAGCTGACCGCTTGTGTATTATGTTGTGACATTTTAAATATTCCTGAAATTTTGGATTCACAAATTGAGAACCATTATCACTTACTAACACATCTGGGTAGCCAAAAGTAGAAAAAATTCGCTCCAATACCTCTAACGTGGACTCTGTATCAATCTTATTCATTATGTGTACTTCTGGCCATTTTGAGTATGCATCAACCAGTACCAAAAAATAAACCCCTAAGAACTGACCCGCAAAATCAACGTGAACTCGTTCAAAAGGTCTGGAAGGGAACTCCCAAACATGTTTGGGTGCAACAGGTGAAGGTTTATTTTGATTAAGACAGCACTCCGCACAGTTCTTGACCATGTTCCGTACATCTTGGTCTATGCCAGGCCACCAACAGTAGCTGCGTGCCAAAGCTAACATTTTGCTTGTGCCAAAATGAGCGGAATGGAGGTCATTCAAAACCACCTGTCTAAACCTTTCAGGGACAAGGACACGTGAACCTCTTAAGATGCAATCTTTATATAAACTAAACTCAGATTGATCTATTCCGAACCTCTCCAAATGGGCAATTTTCTTACCTGATTTTAACCCAACCAACAAACGTTTGAGCGTTGGGTCCTCAAGGGTTGCTTGTGCAATGTCGGGTTCAGTAACCGGCAGAACATTCATTAGGCTCATTTGAAAAATGTCAGCTTCCTCTAGAGAAATACGTTCTTCGTCAAATGCTGCCAAACGGGATAGCGCATCCGCGTTCGCATTTGCTTTGGAAGTTTTATATCTAATACTATAATTAAAACCCTGCAAGAAAATTGCATAATGTTGCATACGGGCTGCCGATAGGTGAGGTAGTGCTTTTGATGGTGAAAAAATTTGCACTAGTGGTTTATGATCAGTAAACAAAATAAACTTGCGACCATACAAAAATTGGAAGAACCGTTTTACCCCAAACACGATTGAATAGGCTTCCTTGTCTATCTGCGCCCACTTCCGTTGAGTGGTGTTTAATGTTTGCGATGCAAACATAACTGGACGCTCTGTACCATCGGGCATTATGTGTGAGAGTACCGCTCCCACCCCCGTCGGCGATGCGTCCGTGGCCACAATCAAGGGTAAATCAGGTGAGTAGTGCGCAAGTACAGTGTCTGACATCATGTGCTCTTTAATTTTGTTTAATGATTTTTCACAATTATCTGTCCATACCCACTCCTTCCCTTTACGCAACAATTCATGCAAAGGTTCTAGAATGTCACTTAAATTTGGAATGAAACGCCCATAGTAATTTACTAAACCAAGTAAAGCCTGCAATTCTGATACACTTTTAGGTGTGAGAGCATTTACAACACTTTTTATTTTCTGATCTGCCTTGTGTAGGCCTCTCTTGCTGATTTTATAACCGCAATATTCTATCTCATCCCTCATGAATTCTGATTTTTCCAAATTTATCTTTAACCCATAATCTGAAAGACGTGTCAATACTAAGTCTAACCTTCCTAAGTGTTCTTTGTCCGAAGATCCAGTTACTCTAATATCATCAATGAAACAGTGTACCCCTGGAATGCCAGCTAAAATATTTTCAATTTTTCGTTGCCATTTTGCAGGTGCACAATTTAGACCAAACATGAGACGTGTACACTTATACAACCCTTTATGTGTATTCAAGGTGAGTAAATTTTGATCTTCATCTCTTACCTTCCAATTTAAATAAGCATTTTTCAAGTCAATTTTGGAATATTTTTCACCCCCTGCGAGACCATTAAATAATTCTTCGGAAGTTGGCAACGGATGCTCATCAACAATCAGCTGCTGGTTCAAAGTAAGTTTGTAATCTCCACATAATCTTATTTTTCCATTTGCCTTCACTACTGGCACTACTGGTGTTGCATATTCTGAATAATCTACCTTAATTAATACCCCATCTTTTACTAAAGTGTCTATTTCCTGTTCAACTTTTTCTTTAATCGCAAAAGGTACAGGCCTAGCTCGGTAAAATATTGGTTTAGAGTCAGGTTTCAAATGTAAAGCCACTGGGTCACCTTTTATTTCACCTAAACCATTATCACGGAAAAGTTTGCTATGTTTGTCTAACAATGATTGCAATGAAAGCGAAACACTACCTGTCTCGATGCTGTGAACTGGTGCTAAACAGTCTCCAAAACTGGTCCATTTGAATGCTCGAATCCACTCCCGGCCAAGTAGTGGAAGCCTAGTACCTTCAACTACATATAGGTTTAGGTTTTCACATTTCTCTGTTCCCACTGATGCAGTGACCTTAATTAGACCTAAAACATGTAAATAATGGTTAGAATAAGTACACAATTTTACATTTGTCTTAATTAAGGTTAGTTCAGGAAACTTTTTAGTATAATCTTGTTTGCTAATAACAGATACAGCTGAGCCTGTGTCCAGCTCCATGTACAAATTAACTTTACCAAAGTTTACTGATACCAAAAATTTACTACTATCATTATCTTTTGCAGTGTTAGTAATTAAACAATTATTCACTACATATTTTATCTCTGATTCACTCACAAACTGAACAACATCTTGCTCCGACTCTTCAACATCCACCAAATTAACCTTTTGGCTATTTTTTAACTTAAGGCACATCTTCTTAATATGGCCAATTCTGTGGCAGTAGTTACAAGATGCATTTATCCACGTACACTTGCTTGCACTGTGATCCCCTCCACAGCGATAACATGGTTTCGGAGGAGCACTGTGCACCGAGCTATTTTTAGCCTGTAAATTGTGTGTAACTGGCTGCCGTCTCTTCATGTTCATTTGAACTATGTTCACTTCTCTAGTTTTACAACTCTCCACCTGACTCACCTCCATTCCTATTGCAATGTCAAACGCTGTTTGTAAATTTAAATTTCTTGTCTCTAGTAACCTGTCCTTGATCTTCTGCGAAGTAAGGCCACAAACAAGCTGATTTCTTAAAGCGGTTTCCAAGAAAGATCCGAAATTGCAGCCAGCCGCCATTCTCCTAAGCACTGCCATATATTCTTTTATTGTCTCACCTTCTTGCTGACCCCTGTGATGGAAAGCGAAATATTCTGCAATCTCCAACGGAACTGGATCAATGTAGTTTGTCAACGATGCGATATTTTCTTCATATGTCCTGGTTTCAGGCTGTGATGGTGAGACCAAATCGCACAAGGTGTCATACAATTCTGATCCTATGTAATGCAAGAAATACGAATTTTTTTTATGCGGTTTTATTTTATAGAGGTTAAACGCTCCTTCCAGACGCTGGACCCATCTTTTGAATTTTGATTTCGAGTCGTAAAATTCTATAAAATTTGGTGGCATCACAGCGTCGGCCTCATGCGCCATTAATGGCGGCGACAACGACATGGTTTTACACAGATCCACCACCGACTAACTAAATTTGTTGCCCACACTTTTTCTCGTCGCCAGTGTTGTAGAACGGTTTTCTTGTGGGTTCTGGGCAACAACAAACACCATTAATATCTTTTACCAGTATTTTATTATTAGGATATTGTAGTGATTCGGCGCGCGGATTTTACAATGTAGTCTGACATCTGTCAGTCCGGACGAAAGCGACCGGATCCGGATACAGATAACATAAGATTATAACATTAATTCATCACCACACGGATCATTTATGTATAGTACGGTAATGTAAGTATAGTAGGTACCTACAGTTACCACCAAGACTAAGTACTTACATACCTGTTCTCTATCTGGTATAACATTAGCTTACAACCAAATACATTAACCATCATTAGTAATGTACCGAAGTGTGGTATCTTTACTATCAAGTATCTAGAATATCATTAGCTGATCATCAATCATCATCAACAGCCTTTACTAGTCCACTGCTGGATGTAGGCCTCTCCTTAGAAAGGACGTTTTGGCCTACTATACCACGCTGGCCAGACGGGTTGGTATAGGGTTTGTGTCAAGTTTTCCTTCTCTCTGCAGTGATGTTGTCCTGTGTAGTTTGCTCCCTTAGTCGGCTCGTACTACACCCACGGGATGAATAGGGGTGGTGACACTCTGTATTCTTAATCCGTCACCACACGGTCATTAGCTGATCACCAAACATAAAGTAAGGTGGGTGGACCATGGAAGGCCACGCTCCTTTGAAGGCCAACTATTAAAAAGTCGTAGTTATTGACATGTAAAGACATATTCCTTCTACTACACACTACAATCCATCAAACTGAAGGCCACAGACGTGGCTGCGAGTCGCTCGCGCCGCTATTGTGGCAGTGTGATCTCACACTTCGTAGACTTCGGTCGTCGACGTTACAATTGTTATTCGCGCGCACAGCAAAACGTAAGTTTTTAGTTAAATAACCTATTGTTTCCTTATATTTTTTACGGTGAATTGTCCTGTAGGGATATTTTTATGGAACTCAAGAAAAAAAAAAAGAAATTGCCTCGATTTAAGTAAAAATATTGGGAGTGTTCCTAGGAAAGCCTTATAAGGCCAATCAAATTTTGACGGTTGGCCTTGCTAGGGAACATGGGCCTTACATCTATAAACCATGAACATATGAACACTTATTATGTAGTTATAAATACGTACCGTTAAAGTTAAAACAATGTTTTATATTTATAATATATTTTTTTAAGGGTTTTCTAACTTTTAAACTCAGATTGAATAGACATTTTTTTCAAAATTATTTTATTTTCAGTATATATTTAAATTTATTTTATGTCTATGAAGAGGTTATGTCTGGAAATAAACTAAACTAATTTACATGAAAAGCAACGAATATAAAAAATATTTGCTTGTTAAAAGCGGTAAAGTAAGTATGAGATAAGTTAAAAATTGTAAATCTAAAACTATAATTAAAGCAAAAAAAAAATATATCAATAAGTTGATAATTGAACATATGATTAAAATTTATACGTATTATTTCAGATTTCGAGAATGTCACAGTCAAAACCTTGAAAAAGAGGTAGTAAATGGAACGAAGATAGTTTAAGACGAGCCATGGAAGCAGTACAAAATAATGAACTAAATACAAATGCTGCAGCGTTGAAGTTTAATATTCCAAGACACACCCTTAGAAACCATTTAGTAAGCGGTAACAGTACTAAAATAATTGGGAAGACAACTATTCTCACAAAACAATTATAATATACACTTATATACAATTAGAATATTTATCGCACCTAATCAAAGGTTTTATTATTATTATTTTCGTTTTTTAATCTTAAGAACCGTTGATTTTAAATATTCCTGATAAGTTTGTAAAAATTACAGTACGTCTGTAGTGTCTATTATTTTATTATAATTAATATAAAAAAGTCATAGATTGTTAGTTTGGCCTTCTTAGGATTATTGTGGCCTTACAAAGAACGGAGCCTTAAGAAGGCCATATAAAGTAAAAAAAAAAGTTTTTAATTTGATTATAAAACGCGTTGACAAGTTATTTTATATCAATATAATATTTATTACTACTAGTTTTAAATAATTTCCATTAATATATTCTTAGTTATACGATGGTGTTCAAGTAATGTTCATTGTGTTTTTTATAGATAATAAAAATATATTGTGCATTTAATGTTTCGCTTAAATGAAAGAGCTTATTATGTAGTTTTAGTAAAAGCGGATATATTAATTGTTACAACTCTATTTTTAAGTTGAACGACTGAATTATAATATTGGCCTTGTTTGGAGCCCTGTTCCTTGCAAGGCCATTTGGAAGAGCTTAATAAAACTTAAGTTTAATAAATAGTTATTAAAGCTAGGTAAAAAAAAAGTGATTTGTATGGTACACAATAAACCAAAGTATTCCTTAACAATTTGTTTCCTTCATTTATCCAGTAAATATACGAATAAAAAGTGTTTATTCTTTAGAGTGGCCTTCCATGGTCCACCCACCTTATTTAGGTACTTATATTGAACTTTATAAGTCTATAAGTACTGGATTTATTTAGATACTATACCTATCTGTATTAATATTATAAATCTGAAGAGTTTGTTTGTTACTTTGATTGAACGCGCTAATATGAGCAACGACTGGTTCTAATTGACAAATGACCCTTTTGAGAGACGCAGGCAAAATTGCGAGGATCAGCTAATCTAAGAATATCCGGGATATCCGACTGGCCGAGTCGGATAGTGGACGGATATCCGTTGGATCACTTGGATCTCTGACCTATATCATTGATATGTAGGGACACCCTGCCTACTAAACAACCCAAAAACACAAGTACAATGCGTAAAGCATGATGTCCCCTAGGATGGGGACTTTATATTCATTTACTAAAATGTTTTATCAATAAAAGATAACACAGCGCGGCACCTATACAATTATTTGGACAACTGATAACAATTCTTTTAACATTACGAGGCACTTTTTGTATAAATTTAATTTATTATTGCTTTGATATGTTATATTATATGAAATGAACAATAAAATATGTACCTATTATTTCTTATCAGTGTATTTATTTTAATACTTTATTATACGATAGTATGACAACAGGCAGCATCATCACATTTTGTCCTGGAGGCACCAATACTGCTGCGTACTGCACTTTTGACGACCACAGATCTAAAGACCATCTCTGATACTATTGTATAAAAAATGTTTTTTCTGTGTGTATTTTGTCTCTCACTTAACCAAATTAACATGACTGAGGAACATCCCGGGGTGACGTAGGTCACTCCCGCGCCAGGAATCTGATTTAGATACTCACCGAAGCAACCATGTCTGGTGAGCATCTGAGAATCCTACGAACTTGTTGGTCTAGCGGTTAGTTTTACTGACCGCTAAGCCATACGTCGTTGGTTCGATTCCCACTCAGGGCCAATAATTGTGAGGTTAGCACGAACATGTGTCGGGAATAATTATTACGAGTATCTTTAATATGTTGGTATTTAGAAATATATAAGTATGCTTATTAGTACCGTAGTGCAGGCTCTGCCTGGTTTGGATTAGACTGCCGTGTGTCATTGTAAGGTTATTATATTTTTTTCATTTTAGCTATTAACTTTCGAGTTGACAAACAGGACAAGAGGTTCCATCTCCGTTACAGTAAGGTAAAATATTTATCTATAATGATATAATAGTATTCCATCGCCATATTCATCTTTTGCTTAACTATGTACGTAGTGCTACTTGGCGTGTAAGGTCCTCCTTGTCTTTTTATGAATTAGATTATTAATTATTATTAAGTAACAGAAGGTGCTATACCTATTTTATAAGTAAAACAATGATTATTTAAAATTATTTTATTAAGATAGTATGCATAGACATATCTAGAAGTAGCTTAGAATGTAACAAAAAGCACTTTAAATTCCATCCACCAATGTGCATTCCTCCAGTCACTCCGCGAGTTGACAGTGTTTAAAATTGAAATTAACTATTTCATCAACAGCCTTTAATACTGCACTGCTGGAGGCCTCTCCTTAGAACTATTTAATTAAATAGATCTATTGATAGAAATAGTACAATAAGATAAAGAAAAGATAATCACTGATGATTTTATGAACCACTTGGCAGTCAGCCTTTAGTTAGCGCGAAAATAGATAATTGCTATGTGACTACAGTGCTAATTTTACACCATTAAATTTTAATAATCGTAGTCAGTTTTAAGTTAAACTGAAAGCGTTTAAAACTATTTTTTATGTGTTGTCAACTCTGGGATTACTGAGTGTAAAAGATGTCGTGAATAATTAAACCAAAGCGTCTATATTAAATCAGCAACATTCATGGGCATTTCGTCAATCTGTGTAGAGTAATATTGCTCGATGTCTCTCAGTATCCTGATGTCATCTGACTTCACAAAATTAATGGCGACACCTTTTCGCCCAAATCGACCAGATCTACCAATTCGGTGAATGTACAATTCACGATTGTTAGGCAAATCATAGTTGATTACAAGCGAAACTTGCTGTACGTCGATACCTCTCGCCCAGACATCAGTTGTTATGAGGACTCGGCTGCAACAATAAAGAAAGAAAAAAATATTAAAGGGATTTGTTAAATACACATACATTTTTATTTTTTATAACCTTCGATCAAATAAACTATAGATGCACGATGATGGCTCGAAAATCGGCTCTAACTCGACTTAGATTAAATTGGAAGTGATTGAGAGCGTTGCTAGTGTGTCATTAAACCATGCCAGATGCCAGTGTGCAGTAAAGATGCAAAAGCTACACTATAAAAGTGAACAAAAGGGTGGATAACTTAGTTATGCCATTACGAATTGTTTTTCATGGCAAAATAGCTCTTTATTTAACTATTTTCAACTGCGTAGCCCACGCACGTGCTCTCCTTACTCACGCATAGTGTCCTATAACGCGATCTGGCTTACACCACTCCATTAGAACAAGACCCTTACTAAAAGAAATGGAGTCGTCATTACTATTTTGAAATATTTTTATAATCTCATTTTTTATTTTTTTTATCAATTATTCGTGAGAAATTAAATAATTGTATTGTATCTTCTTATAATTTTATAGTAGTTCCCCTATTATTAGATGATTTTTGCGCACTGGAGGATGTACCAAAGAAAAAAATGAGCATTTCAATTTCAAAACAATATAGGCTTGCCTATTTTTTCATACATTTTAAGAAACGATGCCAGATACACAAACGAATTTTAATCATAAGGTTACGTTGATGAAAATTATAATTGAAAAATACATAGACATACAACTTCACTACATAGCAAAATTTAAAACTGCTAAAAGAAAAGGTGTTAAAAAAGGTCAAATGTGAGAGACAATTTTTTTTTCTGTGCGGAGATCCCCTCGGATGCTACTTACCGGCGGCAATGTCGGACTCGAGCCGAGCGGCCCTAGCACCGACCCCTTCGGAACACCGCAAAAGACTACCCTGTCTTTCATGGGTACGAGAAAGACTCGCGCTTAACCGATTTTAATAATTTGTTGTTATAGTGGCAATCGAAATATACAATCTATGAAAATTTCACTTCTCTACCTACTCGTATGACGGTTGCCTAAATACGAACTGCATTTATTTTATTTTTACTGTATTTCGCGAACGGCGACAGACGGACGTACGAACAGCTGAGTCTCAGTAATTGGGTTCCGTTAGCACTCTATATTATTAAGAAATATATTTCTATACATGTCGACTCCACAAGCTTCATATAACCTTAGCATGGAATACGTACCAAGCTACGTACCGAGGGACGTGACAACGACGCTGTACAAATTTTTATTTGTACAGCGTCGTTGTTTAGAGCAATTATTACGTTACGTAGCAATTATACATCTTTCTACGTGAATATTCATTGTATACACTTGTTTATTTTCTAGATAGCATTCTAAAAACATACATGTATAAGTATATAATACATTTGAGTGACAAAAACAACAATTTGGCGTTGGGTTTATATAAGAGTGTGCATCTGTTGTTTATTTGATCGAAGTAAATAACGTTATTTAAAAAAATGCCTTCTTTTAGATTTTAGACTTTATAATAAAAAAAAAAATTAAGAATGAATAACTTTTCCATTTCCCCATCTTACATATAGACAAGCTTGGCCTGTTATAAATTTTATAAAAAGAAAGCTCCTATTATAATAACAATTGCAGTAAAACATATGTTTATTTACGTTAGTGGACTCAGATTTGAGGTAAAGGTACATGCATGCGAACTAGGCATGTAGCTGCTATTGGTTACAATCCTTGAGTTGAGTTGAATGAGATTTTTCTTCCATTCTCCTCTATCACGTTTCAGTTTACTGCTTACTCCCATTCTAGTCATATCTTCTTTTACGCAGTCTATCTAACTTTTCTTTAGTCGTCCTTTACTCTTACATCCATCGACTTCCATACATAAACTTTCTCCACTATATTTTGCTCATCTCTTTGCATCACGTCTCCCTTCAATGATAGCCTGATGTTCCTCAACTTTTTACCCGTTTTTTTTTACTTTTTGCGCTGACGTGGCGCTTCTGAAAGTAGCGCCACGGCTTTCTGTTATGTTTCATTCAATCCTCACCTTGTCCATCCTAGTTCCACACATCCATCTTAACTTCCAATTGCAGCTACATGAAGTCGTCTCTCCTCCGTTCACTTCGTTGTTCATATTAGTACGCTTTTGCCTATCCCTATGACGCGGTGACGGCTGTATCCCTTCGGTGGATCAGGCGTCACCAGATGATGAGTAACTATCTAGGTGTTGAACCTATTTATTCTACTATCTGTGTATTTCTTATGACAATTATAATTAATGGGCAACCTTAACCAAAAAAGTGCTTTATAAAATACGCGGCGTGTACTACGCTAAAAAAGAAATATATTTTGTTTATTTGTTGAAAAAAAAAAGGAAATTTCGTTTTTTTTTTTGTGCCTAATGCATTGCTTTAGTGCCTTTCTCCTAATGTAACCGGTTTTTAGCACATCCGTTAAATGGTTCAAACAATTTTTGTGTTTTATATACAAGATTGAAAAATGGACAAGTAATTATATTGGATTAATATTATAGTAATGTTTAATGTGCAATCTCTAACATGAATGTTTGTAATTCTGAGATATATGCACAATTATTTGTATAGATCAAAAATACCATGGTTTCTTAGCAAATTGAGACAATTTTGATACATAAGCTAATAAAAACCTTACCTTTGACCAGATCTGAACTCTTTCATGATGTTATCTCTCTCTTTTTGTGGCATATCACCATGCATAGAGCTGACTGTGAAGTTTGCTTCCTGCATTTTTTGTGTGAGCCAGTCCACCTTTCTCTTCGTATTGCAGAAGATGACTGCTTGAGTTATTGTCAATGTATCATAGAGATCACACAGAGTGTCGAATTTCCACTCTTCACGCTCAACCGCTACAAAGAACTGCTTGATGCCTTCAAGTGTCAATTCATCACTAGAAGTAAACAGAGACTGTTTTTAGTACAAAAATTACTTAGGCAGATACCATATTCAATTCACAACACTAATTCCCCTAATTTAAACTCAGTATGCAAAGGTTCGATTTCATGTATGCTTCAGGCAGATTAAATGATAAGCAAAGTTGATTCAGGTGAGTTCCATAAATAAAAAATTGGAACCTGTTTGGAAGCGCAAAGAGCGTCATTTACAAGATATTCGAGTTTAATTTACAAGATAGTTTATAAGATATAGATAGAAGTTGGATTACTCATTTTTTGAAAATGTTATTGGGGTGATAATATACTAGTTGCAGTTATTGTATGTTATAACATTGTTCACTAGAAAATTGTTTTTATCAACAGCCTTTAATAGTCCCCTGCTGTGGCCTAGGCCTCTCTTTAGAAGGGTTTCGGCCTACTGTTGGTTGGAATAGGGTTTGTGTCAAGTTTTTCTTCTCTTTGCAGTTCTGTTGTCCTGCATAGATTGCTCCCTTAGTCTTACGACACCTACAGGATGAATAGGGGTGGCGACATTCCTTATTCTTAAGTGTTTTACTGCAAAATATTACTATGTGGCTTAAATATCAGAATGTTGGTTGGATTCTTTTAGCTTAATAGGATCTAATTATGAAAATATTATCAGTTTGTTTTATACAATATGTGCTTTAAGGATGTTTTTACCAATATAAGGCATATGCAAAACAAAAGAGCATAATTTGGCCTCCTAGAAACTAAGATTTTTCACATTTGTTTCTTTATTAACAATGAGACCTTTATGTCAAAATGCTACTACCAATGATCAAGTTCTGAAGAAAAATAAATGAACATTGAATAAAGATATCACAAAAATGTATCTCTTTCTCTATCTACTTACCGTTTAACCAAAATCCTAATGGGATCAGTCATAAACTTGGAAGTCATTTCCAGAATTTCATGGGGCAGTGTTGCAGAAATGAGCACAACTTGTGTCGCAGGTGGTAAGTATCGGTAAACATCGTAGATCTGCTCCTTGAACCCTTTGTTCAACATTTCATCAGCTTCATCCAGGACTAGCATTTTAATAGATCTTGTCCTCAGCACACGCCTTCTTATCATGTCTGAAAATTACATGTGGCACTGTTAATTCTCTACAAACAATCTGAGTGGTCAGAACTAAGGAACAGAAAGAACTATTTGAATGTCATTCTGAATTAAATTTTAAGCAAGATATTTACATTTAATTTTCTAAAACATGAATAATTGTGCCAATCAATTAAAAAAAAAACTGTTGGACAGGTTACAGGTTACAAGATAGATATCTTGTACGGTGGTAGATCTTGATCTTGTCACAATTATCAACTTCCTGCCCAACTTAACATTTCAGGGATAATCCCCATAACTATTCTCACCTAGTCCCAGCCCCACATACCAGCCAGTTTTCTATGATTTTAAATTTAAGTATAAATGTGGACAACTTGCAATTTCATAATGAAAAGACAAAGGGATTTTTTTCAAGTGACTTGTAACTGAGTTACCAACCAGAGTTGCAGATGTTCATGGAGGTAGTCGCTTTCCATCAGGTTCAGGTCAAAAAATAAAATCTATGGAACTCAGATTTCATCTTTGTGTCAAGATAAAAATCAGAGAGTTGTAAATAACATGAAATAGTAGGTAATATTAATTGGTATCACTCAGATTCATGGAAACATCTGCTAATATATATCCCATTGAAATTTCCATGAACATATTATTAAAATGTGTAACGAGGCGAGTAGAAATCTAGGTTTCATAATTAGAGCATCATATCAATGTAAAAATGTTAAGTGATAATACAATTGTACAATGCCTACATGAGGAGTAAGTTAGAGTTTAAGGCCTTAGTATGGACAAACCTTGTATACATGATGATGGTAAAAAGATATTTGTACAAACACATGTATGGGTACTACATATTACTTTAACCATCAACATTTGTGTCGGGCATGGTTGGTCTAAATACCCTACAGTTTAGGCGAGAACTTAAGCATATCACACATTATTATTTTTTGATAACTGACAAATTAGATAACCCTGCAGTACGTGAGACCATATATTTCTATGTACCGGACCAATACAAGAGAGGCATTGGTGTGCAACAGCATAGACTTTTGTGCTATCCGCCGTTGTGGCGCTTCCCACACGCTGATAACTGCCTACTTCCAAAGTCATCAGAGTATTAAACTGTTTCCTAGAGGCCACCAGCAGATATATTTTTTAACAAACCTAACGTAATGTATAGCAATGTATTACTCTTCCTAAATAATATAGTAAATTAAGGTACAGATATAGGTACTTAAGTTTTATCTAAGTGATATTCGAAGATCTCATTATAAAATTGTTGTTTGTAATTTTTGCATTGTAATTAGTAATGTTTTATTGTGAATGTTAAAATTTTATTATTATTGATTTTATGACTGTATTTTATTTTGTATATTTAGTATAGATATAAGCGATTTGGTTGTATATACTGTAAGCTTATATTTGATGAATAAATGAATATTTATACACATAGAAATCAGGTAGCCAGTGGGGTACAAAATATTGAAATGCAAAGTAAACACATCAACAAATAAATATTTTTAGATTTAATTTAATTAATTTTAAACAAGCAACAATCACAATGTCATGTTAAATTATCTAATACCCTCCCAAGTCATTAACAATATAGTCTAAACAAAATATATTTTAATATTTTGTTGTAGTTCATCATTAGGACCTCATAAATAAACAGAAATTTCAAAGTTAAATTTAAATATTGCTACATAGTAAAATCAATCAATATATTTTTATCAAAATTCTATTTCATTCATTCAATAAAGAATAAATTAAATATAAACAGAAATGGTCAAAAACTTGAGACAGGACTAAAACAACAGATATACCATAAGTGGACATTTTCCTTTATAAGACAATCATAAGAAAAGAAAATGGCAAGAAAACTATAACACCATGTAGGTGATGAACCAAGTAATACCCATCTTATAGTAAATTTTGGGTTATTGTTCTACAATGTCTTTATACAGTAATTTCATACATCAATCAAAACTCAAAGTAAAAAAGAACTTACCAAAAACTCTGCCTGGGGTACCGGAAACGACATGTTGACCATAATCAAGCTTCCGAATATCTTCACCAAGATTTGTGCCACCAATACAAGCATGACATTGCACATTCATGAAATCGCCCAAGGCAAGGATAACTTTCTGTATTTGTGTGGCTAATTCGCGTGTTGGTGACAGTATAAGCACTTGAGTTTCACGTAATGTGGTATCCAGAGATTGTAAAATAGATATTGAAAATGTTGCTGTTTTACCAGTACCCGACTGCGCTTGAGCTATCACGTCTCTACCTTTTACAATAGGTAATATACTTCTTTGTTGGATCGCAGATGGCTTTTCGAAACCTGAAAAAATGTGAAAGTTAGCGATGACCGCCAGGCGCCACAGTAAAGCGAACAAATGTGAGATGTCTTTTGAGTGTATAATATTGTCAAATAACGTACCGTAGGTATATATCCCTCGTAATAATTCATCCCGCAATCCCATAGAATCAAAAGTAGGGATAACTTCCACATCTTCGCTCGTATCAAATTCAACATTTGATAAATCTTCAGATATAATTTTGCGATTATACGACACTTCCGACGCAGTCATTATATTGCAATTTTTCTTTTGAGTTTTCGAATATGAAATTTACTACAAATTAAATTAACACACACGTAGCAGTACTTCTTCTCTTGTGAATACAATATACAACGCACAACGAGGTTGCGAGATGGTGGTGGTAGGGATGTTAAAAAATAATCAATTTTTTTGAAATCGATTATTATTTTCTTACAATCGATTTTTTATTCTCGATTTTTATAGTAATGTTAATCGATTTTTAGTAAATCGATTATATAAATTACGTGTTTAAATCGATTTTCAGAAACAGCTCGCATCTATGCGACGAATTAAAAAATCTTGCAGCATGTTTCAATTTTAAAAACAGCGCCATCTATGCGTTGGATCAAAAATCTCTGCTCCGTCCGAAAGATTATTTTCCAAAGCGGGAAATGTGGTCAAGAAAACACGAAACCGTATTTTAGGAAAGAGACTATCAAAATTATTGTTTTTAAACTGCTTACTTACCTGAAAATTTATGTTAATAATTATTTTAAATTTTATTATTGTTTAATCCTAGTCAAATGTAAAATAGGACTGCACATTTGTGGAAATAATTATTTTTAATTTTATTATTGTTTAAACTTGCAGATTAACGAAAGATTGTTTTTTATTTTAGTTTTAGAGACCATAACGAAGTTGTTCAGGATTGATAATGATCCTTTTAAGTATTTTATTTTAATACTAGTCAAATAGGACTGCATGGACATTTGTGACAATAATTATTATTTAAACTTAAAGATTAACGAATGATTTGTAATTTAGTTTAGTTTTTGAGACTATAGAGTAACCAAAGCCAAAAAATTCCTTTCTAAGGAGAGGCCTACGTCCAGCAGTGGACTATCAAAGACTGTTGACGAAGAGTAGTCGTTTAGTTTTTTAATTCTCATTTTAAGTGTTTTATTTTAAAACTAGTCAAATAAAAAATTCTCATCATTTCATTTTTATTATAATAAATAAAACGTTTCATAGTACTAAAATGAGTATTAATAATGCTATTTAGTTTCCTAATTCCCTACTTTGAAATTTTTGGAATAGGTTATTTTTTTATTCATATAATTTTATTTTTAATCTGATAAATAGTTATTATGAATCTCTTAGGTTTATTATTGGAATATGGAAAGCATATACTTTTAAATAATACAAAAAAATCGATTATTTATTTTTATTAAAATCGATTTTTGGCAAATCAATTAATTTTTAATATAGAAAAATCGATTTTTATTTAATCGATTCTTTTCCATTAATCTCACATCCCTAGGTGGTGGTACTTACTTTTTCATAAATAACAATTTGGCAGGCAAGTAAGAAAATCAAAGCGTCAATTGGTATTTCTATCACGTTCTAATGTTCTATGACAGAAAGAGAAAAACATAATGAGAACAGTAAAAATAATTAAACTACCAAAATGGCAGTTTGTTTCTTTACAGATAATAAAAACCGAGAACAAAACGCTGTGATGTCTTATTTGTGTTATTTACCCAATGTTAAGAAGGCAAAATTGTAAATGAAAAGAAATTAACATGAAGTATATCCTTGTATTCCTTTTTTGGAAAGCTCGACAGACCGGACTACCGGTGGCGTTGGGATGCTTATGTCGGATTCGATCCGACTAAAAATCACATACCTTCTTGTGTACCAGTAGCCGGAGAATAATGTATACCCTAGAAAGGAAATGCCCGGTACGCGGACGACCCCGGAACGTCTACGGTTTACAAATGGCCCCGTCGTGTTTTTGAAAAGCACGGTGTATCTTTTCTTCGACACACCCTCACCTCGGCCTGCTTCTGCTAGGGTAACTGATGGGCTCACCTAGCCTTCACCCACAGGCTTACGCTTATGGAGGACCTGAGCCGCCTTGCAGTACTTAACCATGCCCGGGCCCATCGGACCGGGAAAGCAGTTTAACCATAAATTTACCACTGGTAAATTTATAGTTAAACTGCTTTTTTTGGTAAATTACCAGTACAGAAGTAGAACAAATATATGGCACAAATTTAGAGTCGTGTAGTTGAAATGGCTTTTTAAAAAGAACACCGTTTCTACTTATGATTGCCTAGAATGCTAGGTGAGCCAAAATGCCTTCTGAAGAGGCAAAGTCTCTTAAATATTTCGGTTTTACTCACGTGTGTATTTTGGGGATGCCAGAAACCGTCACGACAATAACGACAATGTTTCTATTCTAACTCGCAATACATACTTTACAGAATTGCAAGATTAACGGTTGAAGAAACGCATGGACCTTTGTTCATTGAGGTGTAGATGTTACGATGATCGGAAAGGGTAGAGTTTGAAATTAACATATTCTCATAGCTTTAGGATAGCTCCTGTGTCTGGGAAACATAGAGAGAATCCTAAAGTGATTTGGTACAACATCCAAAAAGCACAGAGAAAGCTCTGTGCTTTTGGATGACATGCTTGTCATAGGGACAAAAATGACCTCTTTCTATCGGATCTAAGTTTAATTACGGCAGAGCTTGAATTTTACCCAATTTTACATTCACATATCCTTGTCTATGTTTTGTAAATTAAATGTACACTTTATAAGAGTAGATCGCTGTGATATCACAATTATTAAAGTTCCACAGTTTTGAAGGAATAACTAAACGTGTTTACAACGCATTCGGACGACCATTCGGATTTCAAGTTTATTTGTGGTCAAAAGAACGATCATATTTGATTTTGAACGAATCAAAATGGATGCTGGGTGTGAATGAACTAAGTACTGAAAAACGAACAGCTTTTTATTGAGTTGTGTCGTGGTCCCGATTATTATCGGGAATCCGGCGTCGCGATTAAGTTTTGCCATTATTTATGCAGTGAGAAACGTAAAGTGCAATCGAATCTAAGATCGAGCGTAATATCGTTCAATTGAGAAGTTACTGTGTCGGTAATGTGTTTATACGAAAGATTCGGTGGGGCTCACAATCCGCAGGTGGCATTAGGATGAGGACTCTGACGGATATATTGTATGTCAATCTGAATTCGCGAGTGTTTAATGCATTGCCGTTACCTTGTGTCGGCACGTCATGGCGAGACGGTTCGAACTAAAGTGTCGCTCGTGTGATGTATGAGCGGTCAGAAATGAAATGCATATACAGGAAGGAACAAACACAACTCTGACAACATGTACCAAAATGACAGAGGAAGTAGACAGAAGACATGGCGTAAATGGTAACAGCAGTAGTAAAGGCGCAAGTGAAGATGCTCCTGTGAATAGTTCTGCTCTCACTGCTACTGGTGGGAGACTTAAATTCTTCAAAGGTGGGTGTTACTGCGCATTGGGAAGGCTTAGGAAGAAGTTGTTGATATATAAATAAATATTGTACATGAGCCAGATAGTGTGTTGAGAAAAGCTAGAAAGTCATTCATGCTCTGATAAACCTGTATAAGAACATTTGAATGAGCCGTTGGTAATGGTATGAGCACAGCTTCTGTGCTATTGTTGTGTTTCGTAAGGAGTCAGAGGCACCCTTGCGGAAACAAACAACTATTTGATAATGTATTGCTGACTTTTATTTATTTTGAACTGAGGAGCATATGTGATATATATATAGCAGTATTGGTTTATTGACATGCAAAACTATATATATGCACACAGATGTCAAGGAAAGTTGAATATTATATTCCAATCAGTTTGCTCTTACTGATGGTAGTTTATTATCTTATAGTTAAGTTTATCATGAACTGTTAAACACCAATTTAATTTAGTTTTGCTGTATTTTTATTCTAAATTATTGTGTTAGTTGGAACTCATTTCACTTGATACAATCAGGTGAATGTTTCTCAGTCAAGTGAAACAGGTCTTATCACATGTAAATAAATATTAGTTCACTAAGTATATTGACATATTTTGGCCAAATAATGCTTCAAATTAATAAAAGAATAGATTAAACACGTCAATATTTATCACTTAGCTGTGTACTTACCGAATTTCTTTATTATGTGTACAGTCCACATCATAATGATTATAATATTATGATATTGCCATAACTAATTCACTTTGTTCCTAATTAAACTCTTTTGATATTAAAAGTAAAAATTAAGTTCAATATTTTATTAAAAGTCTTAAGAGTTGAAAAGTATACATGTCAGTTGTGACAGTAATGATAATAATTTATACATTTTTATGTGATGATCAAGCATTTTTCTGCTAAAGATAAATTATAACAAAAGATAAAATAACAAAAGTTTCTAATTGTAAACAAGAAAAGAATAATAAAATGTTGCATTTATTTTGTCAATCAGAAGTGAAAGTGGTAACTATGTGATTTTAAGCTAAAAAGGATTACAATTGCCTATTGCACATATTATATTTATTACTTAATTGAAACCATAAAATGGGTCAGCAATACTGCTACTGACTATGAATCTTATGTCTTTGTTTTATCATTATCATAATACCTCATTATATTATATAGATATCATAAGTAGCATGACATACAATGATTATGATACTTTTTATCAATGGCCAATATGAAATTGGAATTAATTAGTAATTATCATAATTTTCAAATCACCTACTAGATGTAATTTGACATATTTAATAGTTTTCTAGTAGGATGTAAATGAGGTGGCAGCACTTTAGCATGAGTTTGAATCATCTAATAAAATATATGATGATTTTCTAGTTAATGCATTTTTGTTTGGTATGTATATTATGTTTAAGTTAACATTCAGAATTCAACTTCAATTTATCAAGTGCGAACCATTTCTAGTACACGCATAAACACAAGTGACATTCTCCAACAAGCTGTTTTAAAAAAAGTCCAGTACCAAGTAAATTTCCAGTTTTAATCAAAGTTGTTTTACAAAAATATAAAAATAAATAATGAAAGAAGTCAAAGCAAATCAAGAAAATATGGCCAACATAAATTTTGTTTCAATAGTTTTTAATAATTTCCCTTTGGTACCAGTGCTTTTTGATAATTTGCTTTTTGTCTCAATCTTTAGGAGGAATAAAATTTAGGATGCTGCTAGGTGCAATAATAATAATGTTTAATTAGGGTTGAAAAATACTTTTAGAATATGAAATATAAAATGCTATAATATATTTGCATATTTATATTTACATCACATCACACATTAAACCTCCTTTCTGAGGAGAGTCCTATGTCCTGCAGTGGATAGGCTGTTGATGTGATGTGAAATAAAAATTTATCAGTAATTTTACAAGCCCTACATCTTAAAATGTCTTTTTCTATGCCAACATGGTGGGAAACAAAACATACGCCTACCTGACGGTAATTATATCACACTTACATTAATATTTCCAAACTGTAGACACCTGCTATTTCAACAGTTGAAGACTTCTGAAACTGTACAATGCATAACCATTTAGGTTCTTAGGTGTAAGTTGTAGGGAGCAATCAGTGGTCCAATACAGCCATAAGCAATGTGTCAAACAGTTAGTTAAAGTAATCTACAGTTTAGGCTTAGGTTAAATGTATTTTGAAGCCATTTTAAAACACTGATTATAAATACCTCATTGATTGAAATATTAATACCAATATTTAATACATAATTATTCAAATTACAAATAATTTAAAAATCACTAACCCCTTTTTACAATCAACATAATATGTTTGGTCATATTATGATCTAATACTAAAATAGTAGTCCAATATTAGATGTATCTCAAGGATATTGTGCATGATATGAGATTTACCAACAGTTTGGCATAGTTTTAGTTACAGATATTAGTTTCTCAATGAATTGTGAAAGAAAAATATATAAAGCAAATGATTTACATGCTTATTTTGTAGAACTTCATTATCATTCAGTCATTATTTTTATGCGTAATTTGCTTTAAAACATGATCATATAATCAATATTTATCCAATCTTTATTTGAAATTATTCAACTTCATATTGCTAAGCCTTCGAAATGACGTTTACGCTGGCACCTGAAACTGTTATGTGATGATGTCTTTCCTGTAGTCTGGACCGTGAGGCGACGAATTAAGAATACGGAGTATCACCACCCCTATTCTAAGGGAGCAAGCTTTGCAACACAACAGCACTGCAAAGAGAAAGAAAATTTGATAGAAACCCTATACCAATGCGTCTGGCCAGCATGCTATAGAAGGCCAAAACCTCCTTTTTAAGGAGAGGTTAGTTTTCAGCAGTGGATTAGTAAAGGCTGTTGATAATAATGATGATCTGAAACTTTTTAAAACAGCTCTCAACTCCTTTTCAAAATCTGATTCATCTTAGAATAAATAAGCAAGACCTAACAATATCTTTTGTTACTCATTGAAGCTTGATGTAATTGTGTATTATCCAAACCCCCTGAATGTTCCAAGATGTTTGATGATGTTCTTTGAATAATTATAAAAATGTTGATGCATTATTTGTTTATAGAATAGAATAGTTTTAATATTAAGACTGAAATTACTATTGTTGCACTTGCAGATGGAAAGTTTATTCTGGAGCTCGTGCGCGGGTGTGGCGGGAACGGTGAGCGTGCGGGCTGGGTGTCGGTGCAACGAAAGACCTTCTGGCCACCAGCCGCGGCGCCTCCTACGCCGCCCAGCGCGGCGCATCCGCCCTCCGCCTCACTGTCGGTCTCCGATGATAATAGCTCCGTGCAGTCATCGCCCTGGCAGCGTGACCACTGCTGGAAGCAAACCGCTCCGCGCAGAAATATTTCCAAAGAGTTAGCCATGTACTATTGCAGACCGAGTACTCTGCACATCGCCTCTATAGAGGCGGCCAGCCGACTCAAAAGGAGGAGGCCGTACGATACTAGCCACCTGGATGGTTTAGTGAATGGTAACATTTCCAGGAAAACAATGACAAATGGAGTCTGCGATAAGAAAAACGGTGACGTCGCGTCACCAGAAAACAAAAGCAGTAGGGGTGAGGACACAGTCGATGGCGTCACGTCGAAAACGAAAACGAATTCGGATGACGATCGATGGACAGAATTCGATAGAGAAAAGTACTATCACATGAAGCTAAAGAAACCGTATCAGTATCGTAAATTAAGAGTGTATAAAAAGACGAGACCGGCAATAAGGCGTAAGGACTTGATCAAAACTATAAATAAGCTCCGTGAGAAGATTTCATCGCTTCCGATGCCTGTGAACGCAAAGCTAGCTAATTGCAGGCAAGAACACATGATGGTCTCACCCAGGAAACGCATTCTTAGAGAACTAGAGCGAGTGAGTCTTGAGGATCAGGGGATGAAGAGACGTGCAAAAACAGTACCTGCGCTGAGCACGGCATCGTACCCGCCATCCCCGGGCCCCAGTCACACTGCTCACAAACCTGTCATCGAAACGCCTGTCCGCACTCATAACGGTACTGCACCGCGAAAGGAGACAGCCGTTTCCAAGAATGTCAGCAGTTACAGCATACACTCTTTACTAAGCATGCCTGACGAGAGTCCGACGCGAAAATCGCCGGAAGCTAAGCGATCACCGCACTCACATCCGGCTTCGCTAAAGACTGAGTCACCTTCGAGCATAAATTCGCCAGACCTGAGTCCCAGTCCAGACAATTACCGCTATCGGTACTCCACGTTGATGGGCTCACCTGGGCAGGGGGCTGTAGCGCGAGATTCGCCAACGCCACCATTAGAGTTAGCGCGGTACCGGCCGCCGTATCCGCCGCCCACGTCACCGTATGGGGTGCGAGGTTGGTCGGTTGGTGGAGGCGCCCAGTACCGTGGATCTCCGGGCCGCGAGGAGTGGGCACGTGAAGTACCTTATGTGTACCCATACCCTTACATGGCACCGTTGTATCGAGCTCCACCTCCACTCTGGATGCACTACCCGATGTCGACTGGTGTTCCCCCCGGCCCTTGGGCGCCACTAGCAATGCCTCTTGCTAACGACCACATACCTAAGGAAGAACCCACTTCAGGTGAGTTTTCACAGTCACAATTTATAAGTTTTACATTGGGCATTTAACTAGTCCCAAACGTATCTATATGTACATATAAATACTTAAATAAATATGATACATGATTTTGTCACTATCAAACAAAAAAATAACCAAGTATAATATTAAAATATTTAATAAAACTGCAAGGTGTTCTTGTGAACATCTAAAAGCTGTTGAAAATGATTCTAACACTAACTTTATATGTTTCCAGATTTGCCGCTTAACTTGTCGAAGCACTAAGCGGGACAACGGCGCTGGCGCAAGTCTGACATGTGAAGCTGAACACACAAACAAACATTGTTTTAAATAAATCCGGTCAATTCCATTTCGTCGTGCCTGTGTCTCACAATGTCGGTTGATCCCTAAAAATGTAAATGCGATATAAGACTTTCAATTAAGATGTAGTAATTAAGAGAAAAATGAAATGCCCATGGCCTATTAATGTAAAATATAATAAATATATACGGAACAAACAAGTTCGAACAGTAAACTTGTGGTATCACGTCGTCAATACAATTGTTCTAAGAACATTCCATTGTCACAGCAAACGATTGGCGAGTGTAAAAGTCCAAAAATAAGAAGATCCCACCTAATTCAGCGCTGTTGCGATTATTTTATATTGTAACTATAGCAAATATCTTTTGCAAACTTGCAGAAATATTTTTGTATAGATTGTCGTTTTCCTACTAATAAACAGTCCGATTGAGGATCTATTTACAAGCTATTGTATATTACACTGAAATATTATATTTTAGTATAGATGTATGTATGCAGAGTCATGTGTGTATTTTCATACGAAATATTTGTACTACGAGTTAAATATTTTAATATTGGCTATTATTTAGGGTAAGATACGAAGATGATCTAAATAAACAAAATACAGTTATCAATTGTTGAATGACGTGCCTTGAAACAAATAGAGATATATGATCATATTTATGAACGAAAAGTATTACGAGCAGTTTCGGCTTGGTCCAAATTCTACAACACACCACAACACATAGTTACTGCTATATTCAAATAAAGTTTTATACAATATATAATATTTCTAAATGTTAATTCTGTTCCTTATTCTTTTGCAAAATTCCATAATGTTTATGTTCGATCTCATTATTTAATTTAGAAAATAAAATGAGGTAAAGACTACAGTTTTGGGAACAAATTTGGATGTGTGTTTATGTAACATGTATAAAAAATAAGATACATTGTATATAATTTGTGAATGGTGTATTATTGATGGAATGTAGGGCGTAGATTATATCAGAACATTAATCGTTTACGACTTATCAGTAAGGAGTTTATTACCTTCAAATAATTATTGTAATTGTACAGTATTTTTATAACGAGTATTTTATTATGTTTATGCTAATGACGGGAGTCTGTCTTGTAGAGGGGGTGTTCGGTGGAGGCGGCTCGTCTCGCGCAGGCTTTGAGATTAAAACGTAGAGCTAGATTTACTGCAATTTTAGTTGAAGTATGGGGGTTATGTAATATAAGAACAGTTAAATGACGGTAAGGGACTGACTTCTGATGTAATATTATCATTAATGGAACTGTATAAAATAGTTATATAATCGAAGGCCTACTGTAATGATCGTGTTGTCCTCCAACTAAGTTGACTTAGTGTAAATGTAGCTGTAATACATCCTGCTCAATTTAACTCTTGAGTAAATTTAGGGAACAACTTTATTACAATGTTGTAGTCTAGGGAGGGAGAGAGGTGTATTTTTTTAAACATGTGCGTGTTTTAGACACTTCGAGTACATGCATTTCACTTTTCGTATATTCTAAACACTGCAATTAATCTGTTGTGAATTGCATGTACTAGCAAAAGTGACTTTTAGTTTATGAAAGCAACGTTTATTCAACGAAACTTTTAATTTTTCAAAAAAAAAAGAACGTTTTGACATTTGCAATCTAAAGCCTAAACTTGTAAAATATAAAATACGTCAGTTTCGACATAGATAAATTTGGCTTGTCAAAAATTAAAGATTATTAGGTAGAATTGTGGTGTATTGTTACAACTTAAATTGTATGTTTCGAATATAAATGTCGGTGGTAATACAACAACAGTTGTTTACCGCCGTTAGCTACTAGGAACGCAAGAACAATCAAGTACATTTGAGTGCCATTTGACAATTCGACAACACCATTGAGGACTCTCACTTTTGTGGCACATGTTGGAACTGTTGCCGGCTTTATTTTTTTGCTATTTTATATAATAACAATTAAATCTCGAAAGTATAAACATAAACAATAATAAGAGATAATAATAAAATAGGGATACTTCTCATTAGTGTTGTCGGTTACAAACTTTTATTTAAGTATAATTATGTATGAGTATATAAAAATACAAACTTCTCTCCAAGCTACTACAACATTGGTTTACTGCTGTTTTTAAAATGCTAAAATATTTTTCTATGTGACGATATAACAACACACACTTGAAGTATGTGATGCTTTCAAAATAAGTTAGACACAATAATGAAGGTGTCTTAAATCCCCCTAAAATCATATTTATCATACCGAGAAATAGTTATTATCCATTTGTATTAAGATGTAGTTATTACTCGAATAAATATAACTTTTTAAAACTGTGTTTTTCTAACTCCTTTACTATCAGTAAATCAGAGTATTATTAATTACGCTCGTAAAAATTGCTCGTTCTGGGAAAGACCTACTTCTTAGCGTTCCATGGATTCACCGTGCGGGTGCCGGGTCCATCGCGTGATGGGGCAACCAGAGGCGGATTAAGTATATAGAGCGCCCTAGGCGAGCATTTCATCGGCGACCCCCCCCCCCCCCACCGCGCCTCTAGCACTTGTCGTTTTTCGTTACTGAATGCGTATTAAAATACTGATTACTCTTAAGTTTAGTCATTTCTTTACTTTTATTGATTAAGTGTGGGCAAACCCCCCATCAACTGTCACCCCACCGGGGTTTGCGGTGGAACCGTATTTCGGAATCGAACCAACTTAAACCACACACTGCGCCTGAAATAGAAGGGATCCGATAACAGCTTTCATTAAGACGTGCGGGCCGTTCTTTTTTTTTAGTGACAGATGGCCTCACCTGTCACCCTGCACTTATGCAGGATGGAAGTAATTCAGTGATTGAGCCGCCTGCAGTACCTTGCCGGTTCCCGAGCCTGGCGGACTGGGAGAGTTCTAAACCTCTTCAGGTTCTGCTCCATTCTCTCCTCCAGCAGAACTTTCTCGCAGAAGGAGATGGCGAAGATCCACGCGCTATCGCTCTGTACCATGGCCGCAATCATGGTGAATAGAGAATCCTCACTCCGATTGCCGTCACGGGGCCATGACTCTGCTCCACTCACGCTACGCCAGGTATTCAGGCAGGCATTCTACGTACAGGCAGCGTGTAGAGCGCAGTGTCCACGAAATGGCCACCGCAATGATGGCATCTAGCTGGTGGTTCAGATACAGGTGATCTGCTGCGTCAGCCGGTATGGGAGTGTCCCGTGTTTCCTCTCTAGCCAATCCTCCACAACCGGTTTTACCGCCGCTATATGCCTATAGTGCGCTTGGTTGCCCAAGTCTTTCCCTCCATTACTCCACGAGGACCAGCAGAGTTAGGATTTCTGGTCCTCGGTTCCTCGAGTCACACGATCCCGAGCCAGGACGAGCCCCAGATACCTCATAGAGGGCTTGATGTCGATCCCAGTGCCTCCTACTATGAGACTGGATCCCTCAGGAGGCCCCCTCAGAGGCTGATGAAATAACAAGTCCCAGCCTCCGCATTCTCACGGTGCGCCGTCACGAGCGTGTCGTCCGCGTGGCACATGACACCATCCAAGAAGGCACCGTGGAGCATCCTCAGAAGCTGTCCTAACACCTGCCCCTGCGGTACACCGACACGACACGACATTTCACGGTTTTACTTAGGTAGGTGACGGCTCCGTCCATCCTAGCGCCTGCCCATTAAAAACGTGGGCATTACCTTATGGGATAATCATTTAGAAGACGTCCACCACAACGTAGGTAGACCTTCGTTGCGAGTGGAGGGTAAAACCCGTCCACCTGAGACCACACTCGGAGGCGGCATGAGAGCTGGTAGGCGCGCCAGTCATGGAGCGTGTACCAGCTGGTAGCGAGAAATCCTCTCCGATAACTGCAATGAGCGCCCGGCGCTACGTTCAAAATCAAAATATCTTTATTTCATTAAAAGAAAAGTTTGTAATCGTCTTTTATGTAGACTCTAAAGTCGTAAATCAACACACACAATAGCAACAATCTCTCTTTTGTCAAATAGTAAGGAAAAAGTTTAATAGAAATTATGATTATACAAAATCTATGATATGCCTGTGCTGATTCACAATCGCCCGTTTCCATGGGGTTGAACCTTATGAGAAGAAAGGGCAAACAAATCATGGCCACACTTTTGCAATTTACAGATAAATACAATGGTATCATTAAATATACCACAACATTATGCCGATGTGTGCCAGTATGTCCGTTTTTAAATATTAAAAGGTAAAAAGACAGTAAAAAGAAAAATAAGATTAGGAAAAAATATCAAATAAAAGAGAAAGTGAAGTGAAACCTTAAAAAATAATAATAATTTAAATAATAAAAAAAAACTCGCAAGCTCAGTCATAGATTGATTTGGATCCGCTTCCACTATCGCTTGTTGACTATAGTTGCCGGCCGACCGTAAAGCTCGTTCTCCAACTCAAATTTTCCAGATATAATCTAAAAATTTAAGATTTAAAAAACCACCGACACACATCTTGGATTTGAAATTTGTCATAGTGTATATTATTCTACTTGTCAAGCTCTTTCATTTGATACCCATAATGGGAGTTGTGAAAATATATGTAATCCGCTATTTTGTGACAGCAGCCATCTTAGACCGATTTTTCATCAAACATAGCTAAGAACACTCCCGACTAATTCACCTTTCAAACAAAAAATAAAATCAAAATCGGTTCATCCGTTCGGAAGCTACGATGCCAGAGACAGTCACGCCAAACTTATAACACCACGACGCAAAAAATTTACGTGTCCACAGGTAAGTGTAGGTTTTGTTCTAAAATGCTTTAATTGATGTTTTTAAATATTTTTTGAGTGCAGTATGAAAAAATCGTATCTTCCTTAAAATATCATTGGTCTTAGGCCCGTACAGGTTGTAAATATTTCTTTGAGTTTCGAATTGTGCGCCAATCCATAGATAATTAAACCTGAAAATGCTGGTTTTAAAAATCTCCAACTTCACAGGTAAAGATATAATTTTTGGTCTGTATGCAGTCTTTTGGTTCACTAAGAACTCGAAGCTTCGAGATCTGGAACACACCTGACGATTCTAAAACATTAAGCTTAAGGTACTCGCTCATTGACCATGACATTATCTACGCAAAGATGTTTGACAACATCACCTCCAACAACACACGGTGATGATAATGATTATGATGTTGATACGTCTCATAGTTTCATAATGTTGGTGTTGCTAAATTATTCTTTCATTCAGCTATTATCTTTTCAGATCTCTATACATGATGTATATATTTTGGGCGTGTAGGTATATAATGTTTAGAAATCAGTGATTTTGTGATATTTGTTTTTATGCTAATTGTTCAAACGGGAAGGAATGAAAAGTAAAACTGGGTATATTATTTTTATTTAACCTATTTCTATTTAAATTTTAATTTTACTGTAGCTGTTCGCGGAAACCAACGTTACCCCATTGATATAATACTTACATAGATGAGTAATTACCGCCTAAAATCGTTGCTACTGCACATATGTCCACAGGCATATGCGTAGCAAACGTCAATTCAGTGTTCAATGTGGCGTCAACCGAGTTGAACATAGCGACACATGACAGTAACAATCGCCAAAATGGCTAAATGCGTAGTGAAAGAATGCGATTCAAGGTCACAAAACATTAATAAATCATGCGGAATTACTTTTCACGTGTAAGTTTATGGTTTTTGTATTGATAATATCGTAAATAAGGCTATAATTGAAATAAAACACTGATAATTGTTATTTAGAATCAGTGTTACCATTAAAAAATCATTTGGTTTTCCCACATTAGTGGGAGAATTTATAATTTATGAAATAATATGCTTTATACTGTTTTTAAACATTTTGCCAATAATAATAAATATAGGAAGAACGGTAGTTGTTAGGGCTGGACCGATCACTTTTTTTAGGGACCCGTTGAACGTTCACTGCGAGCTTGGCAGAAGTGCCAAGCTCGCAGTGCTGGAGACTTTTGTACAAAAGAATTTATTCATTGTTTTTCTTAATTTATTATCAATTTTAAATAATAATTGTACAAAATAATAATAATAAAAAATGTTTATCATAAAAATAAAAATATAAAATAAAAAAGTAAATAAACATAAATAATTCTTTTATAAAATAAAATTTTTTTTTTTTTTTTTTATTTGTTTTTTAAATTATAATAGAATTTGCAATACACCCTGGGGATTATTTATTATCAGTACAAGTTGATCATTCACTTTTATTATTAAATGCTATTATTTTTACATACGTAAAAATAAGATTGTATCATGAAAGTAAAATATCCACACAAACTTATAAAAAAGAGTCTAAAAGACAATTGTATACAAAACTGATGCTTCACAGCGCAGTTTGATTTTACACTGAATATAAACCCTTTTAACCAAATATTTCCAGTTATTTTATTATTTATACCTATTCTATTCAATTCGAAATATATTATTTAGAATATTTAAATTAATTTATTTTATTACAAATTTTTAAAAAAAAATAATTGTTTCTTGATTGTTATGGGTAAAATTTCATACGGTAGTCAACACTGGCCCATCATCGTAAAGTTATGTCTTTGTCTTTGTCTAATCCGAGCGATGGTATTGTTCTTGTCTCGCGTGTAAATGAGACATAAATATGTTTACTGTCAAATGTTTAGTGGTATCAAAGCTACGTCGTCAAAGTTCAAAAGTGGTTACACTTTTTTCGACGTGTGATAATGAGGTTTGCTTCTCTAGTGTTGTTTTAACTCAATGCGTTACCCACATTTGAATTAGATTTTCACTTTATTATAGTTTCAATCATGATTTTATGTAACCATATATATCTGCAAGCTTTATTACTATATCGAATGATTTGAATAGGTAGGTTTGTCATTCTATTCTAAAACAATACACAAATTCTACATTTGTGTTAACCTCTTAAGGACTGTTGCAAAGCACAAGGCAAACAAAAAGAATACTAGATATCGACTTCTAAATACCTACTTAAAATCAAAGGTCTGAATTATCAAAGCTCAAAGTCGGTAGCTTGTACAAATTCAGTAAAAATGTACGTCATTGCGAATCTGACGCTATATAAGGCTCTAAAATAGTTAGGAATTTAGGTTTATTTGTGTTAGAGGAAAGACCGTGTTGATAACAGTACTTGTTCGTGAAACTTTAATTATGGCAGGAAGTCAATTTCACGGTGAGTAATTATCGTAATTTAAATTAAATCTCAACTTTGCTACTTGATTATGTATTTTTTAAAGCGAAATATGTGCTAGACAGAAACGGAGCAATTTGATGATGTTGCAACGCAAATAGATAGCCCATCAAATAAACATCCAAATCTAGAAAGCTCAACGAAACTCACGTCCACTTGATGTAGCGAGGTATCACACTTCACACTAACATTATAAAAGCGAAAGTTTGTGAGTGTGTGTTTGTAACGTCACTTCAGATTTTAATAAAATGTGCCGTGGAAGTAGCTGACACTCTGGATCACATAGGCTCTTTTTATCTATAAAAAAAATTGTGTTCCCGTTGGATGAGCAAGGAACTGTAATATATGTATTTAGTGTATCTGGTGACACTCTGTATTCTTAATCCGTCACCGCACGGACGGGACCCTATTCATACCGTGGGTGTCGTAAGAGCCGACTAAGGGAACAATCTACGCAGGATAACAGCACTGCTAAGAGAAGGAAAACTTGAACCAAACCCTATACCAACCCGTCTGGCCAGCGTGGTATAGTAGGCCAAAACCTTCTTTCTAAGGGAGGCCTATGTCCAGCAGTGGACTACCAACGGCTGTTGATGTGATGTGTGTATCTGATCAACCCCGGGTAACACCGCGGAGCGCAGTTAGTAATAAATCGTAAATGATTCGGTTATGATAATGTAGGTACGTACCTTAGGTACGTATTGAGGGTAGGCACCTTTGGTACCTGTCGTCCACGATGTACCTATCGTCAGTATCGCTACCCAGACACGCTATCTAATAGTTCTTTTTCCATTTGATCTTGCAATGTCACTCGGTCGTAGAGTTTGCGCAATTTTATTGAAGTAAAACTTCTTTACGCTCGCTCGACTTGGGGAGTAAGCTGGTGAATGCGTCACGAGAGCGCTACGAAAAGTGTGATCGGGCGAGGCGAACGGAATTTGAGAGGGAGATATAAGTTAGTGAAGATAGAAAGAGAGAGAGAGTTACGTTTCGTATATTACTGTAGGGGCCAGAGAGAGAAGTGCGAGCATACATTTCCTTTCTCACTCACATAGCCAAGAAGTTTTACTTCAGTCGTGTGGTCTTAAAGCACACTCGTTTTTTTTTACGACGACTTTTAGTCTTACTCAACCTTCTTTATGATTTCGTAGTAGGACTGCGAAACACAGATAAAAAAATATTTCATCTGTGTATCCGTCCGTCCGCCGTTCATGTAAGAGGCTGTTAGTACTAGAGTAGCTGTAAGCATGGTCATTTACCTATATCAATCATGCCGACACAGTGGTAAAAGAAAATTTAAGAAACATAAAATGGGGTATCTCCCGTAAACATTAAGAAGGTGAGAATGTTTTATTTTTCTATTTTCCGGTATTCCATAGTGTGGGTGTTCATAAGACTAGCTATTTCAAAATATTGAGGGTTTGTGACAACTATTTTTCAATCAATGATTTGCAATTAAACCTTTAAAAAGCGAGAGGTTTTTGCTCTGAGCGTTTCGATAGAAAATATAACCGAATCATTGACATACATTTCTATAAAAACCTAAAACATGCTTGACATGCACGCAGCACGGCGGGTGGCTTAGCGAGGACACGCTAGGCATGTCAGTGGCATTGAACTTGAGATAAAAATAATAATACGTGCCTCTTTTATTTCCTTAGATCTTGTATTTGAATTTCGTTTTACGCAATGGTCAGTTGATGGTTCCACTAAGTTAAATACGCGGTAGAGTGAGTTCGTTTTTGTTTATTGTTTTTTTTGCTTTAAATACTCAACCGACCATTTCGTAATTTTGAATATAATAATACTAATATTTCGGACATCTAACACACAACGCCGTTTAGATTTAAACTAAGCAGAACTTGTACTATGAAAGCTAGATTGACTGATAGAATACTTTTATACTTTTTTTTTGTAAATACACATATTAACCAAAGAAAACACTTAAACTCCGAAACAAATCATAAAAACATTTGGTTCGACCCGAGAATCGAGCCCGAGACCTCACCACAGCAGTCGCATACGTTACCACTGCACCACCGAGGCAGTCATTATATAGATTATACAATTTTGGGGATATAGAAAAGAAAAACATTCATTCTCGAGCTAGAAAAATAATTAAAGAAAAAGTTTAAATTAATGATAAAGGTATTTGATTTTGTTTTAAGAATAAATAGTAGAAAGGTCTTTAAAGCTTTTTTTTGACTGAAGGATAACATTTAAGAATTCCGATATCTTTGAAAGTACGGAACACTAATAAAACAAATTAATATTTCAATTTGTGCTTTATTTATGAAAAAAATTGTAAATTATCCTACAATGAATCTCCGAATGAATTAGACTTACATATCGTTTTATGTATCAAATACATTATTTGCTCGACGCCAGATCAAACCACATAAGAACAATATAGTTTAAAATATTATCTACAGAATCCGTCCTCGGCGATTCGATTACCAAAAATACAATCTTCGTTCGGGGCCCCGCTGGCGGAGCGGGGCGGGGGCGGGGCGCGCCACTATGTACAGCGGAATATACAGCGGGCGCGCTCAGCCGAGCAGCGCCTCCATGGTGTAGGCCGGCGGGCGCGGCGCCTGCTGTCAGTCCAGGATGACCAGCTGCAGCGGCGGGGCCTGCGCGGGCGCCGCCGCCTTGCCGCCCGTCGCGCCGCCCGCCGCACCGCCCGCGACCCCCGCGCCCCCGCGCATAGCGCGCCACGGCGCTCGGGCTCCTCGCCGCAGCTCTCCGCACGACAGGCTACGCCGGACCGCCCTGCAACCAAACCACCGTTATTCTGCACCGGCATAACTACGCTGTGATCCGCCCCTGTTAGTTTGAAACGGTAAACTGTGGTTAAAATACATATCTATATTCTGAGAGTCTAGTGCGAATTTATTTCACATCGACACGCTCTCGACGGCCACCACGTTCGGTGTTGCGATCGATGAAGAGTTTAGTGCAGACCGATCGGAACGCAGTATGCGGTCGCCGTTGATGTGAAATAAAGTTACACTAGGCCCCCTGAGCGCTCAGGAGTCGATGTATAGTTTCTACAATGTCGAATTACTACTTTAAATAATATGATGATGCGACAGAAGCACTCGAGCGTGGCTCACAATGAAAGGTACCAGGAGTCAATTAGAATTCCGACAACTCACTTGGTCGTTTCATTCGCCCGGAAGTAAAGATCGTCGGGCGCATCCATCCAAGAGATGACGGGTCGACGGCCACCGCGGCCGCTGATGTTAGTCGGCTTTCCGTTGACCTGCACATACACGAACGGTTACAAGCGAGTTCGCGTGTCACGGGGAGGGGCAGAGCTAGGAGAGGCGACACTGACGTGAGTGAAGACGTGCGCGGGCAGCGGCTGTCCCGTGGCCTGCGCGCGCGCACACATAGCGGCGTACTGCTCGCGCGACGGCCGCTGCATCGGCGCAGGATGCTTGTTGGGCCGCTTGGCCGGAGGTGGAGCCGCGCCGCCGGCAGCGCTGCCCACTCCTGAATAACCAACAACCGAATCGTTATCACCTGACGACACACTCTTTCGTTACGTCGACCGTGTACGATGAAGGCATACCTGCAGTGCCAACTGAACGACAGCGTGTAAAATAAAAATGTTTCTTAATATATAGGCAAAAAAGTTTGTACGATTAAGTGAGGATATCACCACGGGATTACAAAAACATACCGCGCAGTGACAGGCCTCACTACCAAAAGCATAATAAAGTGATACTGACTGTCGAGTCCGTTCAGGTCGTCGTAAGCGCGTCGCTTAAGTGGCTGTACGGGTGCAGCCTCAGCGCGCCTCGCTTCCAGCTCAGCGCGGGATAACACGCGCTCGTACATCAAACTACCATCTGCACAGAAAAATTATAAGATCATTTTTCCACAATAAATGTTTTTTAGAGTAAAAACAAGTTGTTAATTTTTCGAGCTTTGCATGTTATGTTATTCACGACACATTCATTACTTGTTATTTTAGTAAGTATCACAGCTCGTCTGGTCAGTAGTCCACGGTTCTACGGTAGCCTAAGTCTCTTATAAGTTTTGACAGCGGATATGTAGATTCATCTTTCTAAAATGTGCTACACGATATAACCTTTCGTACCCTATAACGCGTTTTTTAAAAAGTGAGTAATGAATGTAAAACACATTGATCCCCAATTGTGGTAACCCATTGTGGTAAACAACCTACAATTTTTATTCAATCTTTTTCTTCCCGGACGGAATGCTTCATTGTTGAATTTTCGAGTCCATTGTGAAGTGTTTTGGTGACCTCAGTCACCAGCTGTCTCCACACTGTCCGGTCGTGGGCTGCTCTGAACGTGACAGTTAATGGATGTCCTGTCAGTGTTGTAATCTGATCAGACTCTCGTTCGGGTGTCCGACCTCGAGGTGATTTTCCTTCTACTTTTTCACACCATCAGCTTGTCAAGATTACCCGGCTGGCTCAGAGCTACAAGGAAAAAGTAACCTAACACTCACTGGAAGTAAGTTGTTGTTGACAGTCTGATCTTTACGTCAAGTTGCTTCAGAATTTATACGTTTGTTTTCTTGGCCGACCACGGCATACGGAGCATCCTTCTCCAACACCACATCTCGAAGACGTCAATTTTCCGCTCATAGGAACGAATTGTTTCTTGAATTTGAATTCAATCTAGATAAGACGGATAGATGACGTTGTGTGGGTAATAAAAACCTAAAGTAATGCAATTTTGCCATATTTAAAATGAGTTACTATTCTAATGATCGGTGACGGAGATAGTAAAATAGATCTATATTAATGTATATGTACACTATATAATGATCTATCTGATGATGATTGCTATCTTGATCGAATTTATAATTTTTATAAGGTAATAACGAACGATGTAATAGGTCCCAATACTAATAGTACGAGATCCGGCTGCAGAATCCGTGCACTCGTCGAGTATGTGCTAAAAACCAGTGAACGAAATGTTTTCCCAAAAATCAATTAACAAAAATTTTATTAAAAATACTAGCTGTCACATTTTGATAGGCAACCTGGTAGATATATAATCTCCTAATCATAACTGGGTTTTTAGCACATACTCGATGAGTGCATTGATTCTGACAATAAAGAACGCGACGGTGAAAGACATCGGTGTTTGAATAGGTAGCGAGCGGTTACGTACCGGGCGCCTTGGGGGGCTTGGGGAAGGCGACGTGCGGCGGGGCGGGCATGCGGTCGCGCGGCGTGAGCGTGAGCCAGTCGTGCGCGCGCGCCGGCGCCACGGGCACGCCGCGCGCGGCCGACAGACGCGCCGCCACCGCGCCCACCGGCCCGCGCACGCGCGGCACGCCGCTGGGAGCCGCCGGCGCGCGCAGCTCTGCGCCGCCCAGGCCGCCCATGGCCACGCTGCACTCGTGCTTCACCTGCACCACCCATCGTTACTTCGTTATATGCACACCGAATATTATTACTTTTTCAATGAAGTTGACCTCCTAAACCTACAAGCTTAAAACGGCCGTCACTCGATTACTTATAGATTCGTACCCTGAAAAATGACTTATGAGATTGGGGGGTCCGTAGCTGTAGAGGGAAACGGTCTCGACAAGGAGCCGTCCTAAGTCATTGTCACCTTGAAATTCAGCCGACTTGAATGATTCTTAACTAGTATGATAATGATTACTAAACGACTTACTGAGAGAACAATGCGCCTATAAACGGGATAATCCAATGACTTATGAGATTTGTTGGTGCTTTCAGCTAAAGCAGGCTAAATAGCTAAGTAGGTGTCGTAGAGAGAGACGTGTCACGCACCTGCGCCAGGTTGATGGGCGAGAAGGGCGAGCGCGCGTAGTGTCGCGGGCGGCGCAGCGCGCGCGTGAGGCGGCGCGCGAGGCGCGTGAAGGGCGTGGCGCGCAGGTAGAAGGCGGCGCGCGTCTTCATCACGGGCCGCGCGCCCTCGCCCGATCCGTGTGCGGTGGCCACGTGCCGCGCCAGGTGCGCGCGCAGCTTGAACTCCTAGGCATGAGATAAAATCACAATCACCTGTTCAATCGTCATACCTGTGACTTATTATTATTATTACGCTAGCACTAATCTACAACATCACTGCGGCTTATTATTATTATTACGCAAGCGCCAGACTCCGAAAGGTCTAAATCTAAAAAAAAAGGTCGGTTAGATTGCTTTTAATGGCATTTATGTTAGTCTATGACCAAATCCAATCCAATCTATGACCAAAGTTGAGATTAATCACAGTGACCAAAATTAATCATTTAATCAAATGATTTTGACTTAAATGTAACAATAATTGGCATTTCTACTCCTGTGCCACGCACTCGCTCATTAGTACTTACCAACTGACAGACTACTGACAGAGTGCATCGTCTGTCAGTTAATGACTATGTACCTATCTTGACCAGACTTGTACAAAATGATTTAAAGTGTAAACGGGTAAATCTGATGTTTAGATATACTGATGTATGTGTATGTTATTCAATTATTTCCATACCCATAATTAACTGCACTAACTAACTTTAATCAAAAACTGTAAACTTTCTCTACAGGTATAATGGTAGCTATTTCCGTGGATATTCTAATTTATTCTGCAAATATTTATTTCGGAGTTTGGGTGTTTTTTCTATTTATAATATGTATTTACAAAAAAAAGTATATAAGTATTCTATCAGTCAATCTAGCTTTTATAGAACAAGCCCTGCTGCTCTGTTTCTAACTAGGTGGCGTTGTGTGTCAGATGTCCGAAAATACTATTATTCTATTTCTGGATTGCGTGGAAATTTATTTATATCGTTATTATTATTTTATGAACTACACAACATACCTTAGCACAGTTGAGAACAGTACAGCGGTGTGGACGGTGGGATACCGACAGAGCCGTGTCCTCACCTTCGCCCCGAGGTCCTTTCGCGACCTCTACTTCGGTTTCACTAAACACTCCAGCAGTCTGTAGTAAGCATTAAGTATTTAATTAACTACATATATAGTTTTATATTGTACATTACAATGTTGACAAGCTTCAGTGTGGAAGGTCGAAACTGCAGCAATCAAAACTCTGTCACTCTACTACTAGTACAACTTTAACTAATTCCTCGAAATTATTTAAACCTGTTCTAGAAAAAGTTAATGGAAAGTACGTTTTGTTATAATTTTGTGACGAATTTTTAATCATTGCCCAATAATTTCAAGCCTTGTACGATCTAAGCGTTCGAAAGTACACGTACTCGGTTATGCGTACACACGAACGTTATTCCGTGCCTGTAGGAACGCGTATAGCGTACGCTCCATTTGTACTGTAAACATGGCAAACACGTTCCCTCCTAGTTTAAATGATGGCAATTGCATCAAATTAATACAAAACCATATGGTTTTCGACCACCGACAATGACCTGTATATAACATATCCTACAAAAATCTATCACATCAGATATTTGGACAGGTTCAGAAATGTTAAAACTTGTGGTAGGACTACTGTTTGACAAAAATAATTTGAACTCTGCTATTTGTCATTGATAGACATTAAAAAGTTGCAATGTCTGAGTAACGAAAAGTTCTTGCCGAAACATTGTAGAGGACTGAAGAAACAGGTTGTATGGAAGAGTTTAAAATGTTCATATAATCAAAAAGTTTTCTTACCGTATTATAATGAATATTAGTAACCTTTACTGCCAATATAACGTAACAAAAGATTCATTGTAACAAATTAGTAGGTAATTTGGCATAACACATGACTTCTAATCACCTTCAGTTTTATTATATCGTACTGTCCTCAGTGTCACTGTATATTGTGTGTAGTGTGTGTCAAAATGTTTGTAAAGTTATCTGTTTTGTAACACAGGGATAAACCCTGAGAGTGGGACTTAAGTTTTTTTAAGGAAAAAATATTTTGGAGAGAGACAACTTTTACTAAGGTTGACTGAATGTCTTCAAACATGTTTCTTTTAAAATTATTTTAATTTTCATTTCAAATATAACAATACAAAACACACACACATTCACTTGCAATCTTTCGCATTTAGTAGCTAAGAATCACACGAAATCTTCACCTTAAGACCGCCATATTTTTTCCAGTATTGCCAACATGAGCCGCATAGTCTGTATTGTAAATGCTGCGGACCCCATGTGTACCACTGGTTTGAATTTGTCACTGGAATAATAAAAAAAAATATATTAATGAGGAACACAGGGCAACAACTCGAAGTTCAGGGGAGGGTTAGAGTATTAAGGAATGGGATAAATATGATATATCCATTCCTTTCCTTTGGAAAGATAACGGTACACACTAGTACATCATAGCTATGGGTACTACTGCGAAGTGTGTTTGTTATTTTAGGACTATTTTTATTAAATGCAAATAATAAATCCACGAAAAATTATAGCACTGAGCGGGACTCGAACTCCTCTGTTCTGGCGTTTTTGGTATTTTTACCACCCAGTTGACATAGTTCGTCATTATTATGTATAAGTTAAGGATACCTAGCTAATGTTTAGTGACGGGTTGAGCATATTCAGTACGGATTAATATTTTGTTATATGTCAGTTTATCGGTGCGAACAATGAGTTACCTTGGCAGGATGCACAGAGGTGTGGCGCTGAGACGGCGACGGTGGCGGTGCCGTTGGTGCCACCGTTGAGCACGGTCCCCGCGGCCTTGCCGCTGGAACTGTTGCTTGTGATCAGAGCTGGGTTCGGTTTGTTGCTGTAATTCAATTGAAGTTCACTTGATAATGCGCTTTTATTATCCTAATATACGTGCTATAACTCAATTAAGAAGCTTTTAAAAATAAATAATAAAAGTAATCTAATAAAAAATTACAAACTTCACATATTGTTTGTTTATATACTGTCTGGAAGTTAATAGAGTTTAAAAAAGTTTTAGCATGAATCGTAAATAATAGGTATGAACATTATGGACCTACCAACCAACTATATTGACTAGTTAATTTAATATTGGCTTCCTTTTACATATTATCATAGCAAAACTTATTATTACACGATTTTGCTATTATTATTTTTAACTCAATAACAAACCCTTCCAATAGGCTAATAACAAACATAAATTGATAAATAAAAATATTATATGAAAGAAGGTAATATGCAAATAAAAACAATACATCAAAAATGTATTGAGTGTGTCGGTACAAACACTCACTAGTTGGGAATGTACACTTGTTTCAGCTTGGACTCTGCCTCCACTGCTTTCACACGCTTTTGTTGCACGTAACGGTCCGTCGTCTTCCACATATAGTAGTACTCCACAAGGTTTTTTAGCGTCTTCCATGGCAACTAAAAACAAATGATAAAAAGTTATAAGACTACAATAGCTTTGTTTCTCAATAACTTTTACGGTTTAAAACCGTAAAAATTAATCAGTTACTATTAATATGGGCCTGTTGGTCTAGTGGTTAGTGACCCTGAGTGCTACGCAGGTCGTGGGTTCGATTCCCACCCAGGACAAATATTTGTGTGATGAGCACGATCGTCTGTTGTGTCTGGGTGTAATTTATCTATAATTTGTATGTATTATAGAAATATAAATAATATAAAATATTGTAGAAATATAAGTATGTTTCTCAGCGGTCTGGTTACCATAGTACAGGCTCTGCCTAGTTTGGGATCAGACAGTCGTGTGTGAGGTTACTATTATTATTATACCTCCTAACTTCTGGCCACATAATAATAGACTAACTTTTAATTATATTAAGTAAGGACTTACAAAGTTTGTAATTAGACTTGGTTCGGCAACTGTTATTATGATTGAGTTGAACATCTAAATTTTGATGATTTTTGGTGTTGAACAAGAAACGGTATCATAGCTATGGTACACTTACAAAGTCCTGCCGTATATCAGCGAAGTCCTTGCCGTACTTGTCAAGCGCTTCTTCAAAGAGGTTGGCCTCAGAGGCAGACCACTCCTCCATCTCGTCGCGACACAGTACTGGTCCTGACGCCGGCACTAGTGATGACAGTGCTGTTTCTATGCTGTATCCCGATTTGTGCAGTGTATCCATAGCGTGGAACTGTAAAAAAAATACAAATGACATAACATATATTTTAGGTATGTGAAATAAAATAAAATGTTCCTATAACATTATATAACGAACAAATTAATTTATAACTTAGCATAAAAAAGTCTTAATAAGAGGGTTTATTTAACCGAACTAATTACAAATACTAACAGGACTATGAACTCCTTGTAGCACTCAGCAGTCTCTGGGTGGGTGAAACCCGCAACGAATAAGACAATATCTTGACAATGATATTTTCACAAAAAGCAATGTTAAGACAATATGTTAGATAAATATTAAATTTAATTTTAAATTCGATAGAATATATTGAGAATTCTCGTACACGTATATAGTTCAACATCGTTCATTACCATATATTTTTTATTAATATAATGGCGTTTCTACTTGCATCGCAAGTTTCAAACAGATTTGCATATACGTCTCATTTACGTATCAGAATATTTCCAAACATTGTAAGTCAAGTCTTGTAGGTCCTATAGTATGGTAATCACTATGATCACTATGACCTTTTACTTACTTGCCAATATGTGATTTAAAAAAAAAAATGGTTGGAGAATCTTTTATTGATGAGAGTTATGATCATCGCTATTGGAGACAAAATAATTCAGGTGGTGAATATAGTGACTTACGAGTGTAATGTCGCGGCTAGCAGCAGCGGCGGACATGTGCAAGGAGGGCTGCTTGACGCTTGACGAGCAGTCGAGCGCGCGAGCGAACGTGCCCACGGAGCGTGAAACCACCAAGAACTGATCGATCTGTCTGTCTGTTAGCCCGTGTTCGGGTGTCCATACCAGTGTTTCTAATTCTTCCGTGTTGCGTGGGTCCTCTTCGCCTACAACACAAAACATTTATAAAAACTAAGTTTATAAATATAGTTTAATCTGAATGAAATCGAACTAGAGGTTTCAATCGTAGAACATACGTAGGTTCATGTGTTTAATAAATCCACGGACGCAAATGTGTAATGTTGAAAATATATGCATGTATTTATATAAAACTACTTAACAGTATTTTTTATGGTTTAGGGGGCAAACGACCATACTTGTCATCTGATGGTAAGTGACTACCATCGCCCATGGACACCTGTCACGAGTGCACTGACTGCGGTAGTGCACTATGTGCTTAAGCATGGCTCTTCCACGGTAAATTTATATGTGGTTACAAATAAGGCTCATATTTTGTCTGTAATCATTAAAATTTACGATTCTGCCAGATTTTCTCACGATTTCACTTATACATACTGAATAGTTTAGATTTAGTGATAAAAAACTCGATGTCATAAATAACAGGTTAAGAACACTTAAGAATAGTTGTTCACATACGATGACAAGTTCATAATTTCTCAGAATATAAAACTTATTTTTGTCGTTTACGAGGCGTAGGTAAACCTGTTTACAACAGCAAAGACTTGCAAGATACTTATTATAAATTTAATTAAATATAAAATGTAATTAGCATTAGGTACTAATGAATGTGACAAAATTTCATGCAATACTTTGCTCCTTATAAATCGGAACTTTAAATTGTGTCATCGAGTCGATCATGAAGCGATTCCGATGGATAAAGTCGAAAATTTAAACAAGTATTTCTTAAGTTTATACATTAAACAGAGCTATTATGGTCCAATATCTCAGAACTGGAATTTAGCATAGTAACTCCTGGATGTAGCAAGCGCAAACCTTTGTCATTTACGAAAACTTTCATAAATTTCGAGTAGAATGAAACCAATGTTAATCTCAAGTGACGTAGTAGAGTAGTTCTGGGATATGGCCTCTATTACGATAAGATCAAAATACAAGTACTTAGTCCGTACTAGAACAATGAATACATACCTTCTTTTAATAAATTAGTTACTTCAGTCTGATATCTACTTCCAACTCTGATTTCTCCCTTATCTGCTAATAAAGTCTTTTGTGAAGGATCAAATACTAAACAATAAAAAAATGTGTCCTGAAACAAAAGGAGATTGCATCAGTATAGCTAGTGTAATTAAGTATGAACATACAAACAGGAATAATTACAATTACTAAAAAATCAATTTCAATGTCGTATCGATGTCAATCAACCATTAAGACTAAGACTAGTAGAGTTAGCATTATCGTTAGTTTTATCACTTATCCAGCGTTACGAATGACAGAGGAATAAGATGGAAAAACGATCATTAAAATATTATGATTACCTACCACAGCACAGTACTGTTTAACATGCACAGTACTTTTTAACATAGGCACAATTGTTAGAATATCATTTGTTTTTAAAATGCATGAACTCAGAATGTCTTTTGTCAAAGATGGTATTAATTTGTAAAAACACAACATTAATTGTGATAAAAAAAAAACGTGTTTAACATGTGTATATCTATGTCTAAAACTTATCAAGAAAAGTTATATTTGTTGCTGGAATTTTATTTTATGTAATATTCGTCAGTCATGGTAGGTGATGTCACATTAGGGCGTGAACCACAATATCGAAGGGCGTAATTGAGATAGTTAACAGCTGTATAGACTTTCTTAACCTTGAAGTAGTACGGGATAACTGACAATACATTTATAGTTAACACATTTTATTTTATACTTCTGTTAACATCTGACATCAACGTCATCTTCATCATCTTCAACGTAGGCCATTTACTCGTATTTGAGAGAGTAAATGGCCTACGTTTAAATGTGACTATCTACCGAAGGAAACAACTTATAGTGCGCTGTTAATTCAATAGTTGCACTTAAAAACTTTCGTCAAACACTTCTTCACACTAAATAGTTTACTTAATGGCAAGAGATTTATCCCTTATTTATTTACTTTAGTTTTGGCAAATTTCAGTTTTTGAAAGGGTCCCAAAGTTCTTCAAGGCACCCCAAATTTAGGCACGTAAAGATTTTAAATTTTAAAGTATATGACATTTTAAATTAAGGTATTTTGTAAGACTCGGTTTCAAGTTTTTTGTTTAAAATACTAGTTAAAACCAGATAAGGAAACAAATGAAACTCTTTGTCTGTGACTGGTACATAAAAAGATACATTATTTTGTAACATATTCCGCAATTAATTTGTACTTTCTAAAAAAGATATTCAATATTAATCAGGTCAGCCTTGAGAATGTTTCGTCTCACTTTGCTACATAAGGGGTTTTAGTATAATTCGACACCCTTTAATAGTTACACTCTTGAAAATGTTACAGACTTACAATATGATAAAGTACATAAATCTATGGGTTTTTTTTTTAGATTTTTCTAATTAACAGCAGTGGCTGGTAATGGCAGCTTCTATTATAACCAATTTAAAACTGATGTAGACTACTTAATTATCAAGTAATTAGCTGCTATTTGTATAACTTTTATATACTACTTATACGATACAAATAATATTTGACTCGGACATTTAAAGTAAATGTATTGATCTATCACTTGCCTGCCACCCGATATTATTCTATAATCTTTCATAGATGGCGCGAAAGTCAATGAAAACTTTTAAACAAAAAAAAACACACCTAAGAAAGAAAAATAAAAACTAAAAATAATATGAACATAAACTAAAGTTAATGATATTGAGTCGACGCGACGCCGAATATACAAACAAAATCAAATCCAAAAAGATTTCGAAAAGGGACACGTCATATTACCCGAACCGCGCGTGCCGCTATCATTTCAGTTTGCGTAATAATTAATTTCATTCTTTTTTTTGTAGCTAAATACTATTAATTAATAGTTACTTACTTAATACTCTTACTTCCCTAACTTAATACTATGTGTAATATAATTACCTACTTTAACTACTCATTGTTATTTGAATAATATATTAAACGTCTCATTAAGGCTGGTTTCCGTCACCGTCATCAGATCAATAACCAATGTGTACCAAGTTTCAAAATCGTTTCAGCGATGAAAATTAAGATGGTCATCAGTCACTCATTGGATATTTATTACCCTTTAAGTTGTTTGTTTTTTCAGGTGGTATTACTTAACACAAGAAATATACTCATTTATAAAAAAGTTTGTCACTATCTGAATCTTTTCGAATATGTTGATGTAATAAGTCTCTATTGGAATCTCTATTGAGATACGTGCACAGCTGACAACCACTAGATAGGCTTATCCATAAAAAAGAAGTATTCATGTTTATAATAATAACAATAGAATAACAGCCAACGTCTAATTCAAAATACTAGTAATACATATCCAGGTATAATTCAAAACTGAAGATGACGTTTACTATGTGTCTTAGAGTCCGGGACACAATCCCAATTCAAAGGCCGGCGGCTTGTTACTGTAAAATGAGTAGATTATGACAATGATCGCCTAAATCTCCCAGGTAATTGGTATTGGCGTTTAGTTCTGTATTACATCGTAGTTTTATGATTCTGATTTACAAGCGTGGTGGTTTTGCCATCCCACTAAATGGCAATAAAGTACCACACAATTAATTTGAACAAGCGGTTTCAATAGGTTGTCAAACAAGTTTTTATGTCTATCAAGTCGATTGCATTTCAAAAATAGCCAAATGTGTCCCCTTTAGTGTTTAATTAAACCAATCACCCAACTAACCGACCATCAGGTATTTGACATTTGTGAGAAACACAGCTTACATACAATATTTTTAGTAGGGGTTATCGAGATGCCGTGATTATTTGGATTTGAAGGTTTTGGTAATCGTTACTTGGTAGTGTTTAAGTTTTTTTAACTTTCCCTAAAAGTTATTTTTAAGTCACTCTTCTGTCCGACCACTGGTGTTGAAAATCTTACAATCTTATACATATTGAATTAGGGCGAAAAAGCATAACAAAAACAAACACTTGCACATATATTAAATTGCTTATGGTTGATTAAATCAATTAAAATTGTCATATCGATGTTATACATGTCGTGTTGAAGCGTGTTGTGTGTGCGTGCCGTCCGTGGTACATACTCACATCCTTATTGAGATAGCTGAGCAGCGACTCTGTTTCGTTGAGTAACGTGACAGTGCATTTGCCGCGTATGTGCGTCGCCGGTAGCGTCTCTACGTGTCTCGAAAGGAACAGTTCCCGGTGTTTAGCTTGATGCCGCTGCTTTGGCGCCAGACCATCTGTGCCAGGCAACTCGCTAGATTCCTCCTCCATCGCCACTGGAATGTAACGAAATACTAATTAGATATATTCGCATATAACACTTAGTAATCATATTAATTAGTTATACGTGACTATCACAATTAAAAAAATAGAAATTATCTGTGCGATTAAGTAACCAACGACATGAAAATGAGACCATAATAAAATTCAAATGCGTCTAGAATATGGTTTTTATATAGCGTAACCTTTTTTTTACTGTTTTATATAATCTGTTATACCCGTTTACAGAGGTGATTCTACGAGATCAATAAAATTGCCTATACCGTTAATGGCGACAATTACCATTTAAAAGAAAAAGAAAGAACACTGGCGCAATGAAAAGAAAAAATAGTAGGTAATAAAAATTTATTATTTAGACTATACATTTGAATCATTTATTATCGTTATCTGTATGTACATCGAATGTTAATTGTCACATGGTGCATTTGCAATCAGCGGTATAGTTTCGCAAGATATTATCTCGTATTATACATATATTCTATTCATTACCATCAACTTGTGTACATTGGATGTGAATCACACGAGTCGACAAGTCGCGACCCAAAGTCGATTACCGAGAGCCGTCGAGTGGCGTGCTAGTACGATTTGCGTAAGAGCGGAAACGTGGTTGCCTTGTGCCTACCACAAGCACTGGGATTGCCGAGCGAGGGGACCTCAATGTAGACAATACTAATAATCACTATAATATGGGTGATTCAGTAATCATATAAAGTTTGCGTTGCATCGTTTAGATATTATAAACGCTTTATGGGTGTCGTAAAACATTATATGAGCTTCTCATTCATGTGCAATGGTTAGAAAAGACTCTGAATATTGTTCGTTTTGGGTTGGTCCGAGTATTACAGCTCACACCAGCCGCCTGCCGCGGACAGGTGCATTGCCAGACGTGCCCATGAGAACTTACGATTTTTATTACAACATACGACCGCTATTACAACACGTCATATTGGTGGTAAAGGTATCATATGACAGACATTCTAGTTTATTAATACTTAGAAGACCAACTAATTTTTAGCGCCGAATTGCGAAATTATTGGTCGGGATCTTGCAGGCCTTGGATAATATGAAAGAATTTCTTTTAGCACCTGCTTTTTGTATAATTTACAATTTTATTACCATATGTTACTCGAGAAAGTCATCAGCTGTTTAACTTAAAGTAGCTGTTGCCCTTTAAAAATGATGCGATTATGGGTTTTTATACAATGGTAAATAAGATGAAATAGGGACCCAGAACACCTTCCACAAGGTCAAATTTTGTAATTTAAAAATGATTATTGATCAAACAAATACTAGATAATATTTTACTTTCATTATTTTACTTCCAAGTTTAATTGACAATGGGCGTACGAACTATATTGTCACTGCCCGATCTTACATTGGACGACTTCATAATGTATTTGACCATTTCTAGAAATGTTCTACTAGAAAATGTATCGATTAAACTTTCACGTGTAATTATGTGTTATCCACGCTTGACTATATTATTAAAGTGCCTCATACTCCATGATATGAATAAAAATATGATAAACTAATGAAAGTCATCCTCCCGTCTCGTTAAAATCTAAAATATACCTGTTTGATTTCGAGTTAGATATATGTATATTCATTTCCAAAAGCTCAAACAAACAAAAAACATACAAATTAAAATCAATATAAATAGAGGTTGTTGTTTGTACCAATGACGGGTGTACAGGGTAGAGGGGCGGGGAGGGTATAGGGTGGGCCTGTATCGGCTACTTATTATTACCAAGCAGACACCTTTCTAGACACACGAATAATTATAACAATAAAAGCTGGGTTTGGTGAACTAAATGCTTTTAGAGTGAAATGGGGTGTACATTACTCGCCAAATGGCGTATAGTATAGTATGACAGAGGGCAGAGATGAAATAATTCCTGATTTAGCTAATAAATTAATGGTAACAATTTAATGTAAGCTCATTATGGAGATTAATAAAATAGCTACAGAAAAGAGAAAGAAAGTAAACGAGCAGGCGAATTTAATTCTGTCGCCAATAAGAGATGAGTGGCGGTGTGAGGTAAAAAGTGGAAACGCGATTGTTTCGCTCTCCTCGAATAAGAGCATTTGAACAGTGCCGCGTCCTTGTTGTAGAAACGTCGATATGTAAAAATAAAAATGTACTTAGTATATTACGTTCCAAGGCATTTCGTAGTTAGATAAGTACTTTTGTCTGCACTTTCGTTCTATTTTAAATTTGATTAAAATATTTGCATTACACCGCTTTTCTAAGGAGAAGCCTACGTCCAGCAGTGGACTGTTATAGGCTGTTGATGATGATGATTATCATTACTTTCATAACATTAAAATAAATGAAAAGTTTACTGATACGAAGTTAAAAAAATACGCAAATTTTTCACAATAAGTTGATAGGATATTAAGATAATTTATCGATATAACTTTAAGTGATGCTAAATGCAGATAGACATCACTACCGCGTCGCGGCGGTGAGGGCCCGCCATTTACCGCGACGCCCCGGCCCCGGGGCGGTCGCCGAATTGCGGGGGATTTACTTTATGATAATTATTTCGATTGCGATCGTGAGGAAAGGAGCCGGGGTACTTTCGACCCAATCCCGAGACGACCGATGCGAGAAGTCTGTAAAAATCACAAGTTTACCCCGAACCACTTTTAATCCACGAATTTTTTTTACCGTAATTGGTTCACATGATAAAGCAATCTAAGGTCGATATAATAAAATGACGACGAAATGATACAAATATATTAGAAATTAAACATAAAATAAATTTATCATTTAACACTATTAAATACGAAGTAGCAATTTAAAAAAAACGGTTTTACAAATTAAGGACTAGTTTGCATGATGAAAGCTTCCGATCATGACTTCAGAGATTAAGTCATTGCAATAAAGAACCTATCATAAAGTACATATGCACGTAAGTAAATAAGTAGTAATCTAAGAGGTAGTTGGTTATGCATTTTGTTATAATATTCTTAGAAGTAAATGGAATGCGAAATGACGACAGACAACATGCGAGGCGCATGAATACAAAACAGTTATGATAGTCAAACTCATCGCTGTAACAGTACCCTTTCAGAGAACTTATACTACTAATCCTGTCTTTTCTCGTCGGTATGCAGTTAGTCTAAATAATATGATTATTAAATATTTATTACACAAGATAAACCATTAAAAAAAAGGTTGAACCGACTCCAAATACTAACAAAGAGCACTTAAACCCCTAGCAATAATCGCGGTATATTTGCTGTCATTTTTTGAAGAGTTCCATTGTCTGACTCCGAAACTCATCATCAGATCTGTGTAAGCCCCTCTCGAACAAAAAAATAATTTTGCAAATCCGTCTATAGATGACGGAGTTATGCCCGAACATACATAAAAAAATAAACATCTGAATTGATATTATCCTCCTTCTTGAAGTCGAAGTTCATTTTCTACATACACTTGAATTCAACATTGTATGTATCGGGTTTTTCTATTTCTATTGTTCACAAAACCTTGTACTTTCAATATTTAGCTGAAATATTAAACCCAAAACAACGGCGAAATAAACAGGTTTCAAATCAGCTATCTACGCATTTTCATAAAATTCTATAAAAATAGATATGGTGCACATTTACTATCTCGTGATGTGTGGAATGGAATGTGTCAATCAATTAATCACAGTTCACAGTCCAGATATGCGTAACTGTATTAACAATCTAATAGTACTATAATAGTAAACCTGAGTATGATATAATATAACACACATAATATATTATGATGTTTTAAGAAAGTCAGAAGTCTTGTTGAATCTGTTAACCTTTGTTTTTACCTATTGTTTATATTGTATTTACAATTTCTTAAAAAATATCATTTACGGCCTGTAAATAGCATCATTTACATACATTTGTTAATAATTACAAATTACATTATTTAATAATATGGTTCATTTACGTTTTCAGATGTGCAAATGAAGAATTGTCCGAATAGTGAATACAGGCAGAACGTAATATTGTAACTATTTAATAGCAAATTTAATTTTTTTTTTTTTTTTTTTTTTTTAATTCAGTGGTGTAGTAGGCCAAAACCTCCTTTCTAAGAAAAGGCCTATGTCCAGCAGTGGACTAGTAAAGGCTGTTGATGAATGGCTGATTTTTTGAAATATTTTATTAATAAGAATATGTTACACCTATCGCTTGTAAAGAAAATTAAATATAGTTATACTTACGTTGCACGATGTGCCACAAAATATCAATATTAATTTATGTACGATGGTACAGTCTGAAACAGCATTTGTTCTGTACGCCCTCAGTAATACTTTTACAAAGATATCCCGAAATGTATACCTATATAGGATACGATAAGCAATTTGGAATTAAAATATGTACTCGTATAAGTTGAATGTTTCTGTCTCAGTTTGGTTATCAAGTACTTAGCACCTGTATACATTATTTATGGCTTCAGTAGACCGTCTTAGGTACAAATTCAGTTTAATACAAATATTGCCTCTTCAACTCACACACGGCTCTCTGATTCGAAACGTTTCTATTTTTTTTCCTTTAATAAGTCAAACATACGCAAAGATTTATGGATTTGTTGATTTTTAACGCTGTTAAATTTTCAAGAGCTTGTGCATAAGACCAATATTATATTCTATGTAGTAATACTTTAGTGGGCAGCTCCATTTGGTGGAGTGGACAGGAGCAGTTCGGCAATGTAATAACATGGGATTATGGATCTACACGCGTCACTACGCAACTAATTAAAGCGTAGGCAAAGAGAAAATGGCAATCTGTGGAGTTGTCCCCCCCCCCCCCCCCCTCGCTAGTGGGGGGTGTCGGTTACGTGTGCCCCCTTGGGGTGGTCGGGTGTATGGTTTTTCTGCTCGGGCATCCTTTGCTTACTTATTGATCCAGTCAAATGTGTGGAGGTGGCGCGGTGGGTGGTGCGCCCGGCCCCGCGCCCTCCTGAAGGGGGTACGTCCAAATAAATCTGCCCGCCCGCGAAACACCGCAG